AGATTTTTGCATTCACTGACAATAAAATGTCCAGTTGGAATTGGAACTATCTGTTGTGAGCCACTTGAACTTTCAGAAGTTCACTACAACTTCAAAGTCAAATCAACTTGATATATCAAATAAGATGAACTTTTCATCAGAAACTTCAGAAAGTGAGTTCAAGTGGCTCACAGCAGACAGTTGCAGTTCCAACTGGCAATTTTATTGTCAGTGAATGCAAAAATCTTAGTAAGGTGAACAATTTTGAGTTGTATTTTTTACAGTGCAGAGAGAGACCAGCGCAGAGACCAGAGGGAGACCAGAGGGAGACCAGAGAGAGACCAGAGAGAGACCAGAGAGAGACCAGAGAGAGACCAGAGAGAGACCAGAGAGAGACCAGAGAGAGACCAGAGAGAGACCAGAGAGAGACCAGCGCAGAGACCAGCGCAGAGACCAGCGCAGAGACCAGCGCAGAGAGAGACCAGTGTAGTATTTTGGGCCTCATGAGGAGGAGGGGGGTCTTCCCGAGGCCATGCACACATTCACACAGAGCTGCAAAATCTGGGGAAAATTCCATCTGTAGTTTTATTTAAGTGGTCATTTAAATGCTTTATATTCTATCATAAATTTTTATCAACAAACCTCAACCCAAACAAGAAGACATTTAGAGTGTACATAATGTAACACTTTCTACACAAACACAATCTGGGAACACACTGTATATTTTCATATCTAAGATCATGGTCAAGGAGATAAATAGTACAACTACTACTACTATATAAGTAGTATAAGTAGTATCATACTGCTAATACTACTGATATACAGTATATATACCATTGTATTTTGTAACCTGACCATTGTAACCATTAACATCTGGTTTATAGCTAACAAGACACATTTAATGAGCTTGATCCTCGTATAAATCCGGTGCTTTTAAATGCCATGATATTTGACATGTGATACTTGCTCACATGTATTTGGGGCCCTCTCAGGCTCTTGCCACACAATCGTTTTACTGTAAATGTGTGATCCTTTATTCGAAATTTCAGTGTTGCATCACAAGTTACAGACTGTAGGAATGAGGAGCATACGACACAAGATAAATGAACAATAACTCTATAAGTACTAACATTAACTCTCCAATTTTAGCATAACAAATCTTTTTAATGAGGAAAAGTCAAAACATCTCCAACGTTAGCATAAAAAACAATCTTAAATCTCTATCTTTAATTAGGAAATAAGTTTAAAATCTCCAACTCTATAATGATGAAGAAGCAATACACTGTAACAAATTTCTGTAAAATTACAATGAAATTTCAACATTAAACAAATGTTGAAAAACAATTTAAACATGCAAATTTAAGTTAAGAAACATCCAGTGGCGTTTTATTACCACAATTATAATGTGATTACAAAAAAACTTTACAATACCATAAAATCACAATGTGATTAATAATCACAATGTGATTTTATGCTATTATTACCATAATTTAACATAAACTTGTATTTTTGGAATGCAGGGAAATGTTTGCTGAAGTCAACAATGTTCTCGTATAAACTGAAGATGTTAAAAAAATAATTGAAAAGTTGGGTTCATTAAAGTAAAACAAATTAAACTGTTTTTTGTTCAATTAAACTAATTAGAAACAGAACCAGTCATATGGAGTGATAATACTACATTAACATTATAATGCTGTTATTGTTGTATGTGAATTAACAGGAACATACAGTTAAATCCTGAAATCACAAAAGCATAATGTGATTCAGTGAAATAGTCTTTAACCGTTAAAATTAGCAACGGTAATGCCATGTTGAGAAAACGGTAAATTCCTGGAACCATATTTGAGAGCTATTTACCGTTTTTCTACAAGGAAATTCTTTGCAGTGCACTTAAGAACTAAACCCCCTTTAAACTGTCATGGGAATTTCTCCTCACACCATAGACACAACAACTACGACAGACGCTACAAAACCCCACCCACCAATGATCTTTTGCACATGTGTGGAGCCGGTTCTGCAGACGGGGGGGGAAGGAAGTCATTTATAACCTCGGGGTAGGGTGCAGGGGCAGGGGGCAGGGGGCAGGGGGCGTCGGCCTCGCTCTCTCTCTCTCTCTCTCTCTCTCTGACGGCTGCCTGAAGTATGGCAGCTATGTGTCTCAAACAGCGCCCTTGAATTGTAACATTTCTGACCCTGAACATAATACGGAGCGGCCCACGGAGGGATTCTACTCGCGCTGGAAAATAAATCCTGGGCCAATATAGTCCAAGTGCACGCAGCTCAAACAATGCGGCACACGATATTCCACAGAGACGATTGGTTTTGTTCTGTGATGTTAAATGGGCGGCACGGTGGCTGAGTGGATAGCACTCTCGCCTCTCAGCAAGAAAGTCCTGGGCTCGAATCCCGGTCGGACCAGGGCCTTTCTGAGTGGAGTTTGCATGTTCTCCCCGTGTCTGTGTAGGTTTCCTCCAGGTACTCTGGTTTCCCCTACCACTAAAAATATGTCCAATACTTCTTGCATGCGCCTCCTGTACTGGCCCCGCTCCCATCTCTGTGTGGAGTGAGAGACAAATGCCCATAATTAACAATTGTAAACCGCTTTGAGACTCAGATCTGTAGTGAAATATATAAATAAAGATTACTACTATTAAATAATGATGATATTTCTTTATTTGAGAGCACTTTTCCATGATCTGTGTTGATGAACATCCAAACAAAACCAACATCTGCGAGAATATGCCTCATACGACCCCTTTTCAACCCTGTTTTAGTGTAAAAAATATGTAAAATTGTGTTCTACAGGTTTGCATTGATTCGAACTAACTACAAAATTCACTGGTGGAGCCAAATCCAGCAGAGGGCGCTCTGGGATTGCCCCGCCTTTTTTTGTACTCATTTGGGAAATTCAATCCATGTCCATGCAGTGCATTGGGATAAACGTCCTTTTGAAGAATAAGTGGCGCAGGTTTGTTTGCGCAACTCGGCAGAGAATTTGATTCGGGACCAGATTGTGACCAATCACAGCGGACCACTAGCCCCCACTTTCTTGAGAAAATCTACAGGTCTCTGGTTAGCACAGACAGCTGAGGTAAGGAGCATCATGGCAGAGGCAAACCTGAAACTTCCCGTGTCTTTGTTACCGGTTACAGCGAAACAGCCGTCCACAAGAAAGTCTCATCCTCCGCGCTTCCCGGGTCTATCATTCTATGGTCACGCCGTCCACGTTCAAATGTGCGATCCATATTGTGAGCTCCGTAAACAACAGCACATGAGTACAGGCTGAGTGGGAGGCGGCTAGTGGGGTGTAGTGGGGGGAGCAGAAAGAGCGAGGCCAGCGCTCACATTGAAACACTGCTTCGAAATCTCGAAGTGAGTTAGGCCCTGTCCACACGAAGTCAAGCTCAGGCCTAAACGCAAAAATACTTTGTCAATCCAGTGTATCGTCCATACGAGGCCGGCGTTTTGGGGGGGTGTAAACGAACATTTTTGAAACTAGGTCCCAGAGTGGAAAGATTTCAAAACTCTGTATATGCTGCTCCGTGGTTACTGCCTCTCCGCAATGTATCTGAGACGCTTGCGTCATCGCCCCGCCTCTTGTTAAAGCACGCATGCGCCGCACTCAGAAAATAATGACAACAACAATGTAGCTTGTTGGTTTTGTAATCCAGTGTGACCCGAAGCAACAGTTCAACCTCATCGTCCGTCCATACTAATGTAGTACCAGCTCGCCCACTCGCCATGTTGTCTGTTTACAAAATTCCGCGCATGCCCACGGAAGTTTGGGCTTGATCCCGTCATTGCGTCACAGCGCCACCAACAGGTCTGGCATAGTTTCACAGCGTTTTCAGGCGTATTGACTACATTCATATGGACGCACACATTTACTGAGCTAACTCCGTGTTTACAGAAAAAGTTTCTGAAATTATAAGCGTTTTGTCTTCGTGTGGATATAGCCTAAGTCCAGCTTTAAAGCACCCCAAGTTTAACCTACTGTGATGTCTAAAGCTCCCTAAACAGTTAGACGGATGTATGTATGTTTTGGCTTCAACGTGTTCAGACAGAAAAGTGAAACCATAAGTACCCCCCCCCCTCTCCCTTCACTAATAATAATACCCCATAATAATACCCCTCTACCCCAGCTTTAAATCCTGTGTACATAACTTGTATTATTGATTGTGTTACATATGTTTGTGAAAAAACAGGTTGATTCTCTGATCTGTTTTGGAAAATTGACAGCTTTGCTAAGTCCTCCGAGATAACCACTGTTGTGATTTAGGGCGATACAAAAATACATTGAATTGAAATGAATTGGAAAAATAACTTTATTTGTGGCTCCTCATGGCTCACACTGGTCCTGGAAGGTTCTGGAAGGTTCTGGAAGGTTCTGGAAGGGGCCTCCTGCTGCTGGGAAATGTATCGGCATGAGACAAATCTAACTTTACCCCTGATCCACGGTGTGTCTGTCCCTGAGATTATAAGAGTGGCATGGTGGCACTTCTACAACGTCACTTTAAGATTATTATATTTAACACTGGAACTCCAAGGGGGAGTCAATTCGACGGCTTTTAGTTTTGGAAGTGTAATTACTCAGCTCATGTACTTTCTTGGTCTTTATATCTTTGTGACCTTTTCTGTTTCTATGTCAATATTTTTCTGAAAACATCTTTTATTTCTGAAATGTGAGTTCCATCGTTAACTCCCACACCGTCATTTTGACTTTTTCCAGTAATGCGAATGCAAACTATAAATGTAGTCTGTTTGGGGCACTCTACATATATGTTGTATGTTATAAGTATCGAGCCAGATGTTAAGTAAACAAGCTAACCCTCTACCACGCCACCCTTCTTTTGTGATTCATCAACAACCTCATCTTCACTTGGTACCGTATGTTACGACTTTCAGGGGAATTTCTCAGAACTCCATTGGTTTGAATGGAAGCAGTCAAAATGACATTCTACATCAGAAGAATAACGGTGTGTGTCTGTGTGTGTGTGTGTGTCTGTGTGTGTGTGTTGCAGTATGTCTGGGCACGGACATGAAGCTGGCGCTGCCGTCCAGTCTGGAAAACCACTATGAGACTCTGCAGCTGCTGTACACCGGGTGCCAGGTCGTACATGGCAACCTGGAAATCACACATGTGCACGGAACCCGAGACCTCTCCTTTCTACAGGTGCCCTGCTGTTTTTTTAATAATACGAGAATAACTTGATTCAGAAAACACTTGTAATCTTTCAGAATAGTTCTTTTTTCCTTATGTTAACTTGGTCACACATTAGTTTATCCCTCACTAATTATCAGCTAAATAAGTGAACAATTAGTGCATAATGTGTCGTTAAATAGCTCTTAATTGATACGTATAAAGTACATTAATTAGTGAGGACTAATTAGTGAGGACTAATCTAAAGTGTTACCGTTGACTTTTTTGTTTGCCCACAAATTATTTCTCAACTAATATATGATTGTCCTGTAAGATCCATCAAGTTAGCAGCTAGCTAACTTATGCTACTCCATTAGCATGTCTGTGTATGTTGTATATATATACAGTATGTGTGCACGTCCTGCTTCTGACCTCTAGGGCTGTTCGTCTTTGGTAGTTTTGTCTATTAAAGCTGGGGTACCAAACTTTTTTGTTTAACACACTTCAGTCAGGTTTGGAAGAATGAGTCACTATTTGACACTTTGGGCTGAGGCTGGTCCTTTATTTTTTAGTATTTACTGATAGAATTCAAAATAATTATTATCAATATTCTGTGTAATAAATCTGAGGAAAACAGTTTTCAGAGCGAGAAAAAGTTTCAAAATTTTATGTCATGCAGTTGTAAAGTCAGGTTCCCCAGCTTTAACTGGTCGATTATGTACCATATGTTATGACCAGAAAATATATTAGATTATTCTTCATTGAATTTCCTTTAAATCATATTGGGCCTCATTCACGAACGGTTCTTAGTACTACTTAGTACTCTACTTACGAGGTTTTTACGAAGAAAGTGGCATTCACGAATTTTTCTCGTAACCAGAATTTCTCTTGGGCAAGTACAAATCCTACGAGTCCTCAGGAGCACTCGTACGCATTCAGTGCCGACATGTTCACACGCCGGGGTTGTCCTCTTTGGTGAAGTTGAATAAAAATACAACATTCCAGTGATATGTCCGTCATATTGATGTATGTATTTATTTATTTAAATGTTAATGGTAATTTAGCCTATTTTTAAATTAATTTTGAAATAAAATGTGCCAACGCTTTATCAAATACATTGGAAATCATGCCGTGTATTACAGTAGTGACCCCATCCTATTTATAGGGGAAATTTCTTTATCCACGGGCCACAGAACAACGGCATATATACTGCTGCTGCAGGAGGCTGCGGGGTCCGCTCTGAGTCTCTGCGCTGGTCTCTCCCATGGATCTAGACGGGTCTGCGCTGGTCTCTCCATACGGGTCCGTGCTGCACGCTCCTGGATCCAAACGGGTCCGCGCTGGTCTCTCCAGTCTGGTTTGCGGTCTCTCTTCGGTCCGCGCTGGTTTCTGTGTGCTGGTCACTCCAGTCTCTCCTCGGGTCTGCATTGGTCTCAGCGCTGGTCCGCGCTGGATCTCCTCCCAGGGTCCAAAATATTTTTAGATTAATCTCAAAACATTTTGAGATTCATTTTTAAATTAATACATAATATATGTTTAAACTTATCTCATAGCATTTTGAGGTTAATCTCATCATATTTTTAGATTAATCTCATAATTTTGCTAGTTCGACTTTATTCTTATAATATTTCGACTTTTAAGTCAACATTTTATTACTTTATTCTCAGTCTGGCAAAAGAAGAAAAAAGGGTGACTCTTTTGCTCCTTGTAACTCTTTGCTTTAGGCCTGTTGCTGTTTCCTCTGCCGTCTGCACACGGCCCTGCATCCCCTTATATGGGCATTAATGGGCGGTTACTTATGCTAAGTACCTATGCTAATGAAGCACAGGGCACGCCACTCTACTTACGAGGAGTTGGCATTCATCAATCTGAGAGAACAGCTGCGAACAATTCAGCGGCTTACGAGCGCGTTGATGAATCCCACGTAGGCTCTTCTTAGAAATCTACTGAAGAACGACTTGAGTAGAAATTTAAAGTGGTTCTCACCCCCGCTCCTCGGAGCTTACGTTACTCACATTTCCTGTTCAAATCTTCCTCTAAATGGGCGTAGCCTGGAGGACTGAAGGGGGCGTGAACGAGACTGGGCCGTTTACATAGCTCTGGGCGGGGGGCTGCTGACGTCAGGTCCAACTTGCAGACGTCAGGTCCAACTTCTGTGCCAGTGTTGGCGCCAGATTCAAAATTCAAATGTAGTAATACAGGTCGCCAGCAGATGGCGCCTCACAGACGGTTTTAGGCAGAAAGTCTAACTTTCAACTAATTTGCGCCAAAGTGACAAGATTATGACCAGGATATGTAGACAACACTATTGGACACTCATTTATACCGTTTATCAGCAAAAAAAAGTGGATTTGAGGGTGAGTTGTCCTTCAAGAAGTTTCTTACGAAGTTATTCGTGAATGAGGCCCATTGTACGGAGTATTGAAGTCACAGAGTAAAGTAGCTCAAGCTTTTGTATTTGGTCTCATCATTTTGTGTGGAGTTTGATCTCGTGGCTAGATTCATAAAACCATAATAGTCAAGTTTCAATTTCTTGTCACTTTGGACCATGGAGCCATAAAACTACAGTACACTGCCATCATCAGAGCTGCTGCAGCCTGACCCCCTCTGTCTCCCCAGGGCATCGTGGAGGTGCAGGGGTATGTCCTGGTGGCGCACCTCTCCGTAGACCTGGTGCCTCTCGACAACCTGCGCATCATCCGGGGGTCCCAGCTCTACAACGGCAGCTTTGCTCTGGCTGTGCTTGAGAACACACAGGCGGGACACGGGCTCCGGACCCTCAGGATGCGCAGTCTCACAGGTGCACACTCTTCTGAATGGTTTTCGTTGAGGGCCGCACCACGTGGAAGAAATATGGGCTTGTGCAGATGTGGGATTTCTTTACGAAGGACTTACTGTATGCACGGCAGAAAGTGATCAAAAATAAGTTCAAAATGGCTCAAAATGACAGTTCTACTTTTTATAGTGTGTACTTCAAAGTGCCAGAGGAGAATTCAGCTTTTGAGGAAATACTGGAAAAAATATTGAATTTGTATTTTTACTTTTGAAATTAAATTCTCAGTTAAAATCCTGTTTAAAATTATTTCAGATTGGACTTTCTTCTGTGCAGATAAAATGGATCCAAGCTAGAACTAATAAAATGTTTTTTTTAAATCACATGGTTATTTTTTTCTATTTTCAAATGAAGACACTTGATTTTGAAGAGAAATAAACCCTTATTTAATCTCTTATTAGCTCATGATTTTGCAGTGATTGTTTTAAAGTGCTCCATTATAATGCTTTTTTTGCTGTTGGTCACATCTAAATAATTGCAGATTGCAGATTTTCTAATTAAAGCAGCTAAAATTGCGATTTTGTTTGATTGCGACGGTGCAGCCCTAGTTCCATCTCAGATCAAAATTTTTTTGATTGCGTTTGTAAGTAACAGGAAGTCACAAACTCCGAATTTGCTTTGACTCAATTAATCTTAAGACCCATTTTTACTTCCTGGCTTTTGACACAGCATTCAATTTTTACTGTTTTACAACTGTTTTTCTTATTCTTTCTTTGATACATATAAAAAGCAGTGCTGTTCTTTGTAAACTGTTTTTTATACAAAGTGCTATATAAATAAAGTGGATGGGGTGTAACCTGTATAACGTGTGGTCGTGCAGAGATCCTGGTGGGCAGTGTCTACATCTGGAGCAACCCGCAGCTGTGCTTCCCGGACCCTCACAGCATGGTGTGGCGGGACACGCTGGACGAGCAGAAGAGTCACGCCATCAAACACAAGCTGCAGAAGCGAGCGGCCGACTGTAAGAACCGTGCACTTCTTTGGACCGGGCCGTGGCGGGTTCAGAGGCGCGTTCTGAGACGTGTGTGTTTTTTCTAAACGCTGTTTTCAGGTCCGCTCTGTGACCCGTCCTGTACAACTCCTGGGGCCTGTTGGGGAGAATCTGCACAGGACTGTCAAACACGTGAGTCATCGTCATAGTAACAAGCCAGTAACAAACCAGTAACATAATCAGTCCATCCTGAAACTGAACAAGGCTAAAGTGTGAATATAAATGTTTCATCGCGAGTGTGTCTTGGTTAAATGTCCTGTGTGTGTATCGTCTGGTCTTAGCCGACTGTGAACTCCGGTCATTATCATTTCTCCACATATACCGTCTGGATCTGCTCCCAGTGTCTGCAGTCACATCGGTTGAATCCCATCCGACCAATCAGCGAGCGCAGGAGGCGGGTGTTGTAGATAGAAGTCGCTGACGTCTAGAATTTGCTGGTGGTAGTTTGGCGATGGCAGCGAATGCGATAGTGAAGTATTTTGTTCTGGTTCAGCTCCAAATCTAAAAAAATTGAAGCCAGAGCAAGAGGAATCTTTAGCAAATGTAAATGCTGGCAAAGATGTTGTGGCGCTACTCCCTTACGGGCTAAAGGGGATGGCTAAAGCTAGGCTAGATGCTAACGTCTCACTTATTACATATTACATTAAATGTAAACTCAGATCCAATCCTTTCAAACTGCAAATGGAGTTAACCCTCCTCCTGTTAACGGAGCTCAATGGAGCAAATGCAGACCTTAGTACGAAATGTCATTTGTACTATGGTGTGGTACGACCAGGCTAGTGTGTGAATGTATTTTATCTTTTTTTGTTGAATGGAGCTGCTGAACTGTTGATGATGGGATTTTTTTTTTTTTACGGTTAATTTATCTTGTGCTGTGTGCTCCTCGTTCCAACTGTCTTTAACTTGGGATGCAACACTAAAATTTCCCCACTGTGAGTTTAATAAAGGATAAAAGCCTTCCACAGGACATGTATCTCAGTTCTAGAGGAAAGAAGACATTTTAGGTTTCAGATTATCCTTTATTCTTCCCTCGGTTCAAATTTCAAAGTCATATTTGCACATTACAGCAGAATAAAAGGAGAAATAAGAGCAGATAATGCACACATCAAACAGGATTATTATTTAACATGATGGATAAGACAATAAAATAATAAGATAATAAGCTGTGGAGGTATAACTGCCAGAGAGTCAAAGATAAGTGACTCAAGAAGTTTCACATTTACAGTTGTTTTTATTGTATTTTAGCAGCAGAGAAAATGATCAGATAAACAGTAGTAACAATAGCAGCTAGGACCATATATGGAGATTTTTATCCATGTCGATTGTTCCAGTTTCTCTCGTTACAGGGTAACATTTTTCAGCTAGGCTCTTCAGAATGTTGTGATGTCACATGAACACAAACTATTGTTCGTAGTTAATGCACATAGAAAGAGGGTTTAGACATGAAGAGCTTGTTTTCCATCTCATATCCATAATGCTGATATTCTGTATTTGATGATGCCTCCTGCAGTGACCCGCATCAACTGTGCGTCCGGCTGCCTGCGCTGCAAGGGCCCGTCCCCCAGCGACTGCTGCCACATGCAGTGTGCAGCCGGGTGCACTGGCCCCAAAGACTCCGACTGCCTGGTGAACACACGTTTACATGACTTTTCTCATTCATTATGAATGTATCGTGTTTATTTGTATGTTCGCTTCCTTCAGGCGTGCCGTCACTTTAACAACAGTGGAGTTTGTAAAGATAACTGTCCTCCTCCCAACATCTACGACTCCGCCACCTTCCAGACCAAACCCAACCCCAACAAGAAGTTCAGCTTTGGAGCCACCTGCGTCAAGACCTGTCCATGTACGCTCTTGTAACATTCAGAGTCTCATGGAGATGACTTATTCATGACTTCAGTGTGACTTTTTACTGTCACATAAAGGTTGTGATGTGGAATCAAGAATGATAATCTGTATGACTCTGAACACACTCACTGGAGCAGCCTGACCACGACTCTCTCCTTTCAGACAACTACCTGGCCATGGATGTGGCGTGTACGCTGGTTTGTCCCAAAGCAAACCAGGAGGCCATCCTCTCTCACCCCGACGGCAGCGAGACCCAGAAGTGTGAAAAATGTGAAGGCGACTGCCCCGAAGGTTCGACACTGTGTTACCAATGCTTACTGTGTGTGTGTGTGTGTGTGTGTGTGTGTGTGTGTGTGAGCAGCGTTGGATACAGCAGTGATTTTCAACATAAAACAGCTTTTATAGTCATGCAGCAAATGCATGTGATATTCTGTTAGAGCGCCCCCTGTGGTGCAGGGCTGGATTTGTGACACAGCTGTTGATCTCAGGAGCTGAGCACAGTCTTGTTTCCCAGTGTTTATGTGAACAGCAGCGAGACACACGGACGTGCAGGGAAATATTACACAGGAGTTTATTATATGTGATTAGGGCCATAGTCAGAGCATTTGGACATCAGTAAGAAAGTTAGTGTCACAATAGATACATTTAAGTTTAAACACCATTAAAACATGTTGTGTTGTTAAAATATGTCTTAGTTTTGCTCCATCAGCTGCTGGTTAAGTCACATTATGTTACTTTACAACATGAAAAGTGTGGCCTCTATGTGGACAACATGTACTTTGCCTCAGGACACACACACACAGGTGGACAGACACACACACACACAGAGAGAAGGACTGACACACACACACACACACACAGGAGGACTGACACACACACACACACACACAGGAGAACTGAGAGACACACACAGGAGGACTGACACACACACACACACACACACACACACTGGCTGATGATTAATTGTTGTACAGATTGTGTGTGGATTCCTCTTGTGCGACAGAAAGCTGAACAAACCTGTTGTTGTACTTCCTTGTTATTGTCGCTGCTCTCTCTCCTGCTGAGCATAAAGCTGTGCCCAAGTCTGCGTTTCACTGCCACAGTTAGAACAAGTAGGAAAATCAATAAATCCCACAAAAAGTAATATTTTTTTGCCATTTTTTTTCTAGCGTCTGTTAAAACAATACATTCAACTGAGGAGGAGTTTATCACACTGTATAATCACTTCCAACACAATAAACAATATTAGTATCTACAGTACAGTACCTATAGTCTATTTTTTTGTTGAGCTGCCGTGCGTACAAACTCTGCCTTGCTACACAATTTACTAAAACTCTTTCAAATATTGCAAAAAAATTAAAAATAAAAAAGTTAATCACAAGATAAATGAATAATAACTCTATACTAACATAAAATAAAATCTCTAACTATACAAAAATCTAAAATCTCTATCTTTAGCATAACAAGGAAAGAAGTCTTAAAAACTCCAACTTTAGCACAATAAGTATTAGTTGTTTTATGCCTGTCCTTGTGCACACTGGGGACTTTTGCGGGTGTATTCCAATGTGGTTTTACTGCAAATGGCAAATAAAATGAATCTGAAAATTTAGAGAGAGAGACCAGAGAGAGACCAGAGAGAGACCAGAGAGAGACCAGAGAGAGACCAGCGAGAGACCAGAGAGAGACCAGAGAGAGACCAGAGAGAGACCAGAGAGAGACCAGCGAGAGACCAGCGAGAGACCAGAGAGAGACCAGAGAGAGACCAGAGAGAGACCAGAGAGAGACCAGAGAGAGACCAGAGAGAGACCAGAGAGAGACCAGAGAGAGACCAGAGAGAGACCAGAGAGAGACCAGAGAGAGACCAGAGAGAGACCAGAGACAGACCAGAGAGAGACCAGAGAGAGACCAGAGAGAGACCAGAGAGAGAACAGACCTAGAGAGACTAGAGACACCAGGGAGACCATAGAGAGACCAGATAGAGACCGTCCTCTGAACTAATCATTGGTGTGTTTCTGACTTCAAATAAGGGCACTGTCATGTGAATGTAATTTCTGTGTGTGTCTCCGGTGCAGTGTGCTATGGTCTGGGCATGGAGCACCTCGCTGTGGTCACTATGGTTACGGCGGAAAACGTAGAACAATTCAACTCCTGTAAGAAGATCTTCGGCAGCCTGGCGTTCCTCCCGCAGAGCTTCTCCAGGTGCGAGAACCTTCAAACGTGTTCAAAACAACAAAATAGCTCCGGTATGGGGCGTCTTCTCTGTCTGTTGCACACCGGGGCCCGTCTTGCACAGCTATTCCAATATGGTTTTACTGCAAATGGCAAATACATTCTTGAATCTTGAAAACGTTTTTTTTCTCCCTCGCACTGAGATCTCATGTTGACGCCAGTTTACCTTTTTGTTTTTAGTGACCCGCTGACCAACACCACAGGCCTCAGTCTGGACCAGCTCAGAGCCTTCCGGAACCTGGAGGAAATCACCGGTACTCGTTTTACTTTTGACTGCAACATTTTCTGCAAAGCCTGTGACTTTTATCGTAACGTTTTCTTCTGAATGCTGTGAACCAGGATATCTTTACATTGACGCGTGGCCTAAAAACTGGACCGACCTGAGCGTGTTTGAAAACCTGAAGGTGATTCGAGGAAGAATGCTTTACAAGTAAGATTCTATCCACACCTGTGCAGAAGTCTCCATACCCCATGCCTCATTAGTGTGTGTTTCCTCTTTAACATCTGTGAGTCGATTAGTCTGTTAGTAGTTGTGGATGAGGTTCTTTGTCCTTCTTCTGGTCTCCCTTTCTGGTCTCTCTCTAGTCTTTCTTTCTCTGTCTGCTCACTCTCTCGTCGCTCTCTCATTGGTCTTTCATTGGTTTCTCTCAGGTCTCTTTCTGGTCTCTCTGGTCTCTCTGGTCTCTCTTTGGTCTCCCTCTGGTCTCTCTCTGGTCTCTCTCTGGTCTCTCTCTGGTCTCTCTCTGGTCTCTCTCTGGTTTCTCTCTGGTCTCTCTGGTTTCTCTCTGGCCTCTCTCTGGTTTCTCTCTGGCCTCTCTCTGGTCTCTCTCTGGTCTCTCTCTGGTTTCTCTCTGGTCTCTCTGGTTTCTCTCTGGCCTCTCTCTGGTTTCTCTCTGGTCTCTCTCTGGTTTCTCTCTGGTCTCTCTCTGGTCTCTCTCTGGTTTCTCTCTGGTCTCTCTCTGGTTTCTCTCTGGTCTCTCTCTGGTCTCTCTCTGGTTTCTCTCTGGTCTCTCTCTGGTTTCTCTCTGGTCTCTCTCTGGTCTCTCTCTGGTCTCTGGTCTCTCTCTGGTCTCTCTCTGGTTTCTCTCTGGTCTCTCTCTGGTTTCTCTCTGGTCTCTCTCTGGTCTCTCTCTTGTTTCTCTCTGGTTTCTCTCTGGTCTCTCTCTGGTCTCTCTCTGGTCTCTCTCTGGTCTCTCTTTGGTCTCTCTTTGGTCTCTCTCTGGTCTCTGTTTTCTCTCTGATCTCTCTGGTTTTGCTTCATCTAATCCCTTTTGAAATCAAATCAAGGAACATTTAGAACGGGAAAAAATTGATTAAATGTAATTCTTTAACAGCAGCAGTTATAATTCCTAGTCTCCAAAACAAAGAGTAAATAAGTAAGATCAACTGTTCACAAACTTTCTCACTCCACACTGTTTATATTAATAAACATTGAACATGTTTCCTTCGTGTGTGAGGCTGAGAGTCTTTGCTGTTTGTTCCCTCTCTGAGCTGTAAAAGCTAATAATTAGCTCGCCAAGACAGACTCAGGGACGAGCAGGTCCCTGTACGCAAGGCAGGTTTATTTGTATAGCACAGTTCAGACCAGTCCCTGTGCTCCTCAGTCCCAGCAGGAGGCCAGTCCCTGTGCTCCTCAGTCCCAGCAGGAGGCCAGTCCCTGTGCTCCTGCTCTCTGGTGTACTTTGATGCGAAGCCCTGGAGAGACTTGTAACAAACAGAGCTGCTTTAAAGTCTGTTCTCTGAGCCTCAGGAGCCACGGAGCAAAGACAGTCACAACATTGACTTAATAAAGTACTAAACGTCGGCTTCTTTCCCCAAAACGACAATAATAATAATAACAATAATGCATCAAACTTACATAGCGCTTTTTTGGACACTCAAAGACGATTTACAAAACACGTAAAAATTAACATTGAACAACAAACTTAAGGAAATACTGAAACAGGTGGGTTTGGAGAAGTGATTTAAAGTTCTGCAGTGAGTGGGAGTGAGTTCCAGAGAGTGGGGCAGGTGAAGGCGGCGAAGGCTCAGTCCCCAAAGGTTCTGGACAATACCATTTCTTTATAAGTTTCAGTTCATTCTCCATCCATCCATTTTCTTCCGCTTCATCCGTTGCCGGGTCGCGGGGGCAGCAGTCTAAGCAGAGACGCCCAGACTTCCCTATCCACACACACCTCCTCCAGCTCGTCCGGGGGGACTCCAAGGCGTTCCCAGGCCAGCTGAGAGACATAGTCCCTCCAGTGTGTCCTGGGTCTTCCCCGGGGCCTCCTCCCGGTGGGACATGCCCGGAACACTATATCTTTTCACACATGAACATTAATTATACATCAAATATAATATTTTATATTTGAGTTGGACTGAAACCACTGGAGAAAGTTCATTTGTTACTATTATTATTATTATTATTATTTTTTTTTATTTTTTCATAGTTGTAAATGATTTCTCACTGAGCTGTCATATCGTCGTGTGTGTGTGTGTGTGAGTGTGTGTGTGATTTATGTATAAAAATATGTAAAAGCATGTAATGATTTTGAGGAGACCCCAGGAAGATTAGCCATTGCATCTCAGTGGCTAATGGGGATCTTAATAAACTAAACTAAACTAAACACCTCCCCAGGGAGGCGTCCAGGAGGCATCCGGAACAGATGCCCGAGCCACCTCAACTGGTTCCTCTCGACGTGGAGTAGCAGCGGTTCTACTCCGAGCTCCTCCCGTGTGACTGAGCTCCTCACCCTATCTCTAAGGGAGCGCCCAGCCACTCTGCGGAGGAAGCTCATTTCGACCGCTTGTATCCGCGATCTCGTTCTTTCGGTCATTACCCAAAGCTCATGACCATAGGTGAGGGAGGGGACGAAGATTGACCGGTAAATTGAGAGCTTTGCCTTTCGGCTCAGCTCCCTCTTTACCACAACGGTCCGATACAGCGACCGCATCACTGCGCACGCTGCACCGATCCGCCTGTCAATCTCACGCTCCATCCTTCCCTCACTCGTGAACAAGACCCCGAGATACTTGAACTCCTCCACTTGAGGAAGGGCCTCTCCTCCCACCCGGAGAGGGCAAGGCACCTTTTTCCGGTCGAGCACCATGGCCTCAGATTTGGAGGTGCTGATTCTCATCCCAGCCGCTTCACACTCGGCTGCAAACCGTCCCAGTGCATGTTGTAGGTCCTGGTTCGTTGGAGCCAGTTGAATCCTGTGGTCCCCGAACCGGACCCCCTCCGACCCTTGGCTGCGCCTAGAAATTCTGTCCATGAATACAGTGAACAGAACCGGTGACAAAGGGCAGCCCTGACGGAGGCCAACATGCACCGGGAACAGGTCTGACTTACTGCCGGCAATGCGAACACAGCTCTGGCTCCGTCATACAGAGACCGGATGGCCCTCAGCAGAGGACCCCGGACCCCGTACTCACGGAGGACCCCCCAAAGGACACCCCGGGGAACACGGTCGAACGCCTTCTCCAAATCCACAAAGCACATGTGGACAGGTTGGGCGAACTCCCATGAGCCCTCGAGTATCCGATGGAGAGTGTAGAGCTGGTCCAGTGTTCCACGGCCGGGACGAAAACCACACTGCTCCTCCTGGATCCGAGATTCGACCATCGGCCGTAACCTCCTCTCCAGTACCTTGGAGTAAACCTTACCAGGGAGGCTGAGGAGTGTGATCCCACGATAATTGGAACACACCCTCCGGTCCCCCTTCTTGTAGAGAGGGACCACCACCCCGGTCTGCCACTCCATTGGCACCGCCCCCGATCGCCACGCGATGTTGCAGAGACGTGTCAGCCAAGACAGTCCTACAACATCCAGAGACTTTAGATAGTCAGGACGGATCTCATCCACTCCCGGCGCCTTGCCACCAAGGAGGCTGCCAACCACCTTGGTGACCTCTGCCAGGGTGACAGAAGTATCCGCCCCAACATCCTCAGCCTCTGCCTCCGGAGCGGAGGACGTGACGGGGGGATTGAGGAGAACCTCAAAGTATTCCTTCCACCGTCCGACAATATCCCCGGTCGAGGTCAGCAGCTCACCCCCCGCACCGTACACGGTGTTGGCAAAGAACTGCTTCCCCCTCCTGAGGCGCCGGACAGTTTGCCAGAATCTCTTCGAGGCCGACCGATAGTCATGCTCCATGGACTCTCCGAATTCCTCCCAGTCCCGGGTTTTTGCCTCTGCAACAGCCCGGGCCGCGGCACGCTTGGCCTGCCGGTACTGGACAGCTGCCTCAGGAGTCCCTCGAACCATCATGGCTCGATAGGACTCCTTCTTCAGCCTGACGGCATCCCTTACTGCCGGTGTCCACCACCGGGTTCGGGGGTTGCCGCCGGGACCAGCACCAGAGACCTTGCGACCACAGCTACGAGCCGCCGCATCGGCGATAGAGGAAGAGAACATGGTCCACTCAGACTCCATGTCCCCCTCCTCCGCCGGGACCTGGAAGAAGCTCTCCCGGAGGTGTGAGTTGAAAGTCCGTCTGACAGGGGTCTCAGCGAGACGTTCCCAGCAGACCCTCACTACACGCTTGGGTCTGCCAGGTCTGACCGGCTTCTTCCCCTGCCAGCGGATCCAACTCACGACCAGGTGATGATCGGTTGACAGCTCCGCCCCTCTCTTTACCCGAGTGTCCGAAACACGCGGCCGAAGGTCAGATGATACGACAACAATGTCCATCATCGACCTCCGGCCTAGGGTGTCCTGGTGCCACGTGCACTGATGGACACCCTTGTGCTCAAACATGGTGTTCGTGATGGACAAACCGTGACTAGCACAGAAGTCCAACAACTGAACACCGCTCGGGTTCAGATCAGGGGGGCCATTCTTCCCGATCACCCCTCTCCAAGTGTCACTGGTGCTTCCCACATGGGCGTTAAAGTCCCCCAGGAGAATGACGGAGTCCCCGGGCGGTGCACCGTCCAGTACCCCTCCCAAGGACTCCAAGAAGGCCGAGTACTCTGCACTGCTGTTAGGCCCGTAGGCCGTCACAACAGTGAGAGACTTGTCCCCCACCCGGAGGCGGAGGGACGCGACCCTCTCATTCACCGGGGAGAACTCCAACACGTGGCGGCTGAGATGGGGGGCAATGAGTATGGCCCCCCCAACTCGCCGCCTCTCCCCGCGAGAAACACCAGAAAAGTGGAGCGTCCAACCCCTCTCAAGGAGTTGGGTTCCAGAGCCCAAGCTGTGTGTGGAGGTGAGGCCAACTATCTCTAGTCGGTACCTCTCGACCTCCCCCACAAGCTCGGGCTCCTTCCCCCCCAGTGAGGTGACGTTCCACGTCCCAAGAGCCAGATGTTGGGTGTGCGGACTGGGTCGCCGAGGTCTCCGCCTTCGACTGCTGCCCAGTCCTCTCTGCACCGAGCTGCCACGGACCCCTCTGCAGGTGGTGGGCCCACAGTTCATTCTTCGTCACAATATCACACATTTACGTTTGTATCCATTTTTTGTGAAAGCTAAGTCTTAAAAAGCTTCTCCCGTATCAAAAAGCACAATGTCAAATCGCTGTATACCTAATTATATCTTGTGCTTGCTGTTTTCTGCAGAGGCGTCTTCTCACTGGCCGTCCAGAACGTGCACATCGAGTCTCTGGGGCTGCGCTCGCTCCACAGCGTCAGTGGAGGGTTAGTGATGCTGCACAATAACTCCCAGCTCTGCTACACCAGCTCCCTGCCCTGGGACACCCTCCTGCACCCCACCCAGGGACCACACCGCATCGTCAGCCAGAACCAAGACCCCCAGACCTGCGGTGAGCACCTCCATGTGTCTGAGTCTGTTTGTGACGTTTGGTGATGAACTATTGTTGAAGGTAATTGTGTGTTGTGTTGTGTTTCCACCCCCACAGAGGCTGAAGGGCATGTGTGTCACGCTCTGTGCAAAGGCGGGTGCTGGGGTCCCGGCCCGAGCCAGTGTGTGTCCTGTCAACATTTCCAGCGCGGGACGGAGTGCATCGAACAGTGCAATGTTGACCAGGGGTAAAGACCTGTGCTCTGCTTAGTGATGCTATAAATGTTACATGCTGCAGTTGCCATGGGTTTGAAATGACTCTGAATACATACGACTCCACCTCCAGACCTTTCTGTGTGGAGTTTGCATGTTCTCCCCTTGTCTGCCCTGGTTTGCTACACCATGTCTACCGCTAAAAACATGTACAACATGATCTGGCATGTGCCTCCTGTAGGTGGCCCCGCTCCCATCTCTGTGTGGAGTGACAGACAAATGGTCAAAAAACAACAATTGTAAAGCGCTTTGTGACTCTGGTCTGTGAAAGGCGCTATATATATATATATACAGTAAACATTACCTTTGGTTTGATAAATTCACTGAAATCAAGTGAATTACACCGGTCTATATTTTAACTTTTTGCCGTGAAGAGCATTAATAATTTAGTATTGTGATACACCACTCAACCCTTCTCCTTTAAGACCTTTTTAAATGACATTTTGAGGGAAATCTCAGGGACCCTAAACTTATTTTTAGATTCTTTGCCTCTTGGTGGAGGTCTGTGCTCTACAAGTGTCTTTTAATGGTAATAGTTGGTGCAGTCAGTCCGCAGTATGTGGTGTTGACATAACCGTGGTTGTTAGTTATTTGTGGTGAGGGCCTCGGTCTAAAAGTGACCGTCCACACGTCAGGGTCAAGTTCTTTGGTTAAAAGCAGCCTCCGAATGCCGCTGTGTTTCAGAATGTAATAATGTCCCTCTGTGCTTGCCGTACAGGCCGCTGCGGGAGTATGTGGATGGAACCATGTGTGTGGCCTGTCACTCAGAGTGTCAGCCTCTCAATGACACGGCCTCCTGCCACGGACCGGTGAGAAATATAGTCATTTTGTGTTATTTTTATTATTAATTATGTTTTGACTTAAATTCTCTGTGGTTTTGGTTTTTGAGTTTTACTTCCTGTTCTGTTCCCTGTTGATTGTCTGCCCCGCCCTGATGTGTTTCACCTCCGTGTCTCTCTTTGCCTATACATATAGGCAAAGACATATACCTGTGTCTCTGTGTCTATATGTACCTGTGTCTTTCTGTGTCTATATGTACCTGTGTCTCTCTTTGTCTATATGTACCTGTGTCTTTCTGTGTCTATATGTACCTGTGTCTCTCTTTGTCTATATGTACCTGTGTCTCTCTTTGTCTATATGTACCTGTGTCTCTCTGTGTCTATATGTACCTGTGTCTCTCTTTGTCTATATGTACCTGTGTCTTTCTGTGTCTATATGTACCTGTGTCTCTCTTTGTCTATATGTACCTGTGTCTCTCTTTGTCTATATGTACCTGTGTCTTTCTGTGTCTATATGTACCTGTGTCTCTCTGTGTCTATATGTACCTGTGTCTCTCTGTGTCTATATGTACCTGTGTCTCTCTGTGTCAATATGTACCTGTGTCTCTCTGTGTCTATATGTACCTGTGTCTCTCTTTGTCAATATGTACCTGTGTCTCTCTGTGTCTATATGTACCTGTGTCTCTCTGTGTCTATATGTACCTGTGTCTCTCTGTGTCAATATGTACCTGTGTCTTTCTGTGTCTATATGTACCTGTGTCTCTCTGTGTCAATATGTACCTGTGTCTTTCTGTGTCTATATGTACCTGTGTCTCTCTTTGTCTATATGTACCTGTGTCTTTCTGTGTCTATATGTACCTGTGTCTCTCTGTGTCTATATGTACCTGTGTCTCGCTGTGTCTATATGTACCTGTGTCTTTCTGTGTCTATATGTACCTGTGCTCCTCTCCCCTTGTTGCTGGTCCAATGTCTTTGCTTGTTTGCCTGTTTACCTGGTTCTCGTGTTAGTTTTTTCATCTTGGACTCTTATCTATCATCACTAAATCCTTATTATTCTTGCATTCCTGTATTTTGGGTCCTCCTTCGTTTCACCCCGTGACAGATTCTGATTCTGATTCATACCGTGACCCAAATGAGGCATGTCTGTGTATGACCGGGCTTTTTTTTTGGAGAGCTACTTTTACACACCAGAATAAAACTGTAGTCTGTGTAATAACTTCAAATAAACATGGACAACACTCATGTGAAATGTACCATAAACTGTATAACCGTGCTTTAGTGAACATAATGAAAACATGTATTCTTGGGTTTCATACGACGTCAGGGCAGTGCCGCGAATAACAAACGTAGGACAGGACGTGACGTATCCTGGCGGTGCAGTCTGCCGGGTTTAAACACGGAGATATAGTAGAAGAAGAAGCGCTGTCAAAATGCCATCTTTTTGTAGCAACCGCGCAAATACAGAGAAAGACAAGAGTTTCTTCATGTTCCAACTGTGGTCTCGTATAAAGGAGAACACTGGAGTGAGGCGGGCGAGGTGGATCAAGGCTTTCCCAGATAAGCGCCCCCTGCAGGTCACCCAAATGAAACGCAGCAATTTCTTCTGTTTTTCTTTCCAAAAATTACTCTTTTGAGAAATATTTGTTAGTTCTCTCTTAGAATTGAGTGTTTCCAATCAAGACTGTTCCAACAACCTTACACCGCACAGGATGAGAGCCTTTTGACACCAAAACAGACACGATTTACATGTTTTTCAATGGGAGCAAAACTGAGTTGTCCCACCTCTGCTCATTCGCCCCCTACTGGACAGTTTAATGAAACCCAAGAATAGTTCACTTTGATGCAAGGACTCAAAATGTTATAATTTAGACTCTTGTCAAATTCCTGAGTCCTTCTGGGAGCTATCTGAAAGGGTTGGCCAGCTACAGGTTGAAGACCCCTGCTGTACGGTATTTCAATCTGGAGAGACTACAAAAGACAAGATGCTTTAAAAGATTTATAGGTTGCAAGTTTGTTTGTAGTTTTTGCTCGATGCTTGAGGATCGATGCTTAAATATGAGCAGATTCTGATCCTGGGGCTGACACATGTGGCAAGGTGGAGGTGAGCGTATGATGAAATCCCGAGGCGGAGGTGGAAAGGAGGTCGGGAGGAGGTCGGGAGAAGATGGTTGCGGCTTTCTGTATTGTCACGGTTGGCAGGGAGTTGACGAAGCGGATGTGTTTGGCGGAGGAAGGAGGGGGCGAGCCTGGTGCGTTGTAGTCTACCAGTCTGAAGTTCCTCTTAAGCTTCATAAGTGGTGCTGAACAGGCAATCCAGGCAGGTCTTAGTGAATTAAAGATATTTGAGAGTTATTGAGAGAGCAGGGCTAATCTTTCATAGTTCTGAAGCCCTTTTGACTTTGTGAAAGACATCATGACGCATTTTTGTTTTCTGCTCCGGTTTGGCTTCTTCCCAGGGCGCAGACAAGTGCACAAAATGCCTTCACTTCAAAGATGGCGACTTCTGTGTGGATCACTGTCCCAGCGGCGCCAAAGTGGACCAGGTCTATATTTGGAAATACAGTGATGCGGACGGGAACTGCCAGCCCTGCAACACCAACTGCACCCTGTCGTAAGGAGGGTTTTATCTACGACATGTTCTTTCTGTTACATCGTCGCATCAACGAGATATTGTCATTTCAGGTGTACTCTGATGGATGAGAGAGGATGTCCCGTTCAAACTGGGTAAATCTAAGCTTTTGTTAAACCAGTCCCCAATCCTTCAGAAAAGAGTGGAATAACAGCACTTAAAGAAGCAGTATGTAAAGAACTGGCCAAAAGTGGCACTCTCCCTGACTCAGGTTGCCAGATAAGCAGACGAATACAGCTTGGACTATAATTGCTGAATATAGAGTTTTGTCAACAACAAATCTATAACCGACACCTTTTTAACAAAGGCCCAGATAGAAATCCTCGTTTAATTCCTTGTTTTGTCATTAATGATTTGAGAATCATAACGAGACCTTTTTAGTTCTGTGGCCACATGTCACTTTACCAGTGAGATTAGCTCGACGCGGTGAGTTCTGGCACCCGGATCACAGACTTTCTGATTGGTAAAACAGTGGAGGGTGGGACATCAAAACAGGACAGCAAGGCTGTAAAACTCTGAACTACTGTTATCAGTTAAAGAAGTATTTGAAAAGAGTAACGGCTTATTAAACGAGCGCGGCCCTTTGTACAGACCGAGCCGTGGCGAGATCTGTGCAAAAAGATTCTGATATTTCTCTTTTCAGACCGAGCAAGCGAGGTTAATGTTTTATTATATGACTATTTTTAATTTATGCAAATAACGATCTCCGACTGGGTTTTCCTAATCGTGTTTTTACCTTTCTGGTCTGTAATGAAGTTGTCAATCTCTTCTTGACTGTTAGGAGTTGTGTTTTTGTCGTTATTTGCTGTTATCACTTCCTCTGGCTCTTCGAACTCGTCCTGATAATAGAATTCACTGGAGAAAGCTCCCAGTCGTCGCTCATTATTTCTTTTTTACTGAGGAAAGATATCAAATTTGATACGCGCTGCGGACCTATTGTCATGGTAACGGTCCGAGATGGGAAAATATCAGACCGCAAATCAGCCAATCAGAGCGCGTGTACGATCCAAGTCATATAATAACTTATTATGATTATTATTAACATGTTTTATTAAAGCCTTTTGATGGATTAGGGCCTTTTAATGATTGACTTGACATGAATATCTTACATATTGCTACTTGTCACTGACGCTGCCTTTTTGCTCCTGGTTTCAGACCTGGAACCACCATCGCAGCTGCTTTTGGCGGTGTGGTGCTGTTCTGCATCCTACTGGCTCTGCTCGTGTTTTACCTGAAGAGACAGAAGAAGCTGAAAAAGAAGGAAACAATGAGGAGGTTCCTGCAGGAGCATGAGGTGGGAGTCTAACAGTAATGTGGAATACTAAACTACTTCTAATACCACTGTTGTGTGTGTGCAGCTGGTGGAGCCTCTGAGTCCCAGCGGAGCGTCTCCAAACCAGGCTCAGATGAGGATCCTGAAGGAGACGGAGCTGAAGAAACTGCGGGTTCTGGGAGCGGGAGCGTTCGGTACGGTCTACAAGGTGAGCTCTCCTTCAAAAACTTCAATATGAGTTAGGATTACTCACAGCGGGGAAATGTCAGTGTTGCATCACAAGTTACTCAACAGTAGGAATGAGCAGCACAGGAATAATGAACAATAACTCTATAGTAAAATAATATAGAAGACAGAGAGTTGGAATACTTTACCGTGATACAGAAGCAAGTCTAAAATCTAAAAATTTAGCATAATGAAGAAGCCAGAATTAAGTCTAAAATCTCCAACTTTTGCATAATAAGTAAGCAAAACAGTATTTTCTAGTGCCGTAAATGTATGTTTACATCTGTACATGTTAGCAGCACGAGGGTCTGGGTCAAAGTGACAGTGACACATGTGGTTCTATATTGCACATTGTCTTCGTTAAGTCCTCGCTGTTCGTTGTACAGTCTGACGGCAGCAGGACTCGCACAGCTGCATGCCCTCACACTCACAGAGGGCACTGCAAAGTCTCAGCATTTGATCTGTGTTTGTCTCAGATTGTTTTAAGTCAAACGAGCTTCAGGAAATGTGGTTGTTTTCAGGGCGTGTGGAACCCTGACGGGGAAAACGTCAAGATTCCAGTGGCTATTAAAGTTTTACGAGAGAACACTTCACCAAAGGCCAACAAGGAGATTCTGGATGTGAGTTTTGTCTTCACATTAGCTGTTCTTTCCCACTCTTACGTTACATTGTTGTTCTCTCTCTCTCTTGTGTGTTCCCAGGAGGCGTATGTGATGGCGGGGGTGGCCAGTCCGTACGTGTGCCGCCTGTTGGGAATCTGTCTGACCTCCACAGTGCAGTTGGTCACTCAGCTCATGCCCTACGGCTGCTTGCTCGACTACGTCCGGGAAAACAAGGACTGCATCGGGTCACAGTTTCTACTCAACTGGTGCGTCCAGATCGCCAAGGTACGGACGGAGAATCATGAAATGTGCTGTAAATGCATTCGACAGGGCAGTACTCGAACATGTCCACTGGGGGCAGATATTGTTGGATATTGTCACAGGGCAAGGCAAGTTGATTTGTAGAGCACAGTTCCTAACCAGGGCAAATCAAAGTGCTCAACCAAATCAGAAAAGAAACATTAAAATCACACAAGGCATTTCAAATCATAAATAATCACAGTACATTAAAAATAGAGAATAAAAACAGGCCTCGAACCTGAATTATTCATGTTGTTTTTTTCCCCACACAATAGCGTCCAACCCAATGTACTCTGGGGACTCTTAAGTAAACTGTAAACCCACACAAGGCATTAAAATCATAAATAATCACAGTGCATTAAAAAGAGTGCAGTACAATTCTTTAGTTGTACACTCAGCTAAACAGATCTGATTTTAACCTGGATTTGAACCTTGTCAGAGCAGAAGCATGTCTCACATTTTCAGCAAGACTGTTGCAGATTTTAGCGGCATTAATCTGTCACGTTGCCTCGCCATGGTTGATCCTGCTCAGAGTCCCAGCAGGAGGCCAGTCCCTGTGCTCCTGAGAGTCCAGTCCCTGTGCTCCTTAGAGTTCTAGCAAGAGGCCAGTCCCTGTGCTCCTCAGAGTCCCAGCAGGAGGCCTGTCCCTGTGCTCCTCAGAGTCCCAGCAGGAGGCCAGTCCCTGTGCTCCTCAGAGTCCCAGCAGGAAGCCTGTCCCTGTGCTCCTCAGAGTCCGAGACCGAAAAGGAAAGCAGGTTAACGGAACATAAGGACATCGCTGTGATGCACGAGCAGCAGAAAAAGCACTTCTCAGTTTGTGAAAGGTTGAAGGCGACGCGCTCACTGTTGACAGTTGTTTATCTATTTATGATGTAGACTGTCAAATGTGAATGGTTTATCATTTTATAAACAGCTGTGCCTGGGTGTTAAACAGGACTGATGATGTGCTGTTGTGCAGGGGATGAGTTACCTGGAGGAGGTGCGGCTGGTGCACAGGGACCTGGCGGCTCGAAACGTGTTGGTGAAACACCCAAACCACGTGAAGATCACAGACTTTGGTTTAGCTCGACTCCTGGACATCGACGAGACGGAGTACCACGCTGACGGGGGCAAGGTGAGCTCGGAATACTTCACATCGTGCAGTAACAGAAACGGGAAGATTGCTGAAAGTTATCGAATGTGGAATGTCCTTTTAGCATGTTCTAGAACTTTGCTAAAAACGATTGAACTATGATTTTCACTGAATCAGGTGTTATTTACTGGAGTTTAGGCCAAGACCAAAACATATGGGTCTCTTTTCAAACTGGCAACCCTCATGTGAAGCTCATTCTGCTCTCTGATTGGATAATTACAGTAGACACAATAAATCAGCATAACAATTGCTAACTGGAAAAACACATTTGATTTGAACATGTTTCCCTCAGGTCTGGGGACACGGATATGGTTTGGTTTTGTTGTTTCAAAATTAAATCTTATATCGAGCTAAACATATAAACGATCTTTGTTATAAAACATCATCTAAATGTCAGTGATGTTTTGTGTCAGGTCCCGATCAAATGGATGGCGCTGGAGTCGATTCTGCACCGACGCTTCACTCATCAGAGCGACGTGTGGAGCTACGGTCTGTGGAGACTTCTGCATCCTCTCTCCTCTATGTCTCCTCTCTGTCTCTGGTCTCTCTCCTCTCTGTCTCCTCTCTCTCTCCCCTCTCTCTCTTCTCTCTCCCCTCTCTCTCTTCTCTCCTCTCTCCCCTCTCTCTCTTCTCTCTGTTCTCTCTCTCTCGTCTCCCTCATGTCCCTCTGTCTCCTCTCTCTCTCCTCTCTCTCTCTCCTCTCTGTCTCCTCTGTCTCCTCTCTGTCTCCTCTCCCTCTCCTCTCTGTCCCCTCTCTCTCTCCCCTCTCTCTCTCCTCTCCTCTGCTGCTGACCCCTGACCCCTGTATCCTCCTCAGGTGTGACCGTGTGGGAGCTGATGACGTTTGGAGCTAAACCTTACGACATGATCCCGGCGAGGGAGATCCCCGAGGTCCTGGAGGGAGGAGAGCGCCTGCCGCAGCCGCCCATCTGCACCATCGACGTCTACATGATCATGGTCAAATGTGAGAGAGAGAAATATGATGTTTATTGACACGTTTTGAAAGTCAATAAAGAATAAGTGATTTAACGAAAGCAATAACAATCAGGAGTAAAAATACCAAACGTAAGCAAACTGGGGATGAAGACATGAGACAGAACAGGAAGTGAAGGACGACACAGGGTTGAGAACTCTGAGAGCCGACATTTTGACTGGAATTCTGAGAAATTACCCCAAATTTATTAAAAGTAAGTAATTTTTCATTGTGCTAAAACTGGTGAATAGAATTTGAAATAGAAAAAAGGCTGAACGCGAACTGCTGAAAGTAAACAGTGTGTTGCCACGGTAACTATAGGAGTCAATGGTAGAAAATAAATGAAAATAATGACATAGAAATAAAATACATAAAGAAACAGAAAAAGTCACAAAGTTACGAAGACCAAGAATAAACATGAGACGAGTGACTTCACTTCCGAAACTAAAAGCCGTCAAATTGACTGCTGTGGGACAAAGGATACAGACGAGAGCAGGTCATCACACAGAAGGAAGTCGAACCACAGAAGACGATTTCAAAATAAAACGCCAAATGAAACCAAACCATGACAGATTATGCTGATATACTTTTCAGGTTGGATGATTGATCCCGACAGCAGACCTCACTTCAAAGACCTGGTGTGTGAGTTCAGTGGGATGGCGAGAGACCCTCCTCGATACGTCGTCATACAGGTACATCTCATCTCTGTTTGGGTTGGACACAAAAAGGCAAACGGGCAAAAACACATATTGATTGTGTTAGTATTAGATAGCAATATGGCCTACGTGCAGGACTGTACAAGGACTCTGATTATTTTGACTATGATGTGACTGTCTCTGTGTGACACGTACGTCTTTCGATGTGTGACGTGACAATGACTATATAAACTGTGTACTGACTCCATTCTGTCTGAGAGAAAGAAACAATTGAAACCACTGGAACTTGAGAGAAACTTAAATAAACTTCCAGAGTTTGGCTTACCACGATCCGTCTCTGTCTGCTTCATCCCTGACAATTGTTCTTTGTGTCAGAACGATGAGCAGATGAGCGTGTCCAACCCGCTGGACAGTCAGTTCTTCCGGCTGTTGGAGGAGGAGGGCACCAACATGAGTGAGCTCCTGGATCCCGACGAGTACCTGGTCCCACAGCCCAACATGTATCAGCGGAGCCAGACCGACGGGGCCCAGTCCAACGGGCCGTCCAGACACCAGTCATACAGGGTAGACTATAATCACTGTTGTACTGTTTGGATTTGATTATATTTTCACTCATGATCTGGTTTAGCCCTAATGGATGGACATTTATTTACATTGGTCATCTGCCCCTAGTGGACAAATGCCTCTGTGTTTGATTCTCTGATCTGTGTTGGCGAGTCGAAAGCTTTGTAAAGTCCTCATACATAACTAATTTAGAGCGTATGGATTTAGGGCTACACACAAATACATTAAATTGGATTGAACTAATTTAATGTACAGTTTTAGGCTGTTTTAGGCTCACATATCCAAAATTAAAAATAGTAAAAGGACGTACAGTTGTATTGTTTTAGTTTTGCAGATTGCTTTAATTCAGGTCTCAATAATTTTGATCTATCAACATTGAGATTGCAAACTTGTTTCATTGTTTCTGAAGTCAAAACAAAACTTTGTCCATGAGCACTTCATTGAGCTAGTAGGTTAGCATTGTCCACCTGTATACAGTCAATGATGGGAAGCCAGGTCCTGGATTAAGGGTTTTCTTAATTCCAACATAATTCCCTATAAGGCCCTGGTTCATTACATTGACATAATTCTCTGTCAATACGTACATGTATTATTATTATTTTGTCTTTTTTTTTTTTTATGTTGTTGTATAAATGTATAAATGTAATTTGTCTCTGTTGTTTTTGTTATGTCCGTATTTTTGTTCACTTTTTGACTAAAACTGTACATAAAAATAAAACAATAATAATTCTCTGCCCCGATCAGAGTCGAGACCAGGGTCTGGACCTGGACCCGTCTCTCCTCAACGGTCCCCGCAGCATAAACTCTTCCACGAACGCACTGAGCCGGCTGCAGTACCCAACTCTGCCACTAGGAGCCAGCATCTCGAACGGGCCGTGGCCCCAGTACCCCACACTGGCGCGCAGTCCCTCCGCGGGAGGCCAGTCAGACTCTGTGTTCCTGGATGGGTCTCCGGACAACCCCTCTTTGACCCCCTCCAGCCCAGGACGCTACAGCAAAGACCCCACTTACCCCAATGGAAGCCTGGGCGACCTGGAGGTGGACGGTCCGGTCATGTTCCCCCCTCCACATTACCCCCACAACACCCTCCCCAGGCCTCATCGCTATCATGTCAACCACGCCCTACCAGGTGAGAATTCAAACCTCTGTCTCTGGTCTCTCTCTCTCTCGTCTCTCTCTGGTCTCTCACTGGTCTCTTTCTGTCTGGTCTCTCTGGTCTGTCTCTGGTCTGTCTCTGGTCTGTCTCTGGTCTGTCTCTGGTCTGTCTCTGGTCTGTCTCTGGTCTCTCTGGGGTCTCTCTTTGGGTTTCTCTCTGGTCTCTCTCCCTTGCCTCACTTGGATCTCTCTTTGGGGTATCTCTCTTGTCTCTCTGGGGTCTCTCTCTGGGTTTCTTTGTGGTCTCTCTCTCTGGCCTCACTGGGGTCTCTCACTGGGGTCTCTCTCTGGGTCTCTCTCTGGGTCTCTCTCTGGTCTCTCTCTGGTCTCTGAAAGCCAGAATATAATGTCCTCACACAACCACTTACACTTACACTTACATTCATAATCTTTTTATTTGTATGTTTTATTTGAGCAACATATAATAATGTCCAGAAAACAAAGTATCATAACTTTCAACACATCTGCACGACGTCACACCCTGATTCTAAGTCACAGTCTCTTCCTCTTCCCAGAATACGTCAATCAGGACAACAACAACCTGCGGCTCACGATGCCCGAGCGGGCCACCACACTTCCCCGGAAAGGCCCCAAAATGGACCGGCGTCTTCCCCACAACCTCAACTCGGGACACAGTGTGGAAAACCCCGGATACCTGGTCCCCTCCGCCTCCGGGACACCTACCTCTCCTGCCTTTGACAACCCCTATTACTTGGACCTGGCAGCAAAGGCCAAAGCGGGGGTCTCTCCTTCCCTGGAGGAGAACGGGGACCTCGAAACAGACGGAGGGGCAGATTGCTGGAAGCTTAACGGTTTCGTGACCCCTATGGCAGAAAACCCAGAGTATCTCGGACTTGCAGATACCTGGAGTGAGTATACTTAAAGCGTATACCACGTGGGACATCCCAGACTGAACAGGCATATTGAAGAAGTGAATGTTAAAGGTTTAAAGGAGGATTTTATTTTTCCGGGTGGATCATCAAGACTATTGGTCCTTCTAGTTGTCAATCATTCTGGTGATATGTGACTAGAGGCCGTCGTACAGACTCGGAAAACAAGACCTGAGTGTTTTTGGGAGATTCTTTCACACAATGGCAGATAAAGTTTGGATTCTATTTGGAGAAATCTCTTCCATTAAGAGTTATCTATATATGTGAAAAGTCAATTTTGTCTTTTTATGTTTAAGGCTTAGAAGAAGACAAAAACGTAAAGAAAGCTAGTACTGATAATTACCACATATTTCGGTTGGTAGACTTCCGCCTTCATCAGAGGTGACACCTATATCAGCTGTTGTTGCCGGATGTGGTCAGTATGACAGATCTCACAGCTCCCCCGCCACGTTGTGATCTCTGCAGAAGTGAATCCCAAGTGTGAGCCAAGGTGAAAGCCCCCTCGTCTCTGTTGATGGTCCGTGCGCCCCGCTGAAAGCAGGAAGTAGGTCACCTCTGACAAAGGAGGAAGTCTCCCGCCGAAACATGTGGTAATTAAGCAGTACTAGAGCCTTCTAAGCCTTCAGTAATCAATGTCTATATTGTCTGACATAGTGGACAAAGCGCAAATCTTCTTGGAATGGGAGCTAGTGCCAGATGCATGTCTCTCGCATGCGTTATAGTCGGCCTTCCCTCTCACGTGGAGAGGGCGGTTCTTTCCTAAAATTCGGCAAAATCCTCCTATATACCTTAAACACATGCAATCAACAGGGTCTGAAGTCTCAAGGTAATCGCCGTTATGTAGCAATTTCATGGCATCATCCAAGCTTCCAAAACGTGCCGTAAAAGTCAAAATTGCTTTTTCAAGGCCCTCGACACAGGCCTCAAACGTAAACTGAATAAACATAAATGAAATGAGGGTAGAATGCACTGGGAAGAGGACTTTTGTTTTGTGTACGTCGGCTCTCTATGACCTTTTCACTGTATGTGCCACGGTATTTGCTGCGATAAAACTGAAACTGGGGCCCTGGATCCTAGCATTGAGTCCAGAGCTGGTTAGTATGCGTGTCACTCGGCCCGGGACTTGATAGTGTTCAGTTTTTCTTTGGTGCCTGAGAGAAATGCCCCTGCAGCCCCATCTGGCCGGTCGACGAGCTCCAGGGGAAGAAAGAGTCTTGTGTGTCGCCCCAAGACGCAGCCTTTGTGTCACTCTGCTCTATGTGGGAGGCGGCGGCCATTTTATTTCAGCGTGGAAATGTATGGCTCGACAATGCACTGTCAAAACACCGTCTGTAGACATTCAGGGAGATTTTTATTTGCACTGACAAACGGTAGCGATGCCTGAAACGTTGAGTCTTTCCTTCATGAATCCAATTGAAAATAGGGGAATTAATACTTGTTGGTTTTTCGGAAACACATTGACGTCCCAGTTAATGATCAACCGCATTTTTGAAGACTTTTTTTTTCTGAACTCGGAGGGAGGTCGAGCCATGAATGCAGCCATTGTGAGACCCCCTGTCCACGATTCTACATCATCGGCCTGAATGAGAAGGTTTACGAATGATGACTAATGCTCGTGGTGCTTTGTGTGATACAAAGGATGTGATTGAGACTGAGGTTTGAGACTAACACTGGAGCTTAAGCACAGAACTGGCTGGACTATAAGCCGCTACTTTTGTCGCTGCTTTATTTGGACCCTGCAGATTTTTATAGTGATGCACTGCAAAAAGTGATGAAAAATATGTCGAAAATTGCTCAAATTTGGTAAAATGCATCTCAATTGTAACACATTTTGACTGTCTTTAAACAAGATTTGCCAGCGGGACAGAGCAAAATTATCTTGTATTGAAAATATATAATAAATGTCTCTTTTGGAATTAGAAAATAAAGCACCACTAAACGGCTTTGTCCCTTTGAGAAATCTTGTTTTAAGACCGTCAGAATGGGCTCAAATTGGATAATTTTTTGCAGTGAACGGCCAATGTTTGGATGGATTAGTATTCTGTAAGAGCGCCCCCTGTGGTGTAGGAAGGGGAAACAGTTCTATCAGCTGTTAATCTCTGTTGATAACGCAGCACACATTCCTGCTTCCTGGTGTGTTTATGTGAACCACAAAGAGACGCAAGGAAGTGCAGGGAAATATCCCAGTTGGGAAATGAATGGATTTCCCACAGTTTCAAACAGCATGTTGATCAGTGCATTAAAACAATATTAAAACCCCCAGAGCAGTCAAATTGACGGCTTTTAGTTTTAAGTGTAATTATTGGTGTGTGTACCGTGTTGGTCTTCATAACTTGTGACTTTGTCTTTATCTCCATGTAGTTTATTTTTGTAAAAAATGTACGTATTATTTTTTAGATGTGACTAGTTTATCTTTGCTGGTTTCTATAGCAACACATTGTTTACCATCAGCAGTTAGCATTTGGGCTTTAGCATTTAGCTTTTAAGCAAACCGTTTTAGCACCTAGTCAAAGTGAGTAAAGGTAAAAAAACAAACCTTATAATAACAATAATACATTTTTTTCTTAGGCGCCTTTCTAGATACTCGAGTACATTTAGATAAAGTACAAGTTAAAACACGGGTAAAAGCTTGAACAGAACAAAAAGTTGTTAGAAAAAGTAAAAGAAAAAGGGGGTGACAGTAGCTCAGTTGGTAGAGCATTGGCCTTCAGGCCTGAAGGTTGTGGGTTCAATTCCCACCTCTACACCGACTCCCACTGCTGACTGCTGTCGTTGTGTCCTTGGGCAAGACACTTAACCCCACTTTGCCCAAAGCCCCCACTGAAAGATCAAGGCTATGCTCTCACTCAGAGAGCAGCCGTCCTCCTGTGGACTCACCACCTGCAGAGGGTCAGTGAGGGGCTGGTGCTATGAGACTTGGGTGGCATCTCTGACTGCCACCCCCCTGACCCAGAAATGGATTAAAGGGTAGAAAATGGATGGATGGATGGACTTTTTCTAATTTTGGGTAATTTTTTAATGGGAGCCGTCAAATTGTCTGCTTTGGGAGTTCTTGTACTTAAGAGTCCAGTAAGTTCTGTATAATCTGTGATGATACTGGGTGATTCTGGCATCTCTCTGTTCTGAAACCTACTGCACCAAAAGCATCAGAAGTTTAAGTAAAATACACTGACGATACATGTGACTCTCTGTGTGAAAATGGAAATGGTTGATTTAAAAAGTACTATCATACACTAAAGCTGGGGTTCCTGACTTTTGCACAGAGAATGCCTGAGATATTTACATTGATCCTGTTTATTTAAGACTGTACATAAAGAGTTTGTCCACGAGCACAACTATCGAGCAGCTTTTTCACACAAAAGTGTCTCTCAAAGCGTTTCACTTTCTGTGAATATTGTTTGTATCTTTGTCACAAAGTTCTGTTTCAAAAATACTAAAATTGTATAGAAATAACTGAAACATATGTAAAATACGAAATGATATGGTTGGGTACCCCAGCTTTCCCCAGTCAGTCATTTCTGTCTCTGAATGTAGGCCGTTTGTGCCACATTGTCAAATAATACACAACAGTGAGTGCAAAAGAAAGTTTTTATAATGTAAGTTTTGTGAATATTTTTTACTATTTGCAATTGTACAAAAATGTCTTCCCACTTCTGGTCAGTATATGTCCTTTTACAATTGTGTATATAAATAAAACAATCATGTTGGTTTTATAACGTGTCCTGGCTCATATGTTAAATGACCTGCTTTTGCTGCCCCTCAGCGGCGATCTGTGGTATTACAGGAGATGGTTCTTATTACTGTATTTATTACAAACCAGAAATAACTTTGGGGGATTTTTGTATTTATTTGCCTGTGTGCTAGACTAGCTGATGATCGGGGGAGACGTTACATACACGATTCTTGTAATCTGACACTTAATGTGACTTGCATATTCAAACAAGCAGATCAAAAACCAAATATGTACGAGTCACTTAATCTGAGCAGTCAATCCACAACAGCCTTTCAAGGTAAGCAACTACTTATACCTTCATATTCCTCTGATTTTGAGGTCAATTACAATATACATACATGTGCACTGTTTATGGAAGTCTTTACAAGATTTTGGTTTGTATTTATTTCAAACGTGCACAAAATATATATCAACAAGGAGCACAGGGACTGGCCTCCTGCTGGGACTCTGAGGAGCACAGGGACTTTCAGAATTTTGCAGCTAAAATCTAGTACAGAAAATGTAAGACCGGCTTCTACTCAGTTCTCTTTAGCCGTGCATCCAACCGAAGGCTTGAATCCTCCCTTTTTAATACTCTGGGATCATTTATGGTTGTAGTGCCTTGTTTAAGCACTTTGAGTTTCCTTGTGCATGAATTCTCCTGTACAAGGACTTTGCCAAACTATTTAAATACAATACATGACCAATACATGAACATGGTTTGAAAGGGGATTGGAGAAGGGGGCATAATTGTTCTGTTATCACCCACAGGTTTTTACCACAGAGAATTCATTGTTCGTATCTCAAAATGCTTTATCACACTCAAAACTCCTCTTCCAACGGGACCGGAGTGGATGCCACCAGCGAGGGACACTGCGCGGACCTGATCATGGGCATCCTGGTCTGGGCCATCTTCTCTTCTCTCTTCTCCATCCTGGGCTGCCCCGCCTGCGCCTCTGTCCTCTGGGAGCTGCTGCAGAGACACAGGGCAGGCGCACCCTTCACCCCCAACGACATCTTCATGCTCAACCTCACCTGCATGGACTTTGTTTTTCTGCTTTTCATCCCCACAGGCTGCTGCAACTACCTCCTCTGGCACTTTAAGATATTCCAAGTGGCCACAGATTTTCTCACGGCCCTTAACTTGTCCGGGAGACCTCTTCTGACCGCTTGCATCTGCTTTGACTGCTACCTCGCCGTGGTGCGCCCGGTCTTCTACAGGACGCACAACACCCCAACTCCGCGCGTAGTCGTTTGTGCCATAGTTTGGGGTCTCACTCTCACCCAGGGCGCTCTCTCCACCATCATCGACGAGTTCTTTCACAGTCCTTGGGCCATGTCGGTCTATATCGTAGCACTCCCCGTCATACTCACATGCAACGTCTCCATCCTCTGCGCGCTCAGGTCCACGTTCCCGGGCAAGGCGCAGATCCACCCCAAGAAGAAGAAGGCCCTCCAGATCATCACGAACAGCATGGTGATGACGTGTGTGGCCTACGTGCCCCCGGTGTTAGGGTACATCCTGGGAGGACTCGTCACCAGCGATGACCATGAGTACGAGTGTCTGGTGGCGATCCCCATCCTGGTCGCTCCAGCCGCAGGGAGCGCGGTCATGCCCCTGCTGTACCTGGGGAACCTGGGGAAACTGCCCCAGTGATGGCTTTTACAATGATGGGTATAGAATTGTGTTTAAGATGGATGGATAGGATGTATACTTGTCTGTGTATACTGTCATCTGGAATTAAATACAAATAAAATAAACGACAACAAAAATAATTGCCCTATTTCCACCAGCCCTATACTTGGCCCAGCTCTACTCTGCTCTGCTCTTACTCCAACCCTGGACCTGTTTAGCCAGGTCCTTCTTTCGTCCCTCTTGGTCCTGGTTCTATCCAGGCCGAGCTGGTACTAAAATGTTCTTACTGAAAGTGAGTGGCCAGAGTGCTGCTTAAAGCCGTGGCCACCAAGGAATTTCTCTGAACACAGGTTTGTTTTGGGTTGGTTGCTATGATACAGTATCAGATACAGGTGCAAAAGGGGTTCACAACCGAATAAAGTTGAGAATGAGTCTGGTGTGTGTGTGAATGATGGTGGTGGTCGTAGGGGCCGATGGTTGCCTCGCTTCTGTCAGTGTGCCCCAGGGCAGCTGTGGCTACTGTAGTAGTTTATCACCACAGTGTTTGGAGTGAGAGAATAATTACATGTGAAGCATCTTTGAGTGTCCAAAAAAGCGCTGTATAAAACCAACGCGTTGTAGAGTAGGGCTGGTGGAAACAGGGCTAAAAGCTTTGGTGTTGACTTCAGTGATTTGATTGAATGCTACGGCTCATCTCCGATTGCCCCAAAATCTCACAGAATTCTCAATTCACAAACAGCAGATTAGATGATCAAACAATTACAACACATAAGACATATAAAAACAGAACAAGACACATCGTGCACGGGGTAAACTAAAGTCCGTGAATGTCCTGCATCCTCCATCTGTCATTTTATTTCATCATGTGTAACTTTTGCTTCTTGTCCAGGACTCTCTTGAAAAAGAAGTTCTGAATCTCAATACGACTTTCCTGATTACATAAAGGGTACATAATAATATAAAGTTTGAAGAGCAATAGTGGAGCTGTTAGTATTAGATAGCAATATGGCCTACGTGCAGGACTGTACAAGGACTCTGATTATTTTGAGCCTGAATGGAAATAGTGTAGATGGTCTGAGTGTTGAATGTTCTCCGTGCACATACGCCACAGCCTCAGTATGGAAATAGTCATTCTATCCTGAGCTGCTGCTGCTGCTGTTGTGACTGTACTCGTTTACATGCTCTTTATCACCATGTGCTCCACTTAATGCACATGTAAATCTATTCTGTGGGAGAAAGCATTTGAATAAACAAGGCTGTTAACTCAAATGATCCGTGTTTATTTAGATAAGGGCAGAATACAAATACACATTCTAGGGAAAATGACTAAATACATATTAATAACATTGAGAATAAAAGCACGCACACTTTAACCTCCTGAACTTGTATCATCAGCATAAAGCCTCACTGTCCATAACTACACATCTCTGCGCAACAAAGATTCTGACAGTAAGAATCTAAATGTACTTTTTTAATGACACACACATGTAAAGAAGCTAGTACTGCTGTGGGGATTAGCAGAAATAGCCCTGAATCACAACAGTAGTTACCACCCCACCCTACCCTACCCTACCCTACATAGTTAAATATCACAATATACAACAGTGATTCTGACATTTATCCGTAAGAACAATCTACAGACACAAACATATAAAAGCGAGTACCTCTTTTTAAAAGAACCGTCTAAGCATGAATTCAATTCAATTTATTCTTGTAAATAGTCCTAAATAACAACAGTTATTCTCGGGGGGCTCTGATCTGTGCCGACGAACAACATTTTTCAGCACCGATCAGAGAATCCAACTGTTCAAACACAGGAAATGCAATGATAATGATAAAACACACGGAGAGCCATTGGTCCATAAGGGCCAGAGACCAATGTCCAAACATTTTGAAAGTCAAATGTCATGGATCATCACCACTGTCCTCAGGCCAGGTCCTGCCTCGGCGAAGGAAAAACCTTTAATTATGGCGCTCCAATCACACTCAAAGTCTAGTTTGAGGAAGGACTGCCCACCAAAACAAAGTTATTGGTTCACATTAAAGGTACACTGTGTAATTTTTAGTGCCATCTAGCGTTGAAATCTTATATTGCAGTCCATGTTACTACGGAAGCCTCACCTCTCAGTCATTCACCAGACTGCCAAAGAAAGAATACTTTAGTTTGATAAATGACCGGATCTCTCCAAACGTCTCGGGCACTTGACGGTGCGGCACCCGCTGCACCGTGGCTCTACTGAGTTCTACCAAGGATCTATTATAATATATAGTTTTACTAACGCGGTGTAAAGAGAAAAGAAGCATTGAGGAATAACGTCTGCGGGAGCTTAAAACTATGATGATCAAAGAAGCAGGAGGTTTAAAGAGCCTCGGCAGGACATGGCTAAAAGCTCATGTTAGAATTGCTGATGAAGTATTCTGGCGATTGTTTTGTGGGGATTCTGTGTTGGTTGAGACTTGTCCCTGAATAAGTTTAGTTGAAGTTTGTGACAGTAGTTGGACTGCGCTTGGATCGGGTCAGAACATCCTGAGACTGTTGCAGATTCTGCCTCGTTCTCATTATTATCAGTGTGAAAACAGTTTCATATTGTTCACGTGTGAGTCTGTTGTGTACAAACTACACAATGTGTCTCCTGTTGTGTTAACGCTGTCTTTCGGTGCGTGTGGTTTGCGATGTTTACGCTTTGCTGCATAATTATTTTTCTAAAAGATTGATGTTCGGATCGTTCTTTATATAACTGTGGTCCTCCATGGTTCCTTCTTCCAACTTGTGAGGGCACGGTGAAAGCAATGATATCAGTAGCTCATGTGAAACGAAAACGCTATTCTCGCATCCTTTTTGTCCCTTATGGACCACTGTTTTCCAAGATGGCGCATTGAGACGGAGAGAACTCCTCTCTCATGGACACTTACAGTATAAGTTAAATTCTAAGCCTATGAATACAATTCAAAAAACATGGTGGAGTTATTTATTCTTAAAAAGGTCACATTTGTGATAAGTTAACATGTTTTTTCATACAGAGCAGCTGTAAAAATGACACACAGTGGCTTTAAAGTCAGTTTTTCTCCACCAAGCTTTCCACCGATCAAAACCACCGAGATTATGTAGAAAGAGTATGGGCAAGACTGCGGATCCCATTGAGGAAAAAATAGACATTGGCATGACCACTAAGCAATAGTATGAGCCGTTGTTGGTTATTAACAATTTTCCCACGATAAATATCAAGACTGGCGGCATGTAGGAGAGCAGAGACGCTGCCAAACTGGTCGTGATGGTTTCTATGGCTCTCTGCTTCTGCGGATGCACGGTTTTACCCCCAGGACTGGCCTTCATCAGAGTGTAGAGAATGAAACCGTCGCAGATGATGATGATTAGCAATGCCAAGACGTACGGAAGAACTGCTATGAACGTCAGGTACAGTTCTGGCACGATTCCCACCAAGAGGCCAAAAGACACAGTCACGAGCCAAATGAAGAGTGCGACAGCGATTCTGGGATGGAGAGTGGTCCAGTTCCTGTAGAGCAGCGGATAAACCACAGCCAGGTAGCAGTCCATACAAACACAGGCCATGATGAGAGGTCTGCCGCAGAAACTGAGCGCGTAGATACCATTCCAGATGCTTTCAATGACCCAGTTGCGTAATAAGAAATGATTGCCAAGACCGAAGGGGAAGGTGACCAAGAAGCCCCAGTCCATGATGGTCAGGTTTAGCATGAAAAAGTTATAGGGAGTCAGAGGTAAAGAGCCAGTGTTGTACTTCTGACACCATTCGTAGAAGATGCAGACGTAAGCAGGGAAGCCGAGGACGAAGAAGAAAATACTAAAAGTGCACCAAACAATCTGTCCGTCGCGGAGGTCCTCCTGGCATAGAGTGAAGTTCACCAGTTGGTCCATAAAGTTGGATGAATCGCTGGGTTTTGAAGGCATGGTTGAGATCTGCGCGACGCCTGTGTGTACAGTATGTGTGACGCTTAACACAGACAAATGCACTGGGTCACTGCCTCGACTCCTGTTAAAACATCGGTCATTTGACTTTCCCCAAAGAGAAACGACCATGCAAATCCTCCTGGAAAAACTGATATGGAAAAACAAATGTCATCCTCTCTGATTTTGTGTTTTGTGGATAAGAAGCATTAGATTTGAACAGTTTTTACATATTTTTATTGGATTTTTTTGGGGCAAGGGTCTGGGGGCGGGTCACAAATCACAGCATGAGTTGGATTTACATAAAGTCAAACATTACAACAATACAAGGAGCTAAACCGGTCACAGTTGACGTCACAAAGGACTCTGCTCATGTGGATATGTAAAGATTGATATCATTTCATGTGGATGACATTTGATCTTCTCCTCAGCCGTTGAAAATGCACTACATCTGCAGCAAGTTTATTCAGACCAGGCGTGTCAAGCTCAGGCATATGGACCAAATTTGGGCCATTTGTAGAGGCCCCTGAAATGATTTTCAATTATCCTTGTTATCATTATAATTATTACAGTAGCTTGCAGCATTGATGTTATTGGGATAAAATGGCATGTTCTACTCTTTTTCAGGAAAACATCCACATAATTTCTAATTAGTTAGTTAAAACAAGATAGTAATTTAACATATTTCTAATACAGGTTTGAAGGTTCAGCCAAAGAGATAATTTTTTATAGTTAACCATTTGTCTTTACTTGATATTTGACCTAATTGTGGTTGAATCCAATCAGACCAGAAAACAACATCTATTGTCAAAATACATATAAACATATGTAAAAAGAAACAATGATAATAATAGAAAACCATCATTATACTTTTGGCCCCAACCAGCTCTCACGTTTTTAAAATTGGCTCCTGACATAAATGAGTTTGACAGCCCTGATTCAGACGAAAGACTTCAGTAGATCTTGAACCAAATGTCGCATGTTTATCCATTGTGAGATCAATAAAGTTTATCTTCTCTGGTTTATTCAGCGTGATCTATGTTTCTTGGGGCAACATTTGTCAAACACCAAACAAGTGGATGTTCTGTTTTATTGGACCATAAAAAACCACAGATACAGTGGACTGAAAGTATAAATACTGCGTGTGAACAGTCCTGGGTCCTCAGCTGATCCTGGGGTCAGGTGATGGGCAGCACAGGGTCAGACTGGTGCTTCTGCAGGTCGCTCAGTCCAGATGCCACGTCCAGGTTTCCAGGCAGAGAGGGGCAGCGCAGCCTGGGATTGTCCAAGAGAGAGCACATGCCTGAGGGTTCAGGCAGCGGAGAGGTCAGTCCTTCTCCAGGGGGGACCTCGGTCTCCTCTGACGTCCCGTGTGTCCCACTGGAACTCACCTCCAGGGACTTTGGACATTTACAGGCCGTCTGTGTTGAACTCTGCAGAACAAAAAGGAATCATGAACTTTTGTTTAAGTTTAGTGTAATGTAAAGATTTAGATTGAACCTCTGAAGGAATCCTGCTGCTGCTCTGTACGGGGACGATGGGGGAGATGGGGGAGATGGGGTAAATGGGGGAGATGGAGTGCAGCAGTCCAGTGGCTCCAGTTCCATACAGGGCACTGGGCTCAGGTGGTATGGAGCTGGAGGACACAGAGCTGTAGGCTGGAGGCACTGGGGTGATCTGTCTTTGCAGCAGCTGCAGAATGACGTTTATGTCGGCGGTCATGCGAGTCTCCAGTCTGGCACCAACACACAACATCTGGATCATTACTGAAAGGCGACAACACACACTTTCTAACACCATCGACCTGAACGGCAGGCACCTGTTGAGCTGTGAATGCAGGACTTCCAGCCGAGCCTCCAGTTCACTGGGTCTGTCTTCTGTGAAGGGCGGGGGGTGGTACGTGTGACGCACAGAGGACGACCTCCACTGACGGTTGGAGTACTGCTGCGACGAATGATGAGGCAGGAACGGATATCTCCCTAAAACTGCCACATTATCACACATGATGTCAAACTGACGATACGTGTAACCAATACGTGTCTACTAGTGTCACTCTATAACCAGGGTGTCAGACTCATTTTGGTCAAGGGCCGAAAAAAGAAAATGTATATGGTACTGTATGTGACGTGAGTTTCACTATTATTTTCTGGTGTTTATGTGTTTATTGTTTAGATTTAACCAAAACTGGACCAAATTTAAAATTAAACACATTGTTTTATATTTAACAATTTAATTCTAATGATGTGTTGCGTTAAAATGTTTACATGCCTCTGTTGCCCATAACCATCAATGCTCCAAATTAATAATAATGATTGAAAATAATTTCAGCGGCCGCTAAAAAGGGTCTTGCGGCCTGATTTGGCCCACGGGCGTGAGTTTGACACGTCTGCTCTACAACAACGTGAAAGCACAGAACTATGGTTTAACACACAAACATAAGCTCAGACCTTGGTGACCACAGTCCGCCTCTCGGGCCCCTGGGGACGGGTACAGCTCCACCTTGGGGCTGTGAGCCGGGGGTTTGGGCAGGTCTTCAGTGGACTGAGAGCAGTCGGAGCCGCAGCTGCAGTCCCAGTGGCTCTGAGGAGAGTGAAGGTGGTGCTGAGGGTACGAGTCTTCATGATCGATGCCATCTGGAACAGCAGAGTGTGTCATCCACATGTAAACACAGGACTCACAGATGAGAGCGCTCACCAGGCCTGATGCGACAGTCCAACGTGTGGATCCTGTGCCTGGATTTGTGATGACATCCACACTCGTCTCCAGATTCATCTGTGATCACTGGCGGAACTTGATCTGCCTGAAAGACACCGCAGGAAAGTTTACAACTGATGATGTCACAAGATTCTAATTTTAAACTTTATATTAGTGAGTAAATCAATATGAATTCTAATCTCTTTTATTTTACTGTTTTACAACAACCTCAGGGACTACAGGTGTAAATTAGCACCGCTGCTACAACCGGCTACAATGGATCTGTCCTCTTGGCTAATGTATATTGTACACTGTCCATGTAAAAGTGTTAGTATCCTCTTTGTTTAAAGGAGCAATATGTAAAAATCTGGCCAAAAGTGGTACTATCCATCATCGCAAACACAGGCCTCAAGTGAAGGGGCTGCACAGAAGTGAGGAGGCTCGGGATCCACACAAGTCGCTGGACATCCTGGAGCCTGAGAGTCAAAGTGGCTGTTTTCTGGGCAGCGGATTTCTACAGCAAAAAACAAAAATCTATTTGCACAATGTCCTTTTTTAGTGAAAGCTTAGAGGTTGACATACCACATAAGTCTGGACTCCTCCAACTTGGCAGTTGTACTCCTTTTTCCTGACACTGTCTGGCGTACGTATTCAGAGCGGCGCAGAGAACTTCTTGGGATTGTTCCTCCAAACACAAATCAAACACACAAGTCTCCAGAGCATTGTCAGGGCTGAGAACTTGGTGACAAGAGGCAAAAGGTCCAGAACTATCTTGAAGGATGCCACAGAAATCATTGCTACTGAATAAAGCCTTGTTCTCATCAGAACAACGATTACAGTCTAAGGTTTCACATCCAACCCCACAGTCAGTCTCCTCAGGACTGTCCACTTTCCAGCTTTTACCAAAGTCAGCCACACTCAGTAATCCTAAGTCTGCTGTGTGAAAATCGTCGTTAGGATCATCATTAAAGTTCCCACACAGGCCACACGTTGAACCCTGGTAACTGTAAGGGAGTTTGATTGTCACATAATGATCAGTGTCATAGGAAACCTCCAAACCAAAGGCAGTAGTGACAACAACGGAACCCCCTGATGTATTAACATGAACAGCACCATCGGAGAGGACGATCGGGGTCACTTCAAATATACCATTGACCTGTGGAACAAAACCATTAGCATGTAAGACATGATTGTGTTGCTGTTGAATGTGTAAGTGCAAACCTTGGCTTCTCCAGGATGATCTTTGACAAGCTCAATGGTTTCATTGAACACAAAGACTTTGACCAAGTGTATCCAAGTGACAGTATGTCTGCTTCGATGCTGATTGGATGCTTCTACTCTGTAGAAGGGGAGCTCTGAACTGCACTGTTGGGACAGTACATACGTGCAGTTGCCTTGGAAGTCGAACCGTTTTCCGTCAAACGTCTTGTAGTGAGGATCACCATAGACGATGCAGTCACCCTTCTGCTGGATAACTTCAACTAAAGAAAACGATGAAGACCAAATAATCCAGCATTCATTTTTAAGTCTATGATTTCCGGCATTTTTTTCATTCGTTTTTTTTATATTTCTCTTCAGCATTGCGATCATTAAAGCAACAGGAGTTTGCTGTAAACCGTACCTGTTTCTTCAAAACACCCCAGGAGTCCGTCTCGGACACTGCAAACTTCTTGCGTGGAACATGTTTTGTTTCTGCAGCTTAAGTTATTGTTAGCTCTGCATTCACAGTGCTGAGAGCAACCCTCTGTCCAGAAGGATTCACCAGCCTGTGGCCAATAACAAGCAGAAGGTTTGATCAAAACAACATCCACGAAATCTCCATAATCTTTCATTATTGATTATGAAGGACGATAGGTCTTTTCTACTAAGCTGTCTTCTTGTACTTTTTCCAGATCCTTCATTCAATTCATATCCATTGATTTGTCATTTAGAATATTTTGATCCAAAAAGGCCAAATGTGATTTGTACATGTTTATATAGTGATTAAAGATACAGATTGTTTTCCGAGAAGATTGTCCGTTCATGTGCAAACGATGGAGGTAAACAAAGCAAAACATCTCAGTTTTCAGAAACACCCGGTACAAGTAAATGGCCCCTTAAGCTCCTTTTTGACCAATGTGAATGAGCTGTCCTTACATTATAGTAGACACCATTGTGTTGGCAGCCACACTCTTCATCTGGGACACACTTTGAGCCACTTCTGAAAAAGTCCGGATCACAGAAACAACCCTCTGAACAAACATGTCCACATGTTACATTGGTGCTACTGGCACAAGTGCGACCACAATCATTGGCACAAATGTCATAGTGACTGTGGGCAGGGCAATCCATATCTGCAAACAAAACAGTTTACATTATAGTTCAAATCAAACTAGCAAAGACTGTTCACTTAAAGCTTACCACAAGACGTATTTTGTCTCCAAGGATAAATGAGGATGTTAGCAGACTGGCAAGAGCTGGCATAGGTCTGAATGGAGGAGCACAGCAGCTCTGCACCTCCAATGCAAACATCAAACACACAGTTATTGAAATAAGGCTCTGGATCCACAGATGGATGACACAAGTGGAAAGGCCCTGCAGCTGCACGAATGATGTCGCACTGGGCTTTGGCGGCACCATCGTCAGGACACTGTGGGCATGAGGAGCCACATCCATCACTACAGATGCTGCTGCCTGGAACCTTCCAAGACGTCCCAAACTGAGATGGGGATGTGACACTTTGTCCAGATGGAGTCTGAAAGTCATCGCTTGGGTTTCCATTGAAATTTCCACAGAGTCCACATGTTTTTCCACTACCCAAAAATAGATCACAGTTTATAATGAGGTTTACCAAGAATAAAAAAACAAAAACAAATCAAGCTCACACATGGACATACCTGTAGTAGAATGGAACTTTGACGTTCACTCTGCTTTGGCCATCATAGGAAACGTACAAGCCAAAGTCTGTGAGGACAATTGTGTCTTGTCCGTGGACAAAGACTTGGACCCCATGGAGGGAAAGAGGCAGATTCCTCAACAGACCATTTACCTTGAGAAAAAAAAAACAATGTTTTGTTATGTCCATTTATTTAGAATGGTGAAGATTGGAACACAAAAAAAATGTATTTTACAATTTAGAGAGTAGAAGTAGAAGGCAAAAGGGGACTCACCTTAACCACACTGTTGTGTTGCTTTGAGAGAAGTATTAAAAAGCCCGACGTATTCACAAAAACTTCAGCTGTGACTGAAACTGTCAAACCTGGCAACGCCTCATTCTTGACTTCAACAGAAAAGTAATTCAGGCTGGTAGAATTGCAAAGTGTGGCCAAAACATAACGACAGGTCCCCTGAAAGTCAAAGTGTCTTCCATCGAAGGAAGAATAATGAGGATCCCCTGAACCATAACAGGTCCCGTGGGATTGTTTAAATCTGCAACCTCTTACTCCATCCAACACCTCGCACTCTTCATGTGCCTCACAGCCATGCGGCTGGCAAGTCATTTCACCAGAATTACAATCACAACGACGGTTACAGTCTTGGTCCAGTGTTACGGTTTGCCCAGAATGGTAGTAGTGCCCCTCAAACTTGCAGCCACACTCATGTGGACGCACACAGTGTGCACCGCTCAGAACAAATCCATCATCGCAAACACAGGCCTCAAGTGAAGGGGCTGCACAGAAGTGAGGAGGCTCGGGATCCACACAAGTCGCTGGACATCCTGGGCCTGAGAGTCAAAGTGGCTGTTTTCTGGGCAGCGGATTTCTACAGCAAAAAACAAAAATCTATTTGCACAATGTCCTTTTTTAGTGAAAGCTTAGAGGTTGACATACCACATAAGTCTGGACTCCTCCAACTTGGCATTTGTACTCCTTTTTCCTGACACTGTCTGGCGTACGTATTCAGAGCGGCGCAGAGAACTTCTTGGGATTGTTCCTCCAAACACAAATCAAACACACAAGTCTCCAGAGCATTGTCAGGGCTGAGAACTTGGTGACAAGAGGCAAAAGGTCCAGAACTATCTTGAAGGATGCCACAGAAATCATTGCTACTGAATAAAGCCTTCTTCTCATCAGAACAACGATTACAGTCTAAGGTTTCACATCCAACCCCACAGTCAGTCTCCTCAGGACTGTCCACTTTCCAGCTTTTACCAAAGTCAGCCACACTCAGTAATCCTAAGTCTGCTGTGTGAAAATCGTCGTTAGGATCATCATTAAAGTTCCCACACAGGCCACACGTTGAACCCTGGTAACTGTAAGGGAGTTTGATTGTCACATAATGATCAGTGTCATAGGAAACCTCCAAACCAAAGGCAGTAGTGACAACAACGGAACCCCCTGATGTATTAACATGAACAGCACCATCGGAGAGGACGATCGGGGTCACTTCAAATATACCATTGACCTGTGGAACAAAACCATTAGCATGTAAGACATGATTGTGTTGCTGTTGAATCTGTAAGTGCAAACCTTGGCTTCTCCAGGATGATCTTTGACAAGCTCAATGGTTTCATTGAACACAAAGACTTTGACCAAGTGTATCCAAGTGACAGTATGTCTGCTTCGATGCTGATTGGATCCTTCTACTCTGTAGAAGGGGAGCTCTGAACTGCATTTTTGGGACAGTACATACGTACAGTTGCCTTGGAAGTCGAACCGTTTTCCGTCAAACGTCTTGTAGTGAGGATCACCATAGACGATGCAGTCACCCTTCTGCTGGATAACTTCAACTAAAGAAAACGATGAAGACCAAATAATCCAGCATTCATTTTTAAGTCTATGATTTCCGGCATTTTTTTCATTCGTTTTTTTTATATTTCTCTTCAGCATTGCGATCATTAAAGCAACAGGAGTTTGCTGTAAACCGTACCTGTTTCTTGAAAACACCCCAGGAGTCCGTCTCGGACACTGCAAACTTCTTGCGTGGAACATGTTTTGTTTCTGCAGCTTAAGTTATTGTTAGCTCTGCATTCACAGTGCTGAGAGCAACCCTCTGTCCAGAAGGATTCACCAGCCTGTGGCCAATAACAAGCAGAAGGTTTGATCAAAACAACATCCACGAAATCTCCATAATCTTTCATTATTGATTATGAAGGACGATAGGTCTTTTCTACTAAGCTGTCTTCTTGTACTTTTTCCAGATCCTTCATTCAATTCATATCCATTGATTTGTCATTTAGAATATTTTGATCCAAAAAGGCCAAATGTGATTTGTACATGTTTATATAGTGATTAAAGATACAGATTGTTTTCCGAGAAGATTGTCCGTTCATGTGCAAACGATGGAGGTAAACAAAGCAAAACATCTCAGTTTTCAGAAACACCCGGTACAAGTAAATGGCCCCTTAAGCTCCTTTTTGACCAATGTGAATGAGCTGTCCTTACATTATAGTAGACACCATTGTGTTGGCAGCCACACTCTTCATCTGGGACACACTTTGAGCCACTTCTGAAAAAGTCCGGATCACAGAAACAACCCTCTGAACAAACATGTCCACATGTTACATTGGTGCTACTGGCACAAGTGCGACCACAATCATTGGCACAAATGTCATAGTGACTGTGGGCAGGGCAATCCATATCTGCAAACAAAACAGTTTACATTATAGTTCAAATCAAACTAGCAAAGACTGTTCACTTAAAGCTTACCACAAGACGTATTTTGTCTCCAAGGATAAATGAGGATGTTAGCAGACTGGCAAGAGCTGGCATAGGTCTGAATGGAGGAGCACAGCAGCTCTGCACCTCCAATGCAAACATCAAACACACAGTTATTGAAATAAGGCTCTGGATCCACAGATGGATGACACAAGTGGAAAGGCCCTGCAGCTGCACGAATGATGTCGCACTGGGCTTTGGCGGCACCATCGTCAGGACACTGTGGGCATGAGGAGCCACATCCATCACTACAGATGCTGCTGCCTGGAACCTTCCAAGACGTCCCAAACTGAGATGGGGATGTGACACTTTGTCCAGATGGAGTCTGAAAGTCATCGCTTGGGTTTCCATTGAAATTTCCACAGAGTCCACATGTTTTTCCACTACCCAAAAATAGATCACAGTTTATAATGAGGTTTACCAAGAATAAAAAAACAAAAACAAATCAAGCTCACACATGGACATACCTGTAGTAGAATGGAACTTTGACGTTCACTCTGCTTTGGCCATCATAGGAAACGTACAAGCCAAAGTCTGTGAGGACAATTGTGTCTTGTCCGTGGACAAAGACTTGGACCCCATGGAGGGAAAGAGGCAGATTCCTCAACAGACCATTTACCTTGAGAAAAAAAAAACAATGTTTTGTTATGTCCATTTATTTAGAATGGTGAAGATTGGAACACAAAAAAAATGTATTTTACAATTTAGAGAGTAGAAGTAGAAGGCAAAAGGGGACTCACCTTAACCACACTGTTGTGTTGCTTTGAGAGAAGTATTAAAAAGCCCGACGTATTCACAAAAACTTCAGCTGTGACTGAAACTGTCAAACCTGGCAACGCCTCATTCTTGACTTCAACAGAAAAGTAATTCAGGCTGGTAGAATTGCAAAGTGTGGCCAAAACATAACGACAGGTCCCCTGAAAGTCAAAGTGTCTTCCATCGAAGGAAGAATAATGAGGATCCCCTGAACCATAACAGGTCCCGTGGGATTGTTTAAATCTGCAACCTCTTACTCCATCCAACACCTCGCACTCTTCCTGTGCCTCACAGCCATGCGGCTGGCAAGTCATTTCACCAGAATTACAATCACAACGACGGTTACAGTCTTGGTCCAGTGTTACGGTTTGCCCAGAATGGTAGTAGTGCCCCTCAAACTTGCAGCCACACTCATGTGGACGCACACAGTGTGCACCGCTCAGAACAAATCCATCATCGCAAACACAGGCCTCAAGTGAAGGGGCTGCACAGAAGTGAGGAGGCTCGGGATCCACACAAGTCGCTGGACATCCTGGAGCCTGAGAGTCAAAGTGGCTGTTTTCTGGGCAGCGGATTTCTACAGCAAAAAACAAAAATCTATTTGCACAATGTCCTTTTTTAGTGAAAGCTTAGAGGTTGACATACCACATAAGTCTGGACTCCTCCAACTTGGCAGTTGTACTCCTTTTTCCTGACACTGTCTGGCGTACGTATTCAGAGCGGCGCAGAGAACTTCTTGGGATTGTTCCTCCAAACACAAATCAAACACACAAGTCTCCAGAGCATTGTCAGGGCTGAGAACTTGGTGACAAGAGGCAAAAGGTCCAGAACTATCTTGAAGGATGCCACAGAAATCATTGCTACTGAATAAAGCCTTGTTCTCATCAGAACAAGATTACAGTCTAAGGTTTCACATCCAACCCCACAGTCAGTCTCCTCAGGACTGTCCACTTTCCAGCTTTTACCAAAGTCAGCCACACTCAGTAATCCTAAGTCTGCTGTGTGAAAATCGTCGTTAGGATCATCATTAAAGTTCCCACACAGGCCACACGTTGAACCCTGGTAACTGTAAGGGAGTTTGATTGTCACATAATGATCAGTGTCATAGGAAACCTCCAAACCAAAGGCAGTAGTGACAACAACGGAACCCCCTGATGTATTAACATGAACAGCACCATCGGAGAGGACGATCGGGGTCACTTCAAATATACCATTGACCTGTGGAACAAAACCATTAGCATGTAAGACATGATTGTGTTGCTGTTGAATGTGTAAGTGCAAACCTTGGCTTCTCCAGGATGATCTTTGACAAGCTCAATGGTTTCATTGAACACAAAGACTTTGACCAAGTGTATCCAAGTGACAGTACGTCTGCTTCGATGCTGATTGGATCCTTCTACTCTGTAGAAGGGGAGCTCTGAACTGCACTGTTGGGACAGTACATACGTGCAGTTGCCTTGGAAGTCGAACCGTTTTCCGTCAAACGTCTTGTAGTGAGGATCACCATAGACGATGCAGTCACCCTTCTGCTGGATAACTTCAACTAAAGAAAACGATGAAGACCAAATAATCCAGCATTCATTTTTAAGTCTATGATTTCCGGCATTTTTTTCATTCGTTTTTTTTATATTTCTCTTCAGCATTGCGATCATTAAAGCAACAGGAGTTTGCTGTAAACCGTACCTGTTTCTTCAAAACACCCCAGGAGTCCGTCTCGGACACTGCAAACTTCTTGCGTGGAACATGTTTTGTTTCTGCAGCTTAAGTTATTGTTAGCTCTGCATTCACAGTGCTGAGAGCAACCCTCTGTCCAGAAGGATTCACCAGCCTGTGGCCAATAACAAGCAGAAGGTTTGATCAAAACAACATCCACGAAATCTCCATAATCTTTCATTATTGATTATGAAGGACGATAGGTCTTTTCTACTAAGCTGTCTTCTTGTACTTTTTCCAGATCCTTCATTCAATTCATATCCATTGATTTGTCATTTAGAATATTTTGATCCAAAAAGACCAAATGTGATTTGTACATGTTTATATAGTGATTAAAGATACAGATTGTTTTCCGAGAAGATTGTCCGTTCATGTGCAAACGATGGAGGTAAACAAAGCAAAACATCTCAGTTTTCAGAAACACCCGGTACAAGTAAATGGCCCCTTAAGCTCCTTTTTGACCAATGTGAATGAGCTGTCCTTACATTATAGTAGACACCATTGTGTTGGCAGCCACACTCTTCATCTGGGACACACTTTGAGCCACTTCTGAAAAAGTCCGGATCACAGAAACAACCCTCTGAACAAACATGTCCACATGTTACATTGGTGCTACTGGCACAAGTGCGACCACAATCATTGGCACAAATGTCATAGTGACTGTGGGCAGGGCAATCCATATCTGCAAACAAAACAGTTTACATTATAGTTCAAATCAAACTAGCAAAGACTGTTCACTTAAAGCTTACCACAAGACGTATTTTGTCTCCAAGGATAAATGAGGATGTTAGCAGACTGGCAAGAGCTGGCATAGGTCTGAATGGAGGAGCACAGCAGCTCTGCACCTCCAATGCAAACATCAAACACACAGTTATTGAAATAAGGCTCTGGATCCACAGATGGATGACACAAGTGGAAAGGCCCTGCAGCTGCACGAATGATGTCGCACTGGGCTTTGGCGGCACCATCGTCAGGACACTGTGGGCATGAGGAGCCACATCCATCACTACAGATGCTGCTGCCTGGAACCTTCCAAGACGTCCCAAACTGAGATGGGGATGTGACACTTTGTCCAGATGGAGTCTGAAAGTCATCGCTTGGGTTTCCATTGAAATTTCCACAGAGTCCACATGTTTTTCCACTACCCAAAAATAGATCACAGTTTATAATGAGGTTTACCAAGAATAAAAAAACAAAAACAAATCAAGCTCACACATGGACATACCTGTAGTAGAATGGAACTTTGACGTTCACTCTGCTTTGGCCATCATAGGAAACGTACAAGCCAAAGTCTGTGAGGACAATTGTGTCTTGTCCGTGGACAAAGACTTGGACCCCATGGAGGGAAAGAGGCAGATTCCTCAACAGACCATTTACCTTGAGAAAAAAAAAACAATGTTTTGTTATGTCCATTTATTTAGAATGGTGAAGATTGGAACACAAAAAAAATGTATTTTACAATTTAGAGAGTAGAAGTAGAAGGCAAAAGGGGACTCACCTTAACCACACTGTTGTGTTGCTTTGAGAGAAGTATTAAAAAGCCCGACGTATTCACAAAAACTTCAGCTGTGACTGAAACTGTCAAACCTGGCAACGCCTCATTCTTGACTTCAACAGAAAAGTAATTCAGGCTGGTAGAATTGCAAAGTGTGGCCAAAACATAACGACAGGTCCCCTGAAAGTCAAAGTGTCTTCCATCGAAGGAAGAATAATGAGGATCCCCTGAACCATAACAGGTCCCGTGGGATTGTTTAAATCTGCAACCTCTTACTCCATCCAACACCTCGCACTCTTCATGTGCCTCACAGCCATGCGGCTGGCAAGTCATTTCACCAGAATTACAATCACAACGACGGTTACAGTCTTGGTCCAGTGTTACGGTTTGCCCAGAATGGTAGTAGTGCCCCTCAAACTTGCAGCCACACTCATGTGGACGCACACAGTGTGCACCGCTCAGAACAAATCCATCATCGCAAACACAGGCCTCAAGTGAAGGGGCTGCACAGAAGTGAGGAGGCTCGGGATCCACACAAGTCGCTGGACATCTTGGAGCCTGAGAGTCAAAGTGGCTGTTTTCTGGGCAGCGGATTTCTACAGCAAAAAACAAAAATCTATTTGCACAATGTCCTTTTTTAGTGAAAGCTTAGAGGTTGACATACCACATAAGTCTGGACTCCTCCAACTTGGCAGTTGTACTCCTTTTTCCTGACACTGTCTGGCGTACGTATTCAGAGCGGCGCAGAGAACTTCTTGGGATTGTTCCTCCAAACACAAATCAAACACACAAGTCTCCAGAGCATTGTCAGGGCTGAGAACTTGGTGACAAGAGGCAAAAGGTCCAGAACTATCTTGAAGGATGCCACAGAAATCATTGCTACTTAACAAAGCCTTGTTCTCATCAGAACAACGATTACAGTCTAAGGTTTCACATCCAACCCGGCAGTCAGTCTCCTCAGGACTGTCCACTTTCCAGCTTTTACCAAAGTCAGCCACACTCAGTAATCCTAAGTCTGCTGTGTGAAAATCGTCGTTAGGATCATCATTAAAGTTCCCACACAGGCCACACGTTGAACCCTGGTAACTGTAAGGGAGTTTGATTGTTACAAAATGATGAGTGTCATAGGAAACCTCCAAACCAAAGGCAGTAGTGACAACAACTGAACCCCCTGATGTATTAACATGAACAGCACCATCGGAGAGGACGATCGGGGTCACTTCAAATATACCATTGACCTGTGGAACAAAACCATTAGCATGTAAGACATGATTGTGTTGCTGTTGAATGTGTAAGTGCAAACCTTGGCTTCTCCAGGATGATCTTTGACAAGCTGAATGGTTTCATTGAACACAAAGACTTTGACCAAGTGTATCCAAGTGACAGTATGTCTGCTTCGATACTGATTGGATCCTTCTACTCTGTAGAAGGGGAGCTCTGAACTGCACTGTTGGGACAGTACATACGTGCAGTTGCCTTGGAAGTCGAACCGTTTTCCGTCAAACGTCTTGTAGTGAGGATCACCATAGACGATGCAGTCACCCTTCTGCTGGATAACTTCAACTAAAGAATACCAAATAATCCAAATATTCATTTTTAAGTTTAAACAAAAAACAGCTTCATCACAATTTCATAACCACTTCTAAGTAGGAAAAATAGAACTTTGAGCTTCAATATGCATTGAGAAGAAATGGGTTGGATTGTTCATCAAGGTCTCTTCAGACCACCAAACCTTTGAAGTTTTTCTTTTTTTTTTTTTTTGGTTCGCAGTTGACAATATTGGCCTGAATTTGGGTCGTGGATAGTCCAGTATGTACTCTGCTTTGTGTCTTTCATTTGAGTTATCAACATTAGGATTGTTTAAGATATTACAAATGTCAAGTGGTTCATAGATGAGGTTCGGATTGGTGGTTCGTTTGTGAGGTTGCTGTACTATTATCCACGTTGGAGGAGTAGAGCCTGATTTGACTATACGTGTTTTTTTAAAAGCCCAGTCCACAATTTCCTGTCAGGAGCAATGACAGCTCTTATGGCCGTTGAGTGTGTAAATGTCTCCATTGTGATATCTATTAAGTTTTTCTTATCTCTGTTTACTTCATCAAGAAATGAAACCAAAGCACAAGAGGGGCGAGCCGCTTGAGGACCCAACCTTGACCTCGTGAAGTCTTGAAACGGGACATGAACAGAGGATTATAACAAATACACTGAAGTCACAGAGCCGCACCTGAAACAGCTCTCGACCTTTCACCATGGTTACGATTTGGACTGCAACTTTCCTGCCCTGTTGTTTCTTTCTCTGTCGCACGGCATTAGGCCTGCCTGTTCATAATGCTGTTTTGGTTACATCATAGTTGCGTGCCATACTCTCTCTTTGTCTAGAAAAGACAGTTTTCTGGCTTGTCTGAAAGGCTGACTTCACTTCAGCAGCAGTGGGGTGTGACATACACAAAATGTATAGTCACATATTTTATGTTATTTAAAATTGAGAGTCAATTTATTTATTTTTAATGGAGAACCTGGGAACGACTTATTGAGGGATAGCAATTATGGGGTGCGCCACAAGGGGGCATTGTGGGGAGCAGGCTGTGGGTCCGCCTGGCGGGACCTTCTTGCCAACACGTTGGCAACTTCCCTTCATACTATGAAGCGAGGCTGCGTCAACAGAAAACTCACTGCCTCCTGTCTTCTTTTTCCTTTCTAACAGATTACTATTACTGCTACGGCAACCCCACAGCTTGGGGCCCGTAACATCGTGGGGGCTCGTCCGGGATCAGCACGCCAAACGTCCATGGGCCGCTGCTGATCCAGTGATACTGAATGCCAGGACCTCCAGCACTGCATGTTCCCGGAGCCAGGGGTGATCCAGTGTGCAGCAGAGAGGCTAGTGACCGGTGAAGAGGTGCACGAGCCTACAGAGTGCGAAACTGCGAACCCAAGCGTCCGAGACCAGCAAGATGGCGTCCGGCGAGAGAAAACAACTACTTTGGAGCATTAAGAAGAAGTTGCACCAGTTGACAGCTAGTGAAGCCCACCTCATCGCAACTTCCCTTGGAAACGTTGACGGGCTGGATTTCAGTCAGTTGAGTCAAGATGATGAAGAAAGTTGTGTTGAATATCTTACCAACTACCTGACATGTGAAGCAATCCTGGGCCGGGAGGACCAGGGTTTACCGTTATTGAAGAGACTTGAGCGCATCATAGATGGGGCTATGGTAAGTCGTGGTCAAGAGCCAGTGTCCTTAGCAGCTGAAGCAAGTACTAGTGGTCAGGCCATTAACCCTGTCCAGCCGGAGGGCACTAGTGACACAGATATACAGACTTTACTTGCCCGTTATGACAGTATTCAAGCGCAGCTAAACCAAACCCTGTCCGCCACAATCTCCCCGGACCCAGAGAGACTTTCTCCACCACCAGCTCGTGCCAGTCACTCCCTCAACCAGCAGGCAACTCAGGCCTCAGCTACAAGGGGCTTTCCCACTCGTGAGACCACCCAACAGTTTTATTCACCCCAGCACTCTCTCCTGCACTCAGAGAGCGTTCCAAGTCACACTGGTCAGAGTATGATAGCCATGAAAGACTTGCCGCTGCTGTCCCGCAAAGAATTCAAAATACATGGGGGAACGATAAATGACACAACATCTGAATTAAGTTACAATAGCATCTGCAGACAAATAGAGGAGGGTCTCAAAGAGAATCACACACAAAATGAAGTAATCAGGGGAGTGTTACGTGCCATTAAACCAGGTAACTTTCGAGATATGCTAACAATAAAAGACGATCTCACCGTCTCTGAGCTCAAAAGTTTCTTGCAGTCTCACTTAGGTGAAAAGAGTAGCACAGAGCTCTTCCAAGATTTGATGTGTGCCAAACAGCATGAGAGTGAGACACCTCAGCAGTTCTTATACAGAATGATAGGACTGAAACAAAAGATCCTGTTTTCACTAAAGCAGCCAGACTCAGTTGTTAAGTATGAGATGTCCACAATCCAGCGTATCTTCCTCAACACTATTGGTCAGGGCATAGGGGAGAAGTACGACAGTGTCCGCCGAGATTTAAAAACCCTCTTAGGCGATCCCACTGTTAGTGATGAGGCACTGCTCCGCCAAGTAATAAAGACTACAACTGAAGAAAGCGAGAGAAAGCGCAGATTTGGCCGCAGCTCTACCCCTAAAGTAAGTCATGCCCATGCAACCAACACGGAGTCCAAAGAGAAAGCAAAGAACAATGTGAAAGTGAACCAAATCGACAAAGACTCTACACTCCAAAGACTAAGCGCTCAGGTTGAAGCACTCACCCGAGCTATGGAGAGTTTGAAAGCAATAACAGCTCCTGAACAGAGAGACCTAAAACCTCAATCAGAGAGAAAACCACGGGAAAGAAAGAGCTGCCAAAACTGTGCTTCCCAGTCCAATCCGAACTGTAACCACTGCTTTGTCTGCGGAGAGGAAGGGCATCGCGCCGTCGGGTGCCTGAAGAGGACCAAGTCGTCGGGAAACTGGAGACGGTCAGGGCAGAGGGACCACCCTTGACCGACAAACCTCAGCAGTCCCACTATAAGAAAAAGTCCAAAACAAAATACGACCAAAAGACTGATAATGCCAGTTCACAAGGGAATGTCAATAAGGAGACACCACGTGGTTTAGTAGCTCCGTTAGTAGGTCGCCAATCCCTTCTCAAATGCATGATGGCCGGTTACCTGATAACAGCAGTGCTAGACACGGGGGCGGGGGTCAGCCTTTTAGACCATGCTTGGCTAAATAAGTACTTACCCGGGCAACAGGTTAGGCCTTTAAGTGAGCTGATGGACGATGAGCTCAACGTGAAAGCAGTCACAGGGGATTCAGTACCTTATGACGGGTGGGTAGAGGTAGTTGTTAACCTAGAGGGCAACAATGACCCAGACCTATCTATACGCGTACCTTTCCTTGTGAGCCGCCTTAAGATTGACAGACCCATTGTAGGCTTTAACGTGATCTATGAGTTCATTAAAGACAATGGAGGTAACTACAAACTTATTGAGCTTATTGGTAGAGCTATGGGGATTGACGTTACTGCTGTAAGCGCTTTGGTAAGCTTTATCCAGACACAAAAGCGCTCTGTAGATGAATCAGCTGCTGTAAAAGTGGGCTTTAAAGGTATCACCATCTACCCTAGTCAAGTCGCTTATGTTAAGTGTAGAGTCCCAGAGAGTATTATTAGCGCTACGGAGTCATTTGTTTTGTTTGAGCCAGTGCTAAATGACATCCACCTAGAACAGCTTAGTGTTGGAGCAGGACTTTTGCAGATCGAAAAGACAGACAGGCCTTATGTCAAAGTACCTGTGTCAAACTACTCCAAACAAAGTGTGACTCTACCCAGCTCACTAGTTGTGGGTTCGGTTGAGCCCATTGCCAAACTTGTTGAGACAGACAATCCAAAAGATACTTGTGAACCAGTACCAGTCTCCATCCACACTGTTGACTCTGTGCCCAAGTCCAGTGAAGACCAGAAGCCATCAAACGCAGCTCACTGGCACCCCCCCGTGGACATACGTCACCTTACACCAGAGCAACAGAGTGAAGTTGAACAAATGCTATTTGAGGAATCAAGTGCTTTTGCCCGAGATGATGGTGACATAGGGAACATTCCAAGTTTACAAATGACTCTCAATCTGAAAGATGATATTCCAGTCCAGCGCACATACACATCTATCCCTAAGCCATTGTACAAAGAAGTCAAAGAATACATTCAGGACTTGCTTGCTAAAGGCTGGATAGTAAAGTCAAAGTCACCCTTTTCTGCACCTGTCGTATGTGTGAGGAAGCGAGATGGCACGTTAAGACTTTGTATTGATTACAGACTGTTAAACCAGAAAACTGTGCCCGACCGCCACCCACTTCCACGTATCCAAGATCTCCTTGACACGCTTGGCGGCCACAGCTGGTTCAGCATTCTCGACCAAGGTAAAGCTTACCACCAGGGGTACATGGCCGAGGGGTCCCGCCATATGACCGCCTTCATCTCACCCTGGGGACTGTATGAGTGGGTGAGGATCCCCTTTGGCCTCAGTAACGCGCCTGCTGCCTTCCAGCGCAGTATGGAGGAGATGCTTAACACCCTGCGTGATGACTGTTGTATTCCATACCTCGATGATATCCTTTGCTACTCAACAGATTTTGCTGAACATGTCGAGGCGCTGCGCAAAGTCCTGAGAGCTCTTCAACAACACGGAGTCAAGCTCCGCCCAACAAAATGTGAGTTGTTTAAGGCAGAGGTCAGATATGTGGGTAGGCTGGTCTCCGCAGATGGAGTTCGAGTCGATCCAAAGGACATCGAAGCGGTCAAGTCACTCAGCCAAAAGAAACCAACTACTGTGGGTGAGTTAAGAAAACTACTTGGATTCTTAAGTTATTATCGCATCTATATTCAAGATTTTTCCAGAATCGCAAAACCTTTGTACAACCTTCTACAAGTCAAAGGGAGCACTGAGAACATACAGATCAAGTCAAAGAAAGGAAAAGGTGCCCAGCTGCACTCAAAGACTCCTATCCACTGGGCAGGTGTGCACGACTGCACTCTAAACCAGCTCATTGACATTCTCTCCAATCCACCTGTGCTCGCGTACCCCGACTTCGAACTGCCGTTTGTCCTGCACACAGATGCCTGCGAGAAGGGGCTCGGTGCCGTGTTATATCAAAGACAGTGTGGAAAATTGAAAGTCATTGCATATGGCTCAAGAACTCTGACCCCAGCTGAAAAAAACTATTGCCTGCATTCCGGCAAGTTGGAGTTCTTGGCCCTTAAATGGGCCGTCTGCGAAAAGTTCAGAGATTATTTGTTTTATGCTCCAGATTTTACGATATATACAGACAATAATCCCCTGACATATGTAATGAGCACTGCAAAGTTAAACGCCACGGGACATAGGTGGGTGGGAGAGCTTGCCGATTTCAGATTTAACATCAAGTACAGACCTGGTAAAGTTAATGTGGATGCTGACACTCTGTCACGCCTCCCTCTGGACATTGACAGTTATGTAGGGGAGTGCACAGAGGAGCTTAGCAGAGACATTGTTTGTGCAACATGGGAAGGTAGTGAAGCAGCCAAGAAAAGCGACGTTGCCTATGTAGCTGCCTTAAACCTAGCCCAAGACACTGAAACAGACAGGTCAGCTTTACCTAGCATCAGCCACAAAGAGCTAGTGAGAGCACAAAGACAAGATGTGACAATTAAAGAACTTCTCACGTTAAAAGAGACAAAGACAACACTAACTGACAAAGACAGGCAGAACGCAGATGGGTTAGTGAAGAGACTAATGCGTGAGTGGGGAAAACTGCACATTGAGAATGACTTGCTGTACAGGGAGGCTGGAGGCAGACAGCAGCTAGTACTGCCAGCAGAGTACAGGCCTCTAGTGCTAAAACACCTGCATAACGACATGGGTCACCTCGGTGCCGAACGAGTTATCAGCCTGGCCCGAGACCGCTTCTACTGGCCCTTTATGAAAAAGGACATTGAGGCCTATGTAACTAGAAAGTGTCCCTGTATAAAACAAAAGAAACCTGCTACACATGTGAGAGCACCCATGGGCAACATCAGTACCAGTGCGCCCATGGAGCTGGTATCTATTGACTACATGCATTTAGAAAAGAGCAGAGGTGGTTACGAATACATACTAGTTGCAGTTGACCACTTTACACGCTTCGCTCAAGCGTGGCCAACCAGAAATAAGTCTGCAAGAACGGCAGCAGAGAAACTGTACAGTGATTTCATCCCTCGCTTTGGTTACCCCGGCAGGCTACACCACGACCAAGGCCGTGAGTTCGAGAATGGACTGTTTAGGGGCCTCCAGCAACTGTCAGGTGTTAGCCGCTCCCGTACAACGCCGTACCACCCACAGGGAAACCCTGCTGAGCGATTTAACCGCACCCTGCTGCAAATGTTGAGAACACTCGAAGAGAAGGAGAAAAACAACTGGAAAGACTTTTTGCCACAGGTTGTTCATGCATATAATTGCACAAAACATGAGGCCACAGGATTTTCTCCACACTTCTTAATGTTTGGGCGCCACCCCCGCCTACCTGTGGATCTCTTGTTTGGACTCAAAACTGTGAAAGAGAGTGAAACACCACAGGGTTATTTGCAGAAGTGGGCAAAGAGAATGAAGGAAGCTTACCGTATTGCGACTAACAACAGCCAGCAGTCCAGTGCTCGTGGAAAGAAATACTATGACCAACGTGTGAGAGGGGTTGTTTTAGAGCCCGGTGATAGAGTGTTAGTCCGTAACCTTGGTGAAAGGGGAGGACCAGGAAAGCTCAGGTCATACTGGGAGCAGACAGTGTATATTGTCAAAGAACAAGTTAATGACAGCCCTGTTTACAAGGTATTTCCTGAGAACAATGCACAGAAAATCAGGGTGCTCCACAGAAACCTCCTCCACCTCGTAAACGACTTACCTGTTACCAAAGGTCAGGAAACAGACAGAGTACCTACGAAGACCAGAGTCAAAACTCACAGAGCCAGTCAAAGCAACAGAGACAGTGACACTTCAGATTCTGAAAGTGACTCCGAGAGACGTTATTGGCTCCGAGTTCCAGTAGTGGCCAGACCGCAGAGACCAGTCACACAAACTCATCCAACAGGTGAAGTGTTCACTCCCACGGAGCAAGCAAGACACTCACCTCCAAACACGGCAAATGGAAATGTGTCAACCGAGGATCAGTGTCCAAGTGCAGATGAAGTTGTACAAAACCCTGAATATGACTATGACTTAGGAGAACAAGAATTTGAAAGAGACACTGAACAAGTCGAACCTGAAATGGACTCGGAAGATGCAGAACAAGTGCCGACACAGGATATTTCCTTTAGGAGATCAGCACGAACGAGGAGACCACCGCAGACCCTTACCTACAACGCCCTGGGCCAGCCTTCTTACCAGCCGCAGGGGATTGTGGGTCATGTTGGACTGTGTGGAGTACAAACATTGCCAGTATGGGGAATGCAACCGTGGCAAGTAAATCCTTATATGCCTTATCAGACTGTGCCCCATACAATAACAGTGCCTTATGCAATGCCTAGTTTTGTGTATTGAAGGTAGACAGACTCTTTGAGCATGGTTATTGTGGTTATAACTAGTAATTATTATTTTTGTGACTCATAAATTTGGTATTTTAAGTGTCGGGAGCCACCTTTTATGTTGGGGAGCGTGTGACATACACAAAATGTATAGTCACATATTTTATGTTATTTAAAATTGAGAGTCAATTTATTTATTTTTAATGGAGAAACCTGGGAACGACTTATTGAGGGATAGCAATTATGGGGTGCGCCACAAGGGGGCATTGTGGGGAGCAGGCTGTGGGTCCGCCTGGCGGGACCTTCTTGCCAACACGTTGGCAACTTCCCTTCATACTATGAAGCGAGGCTGCGTCAACAGAAAACTCACTGCCTCCTGTCTTCTTTTTCCTTTCTAACAGGTAATACGGTTCTAAGCACATGCTTAAATAACACATACATGTAAGGTATGATGTGGTTAGAGATAGCCAATTTTTCGAGCGGTTTGTAACAAGATAAGATGTAATTAATGTATTCAGTCGTGCTATACGCGTGGGCACGAGTTCGGGTAATGGCGGCGCCCCCGCTCTTGACTTGCACTCACAAAAGTGCATTATCCCAATGTTTTGCTAAATGGTTCACAAAAGTGCATTATCCCAATGTTTTGCTAAATGGTTCACAAAAGTGCATTATCCCAATGTTTTGCTAAATGGTTCCAGTTTAAAAAGGCTGTTTAAGATTTTTGAGACAGTATAAACATTTTCCTAATGTTCAGTTTTGTGTATAAATAAAAGGATTAATAAGCAGTATTGTTTTTTTCAATACTTTCCCGGCTACTCACTCCCATTTCTTCTATTGGTAAAAATATTTTGAAAAGTCAAGGTTGTGAGGAGATGAAAAAGAACTTTTTATTTTGTTTGATTTTCTATATAATATACAGTTTCAGCTGCTGGTGTGCATGTGAAACCCATGAGGAAAAGGTGTGTCACGTCTGAGTGTTTCTGTCAGTTCGCTCTCTTCATGTTTACCATACCATTTTAAATACCTGTTCGTCTATTTTGACTGATTTGAAAAACCCAACGTCCTGGAACATTGACATTGCTGCTTTGGCACAGACTGGAGTCCGTCACAGTGACATTAGGACGGAATGATCCATGAATTGAAAAATAGTAAGTTGAGTTGACTGTGTCAAAACCGGCCTGTAACACACAGCACACAGATGTTTACAGATGTTTACAGACTTTTACAAATGTTTATAAGGTTTCTCATCCAAGGCCAACCTTACCTGCACATTATTACTCGTAGGGAATATTGTTTCATAGTTCATCAGCACAAAAGACAATTGTCTGTCACTGATTATTACAACTTGTACCGTTGAACCCTGTGGAAAAATATGACGTTTGGATCTTTTATACACTCAGGTCCATAACTATTGGGACATCAACATCATTCTCATATTTTTACTCTATGCACAACTACACAGGATTTGAAACAAATGTGTTTACTTTAACGTCAGATGTGTTTTACGGAGTGCTTCCCAGTTTGTAAGGACTGAAGGGTTAAGACGTATTGGGAGACCTCACAATGCATCAAACCATCACTTTCTAGTATTTGGTTTAAAATACCTGGAGTCTGGAGTGCACACACATTCTGTCAGTCTGTCCCAGGGCAGCTGTGTCTCCATTGTGTACTTAGCGAATGACTAAGGCCATGTGAACTTTTGAGATGTTGCAAAAGTGCTAATTCATGGGGTATTTTCCCTTCAGTTTTGTCTTTAGTAATTGAAATGCAGCTCGGATTGAGGTTACGTGTTTGACTTTAGGATCTGCTCTGATACTGATACGTGGCCCAGAGGTGGTGGACATGTTATCAAAACCTGGAAACCCACAGCTGGGTCTCAGATTACTTTGACCTAGTTCTCGCCGATCCCAATACCAGCATCTTTATCCGACCATCCCTCTTTCAAAGCTTTTGTTTTTTGCTTCGGGCCATTGTCTATCCGCGGAAAATTGTGGAACATTTTTGTCATATCCTCCATAAACTTAATGGACTTTGTTGCAAGACCAGCCATTACTCTGGTACAAGTTGATCTGAGTTTAATGTTGTTCAGACACTGTGGTTGAAACGCTGTCGTCCCATTGTCCATTACAGAACTTTTACAGAGAGCCTCAGCCTTAATCCAGACCAATGACAGTGACAGGTCTTTGAACCAAACATTGAGACTAATAAACTTATTCCAAATGCTCTCTGCGTTTCCAAACACCTCTCTGTGTTGGTGGTACATAGTCAACAACAGGAGAATTCTGTCAAGGTTCCAATATTAACATGGACCTGTCACTATATAGACAAAAACATGAATGTACATACATCTCCAAAGTGTGGGTAGTAGGGAACTCCATACCAGGTTGCAACAAAAACCCATCTGGCTTCATACTGGTTTTGGAAATGTGGGAAGTATTCATTGATGTCACTTGTAGCCTGCTCCAGAACATTTCCACTGGTGTACTGCTTGTACATTACTTTCCCTTTTTTTCTGTTGTCCAAATCTGCCCAAAAAGGAGCGATGATGTCTCTAGGTCCATTCATTGGGAACCTCCGCGGAGTATAACTTCCAAATGGGCTTTCAAAAGTGAGATGTCCATTTTGGTTGACCTACAAAACATGTGTAGAAAATGCAGAGTTAAAGTCGACCGCAAGCTTCAGTAACTTATCAGAGTGATACGTGTGTGGCCCGTACGTAGAGTTGACAGTGTTCACGTCCAAAGTAGTTGAAACATTGTCGTAGGGGAATTAAAGGAGAACTTCCATCATCGGAGGCAGGACATAAAGTGCCATTGATGGGATAGAGCGGAGCTGGAGAAATCAATATTGAGAAAAATACACAATGTATCTAATAAAATGTGTAATGTACTGAGGATTTATCAACAAAAGCAGAAATAACAGTTGTAAGGGCTAGCTTGATTACTTTAGCTGGGGCAACAAACCACCACAAACAGGCGTCTAAGAATACAATTGTGTACACATTACACAGTCTTGTTAGTTTGTATGTGAAGAGGGTGCGTTACCTTTGCTCTCAGTAAAAGCAATGCCTGTAAATTTAAATCGTCAAGTTACATTAAGTACTTTCAAATTTAGTGAAAAGTATTTGGTATAAACAGCGGCACTTACCCAACAATCCCAGCAAAAAGAAAGTGGTAATGTACGATTTCATTTTTGGAGTTACAGGTAATTTGTCACATTTCTTTGGTCGGACTGGGCATGAGAAGCAGGAGAAACTCCAAGGCTAAAATGTTAAAAAAAATTGTGCGGTCGATGCTCTAGTGATCCATTTGGGGTGGGTCTTGTGTAGTGGCATACATTACCAAACAAGCATTGAAAAATTCTCTGCAAATATTCATTTTCTTCCTGAAACATGAAACGTGTTATGTTTGTGGAGATGAATAAGTTATCAAACGCCACATCTAGAGCGAGATTGTCTATTGTAGAATTTTTCCCCCTGACACCATTGCAAACAAAGAGACCTATGGTGTCAAGAATATAATAGTGTAATAGCACAATAATGTAAAAGGGAAATGAGCAGTATCATTCCCACAAACGGTTCTATGAGAGGAGAAATCTACCCAAGGGGAAAACGTGTGCCAGATGATTTGATAGATTTTTTTCAGCATTAACCTGAAATCTTTAATTCAATATTTACTTTGTCTTTCACTTTATGTGGGTGATTCGTCCCGGAATTAAGTCTTCATTTAAGATCAGTGTTGTGTTACTCTTCCCCAGTTCTTTGGCCTCAAAAGGAAAAATATATCCTTGTGAATATCACCACAAAACTGCAGATGTAATTCTCACGCATGTACCATTATACCGTATATCAAGATTGGACTGACAGAGTGTGACATCACCCCAGTGTCTGCCGAATGTGAAAGAAGTCGCTTTGACCATAAGCCAGCTGAACCCAATTTCCTTATATGGGCGTTTGTTTCGACGGCGTCAGCTTCATGCCATAACAGGGGCAGACGTGAAGGAAGGCATCTGATGGGTCAATTCTTATATGATCCAAATCCAACATATAAGCACCAGGATCACAGATATTACAGTGAGTGTAACACAATCAGTTACCGAGTTAGAGGAGTTTCAAGTCAAGAGGAGCCAGAGCGAGTTGGAGAAAAACTCCCCATTTACAATTTGTTTGCAGTCTAACCCCATACGAGGCTCCGAAAGAAAGGTAGAACGACCTGCCCGAGGAGATAAGTCTAGCTTCATCAGTACCTTCTTTAACGGCTTTTAACTGCTTGTTTTAAAGTTCACGTGTTGTATTTTCTGTTTCACTTTGTCTTTGATTTGTCTGGTATGCAAGTAATTTGTATTTATATGTCTTTCACAGACCAGTCACCAAGCGCTGGTGGAGTGTCCTCTGCCTGCTTTGCTTTCCTGTATCTCCTTTAAACTGCTTTGACTTTCCATTATTTTGGCCGTTTTTTACTGTTCACTGAAAGATCAAGGCTATGCTCACAGTCAGAGAGCAGCCGTCCTCCTGTGGACTCACCACCTGCAGAGGGTCAGTGAGGGGCTGGTGCTATGAGACTTGGGTGTCATCTCTGATTGCCACCCCCCTGACCCAGAAATGGATTAAAGGGTAGAAAATGGATGGATTTTACTGTTCATGTTGACTGCGCATTATCAAAAAATGTTCGCGTCAGTTTGGCATTTTACAGCCGCCCCACTCTAGCACCTGCTGTTCCTAGGTCTCCCATCACAGTATTAACCAGGCCCTACCCCGCACAGCTGATGCGATAAGGCTTTTGCATGCAAGTATGGCAATTTTTTAATTATTTTTGTCTGTATCATTAATTTTGTAGCCTCTGACTCGGACTCTGGCTGATGCTCGGATCGAGACACTTTTCTTCTTAAATTCTGAACAATCAACAAATCCATCAAAACCTTGTACATAGGATTTGTTTTCCGATTGTATAGAACACCCAGAAGATAGAAACAGACAATCATTTCTGACTCAGTAAAAACACACAATAGTTTTAAATACAAAATAGTTGTGGTTTATTCTTTTATGAACAAAATGGAAAAAAACTAAGTGTCTTTTAATCATGAACAATATCTACAGGAAAAAGACATCCACAATTCTCTCGTTCCGCCACAATTTTCACCAAACAACTGCTTTCAATTTGATTTCACGTTGTCGGCCTGCGTGTCCAGTTCCACAGTCTATGAACAATAAAACGTGTTCATTTATGGTCAGAGTGCCCTCGGTGTTCATGTCTTTAACAAAACAAAACACTTTTCAAATGGTTCGAATCCTTTTGCTCGAAAAAACTTCAACAAAAATCACTTGCGTCTGTGCACGTTTCGGTGAAGAATACAAAACAGACGTCTGAAAGGAGGTCACACGAACATGACTTTGAACGTGAATGTCAATTTGAATAGACTAGAGTTCTTTTTCTCGCTTCCAGGACAAACCCAGCACACATGTTGAACAGGGATTTCCATGTGTGCCTTGTCCTTTCTCCCGATTATTGTAATTATGAGTTCGAATGACGCAGTTAAATGCAGAGAATATATAAATTGCACATAGACTTGTTGATACATCTTAAAGGGAACTCGTTATTGGTCATTTTTACTGGTCTCTAGTCCATAACACTGTGCTTGAGTAATCTTGAGTGCTGGTAGGGGTTGAGAATGCGTGACTTTAGTGACTTTAGTGCAATGTTTCCCCAAATTTCTTTGAGCAAAAACTACATTTTTCATGATTTTATCTCGACTATAGCCCTTGGTTTGCTTCAGCCAGCGGGGGGCGTGTCCAGCTCGGTGACGCTCGTTTCTGTGACACAAAAACGCCATTTTGACGCTTCGATTGCTTCCCCCCGACGTCGTAACACACCGAAAAGTCTCGCCAGGAAATAGGCCGCACCCTCAGGGAAGTTGGCCCTTTGTTACCGATACGATTTGATCATTCTGCAGCACAGGGTCCAAACCCCCAACAGTCGAGTAGCATTGGATGTCACAGGATTTTGGGTTGAGCCTTTAAAACATGTAAAAAGAGCACGATGTCGGAGCTCACAAGGAACGGCCGAGGAGTGAAGTCGGGAGCGGCGTGGCGTCTTCTTGTAAAATAAATCACAAACAACCACAACTGTTTCTCTCCTCCATATTTTTTATCGTCCGTTTCTCTCTCTCTCTCTCGCGTCCTCAGAGGAGACCGGACACGGCAGATTCGAATGGGGCAGGAGTTGGTCTCGGATGACGGTAAGTGGGCAGAGGTCATCCCTGTGTTGGGAGGGGGAGGGTCTGTATGTGTAGGGGTGTGTCACAGTCCGGGCGCGGGGGCTGTTACGACTGTTTGAGACGCTTTCGAGGGGGGCCCAGGAAGGGGCACTGAGCTGAGGCCAGCGAGCGGTAAGCTTCGGCGACGAGGTGAGGATGGGACCCCACCATGGACTTCCAGCCGGCGGTCTCCATCACCTCCGCGGCGTGGCTAGAACACAAATACATTTACATCAAAGGTTATTCTATTTTTTTACATTTATAACTTGTTTTTCACCGAGAGACAAAGTGTTCTGGTTTGTGACTGGTTCTGATTTGATTCTTGGGGTCGCAACAATATTTACCCAGGAGCGGAAGCAAGATCTGAGTACTTGGCCTTCTTGGGCATATTTTGAAACTTAAAATTATTTCCGTAGGTTAAAGTAACGGGGTCTTCAACCTTTAGCCCGGGAGCTACCATTAGCTCGCCACCCTGCTGCAAGGAGCTCCCCAAAAGATTTAGAAATGACATGAATATGCAATAAATATTCCAAAACGTATGAATCATATGCACACAACTATTGTAAATGCAAATCAATAGCTCTCTACAAAAAATAGAGGTTTTTTCGTCAGACGTTAAGGAGTAGCTCAATGTCATTTTGGTCCAGAGAAAGAAGCTCTCTGTGTGAGAAAGATGCTGGAGACCCCTGGGTTAAAGTAATGGGGATTTGCATTACCACGCCCTCTACTGGTAGCAACGCAAATAAACAGAACTCGCAGCACTTCAGCCACAATAATAAAAGCTTCTGTCTGAGTCCTGTAGAAGTATGATGTCATTGTCCCACTATGACATCACACAGTTTTCTGGCCACTAAAAAATAGTTTAAGATATTTGGAAAGAACTTACAGAATTAAAAAGGTGGAAACCGTTTTTTACCTTATTAGTTTTACCTTTTATTATCTGCATACAGTATTTCACATTCTAAAACATGAAATGAGAAAATTGTCTTTTTATTACTTTAATGGCCAAAAATAATGTCTAATATTTCTTCTAACACGGCCGTATCTCATTTTTGTTTTTTTTTGTCACCACAATTATTCAGATACGCCTGCATTCAGAACCAGCATCAGAATTATGAAGTCAAAAACTACACATTTTCTTTGGCTCAAGGTGCAAGAGTAAAAATACATAAAAAGGCATGAATACAAAAGTCATCATACAAATCTATTCAAATTATTGCTATTACTATATACTATTACTACTAACACATGACTACACATATTATTCAGGATGTATGGAAACAAAATGGCCGACAAAGGGACTCACTAGTTGATGAAGTCGACGGCCTGTGTTTTGAGCTGGTCGGCGCTGTGCAGGTCGGCGAGGATCAGGATCTCCGCTGCGTTATCCACAGACAGACTGGTGCACAGGGCGTCCTCACACATCACCTTCAGCCTCTCCAGAGCGTACTGCAACACACACACACACAACAGACACACACACACAACACATGTCAGCATCTTCATGGCTCTACTTGTGTCTAGGAAGAGACATCATTGCAACCAACAAACATTTAAGTTTTGATTCCATGCTTAATTTTGGCACAAAAAAAATTGCCACTAAAATAATCTGAATTTCACTCTGAACCAGAGCAGGGAAAACGGTCCGAACCAACCAGACTCTGCAGACATCAACCAGAGGAAGCGGCTTCACCACCTCTGCTGCTGTGACCTAAATGCGGTTGCAGTTTATTACTATTGTTTGTAACTTTTAGAATTGCGTTTTTTTTTTTTTGTGCTAATGGATGTGTTTCTGCAGCTGGACGCCAGACTTTCTCCAACGAGGATCAATAAACTATCTCTCTCTAAATCTTGAGGAATGACACAGTTAATAGTTAAATGCTAATCACAGACGGATACTTTAAGTTAAGCAGCACAGTGTGGAGAGTGTGGGATGCCAGTATCTTGTAGCTCCTAAGCCGTGGTTACTGATGCAGACCACCTGCTGGGGTTTAACCAAAAACAGTACACATTCTATATCACTTCACCACTTCTTTTTTTAACTTGGTTTCCTATAATAGTGCGCTGTGATAGTTTTTGCTTTTGACAGCTGTTATTTATAATATTTAAAACGATAGAAGCCAAACCACATTTCATTTGACAAACTGGCAACTGAGAGGAGGGACTCATTCTGCTCTGATTGGAAAAACGGCTTGGAAATTGAATATTGGAGATTTTAATGAAGAATAACTCCACTTTAAACTGTTCAGAAAAGGTCATCATGTGTGACCTGTTATCTGGGACACATGTAAAAGAGGTCGATGTTATTACAGCAATGACTGAGAACTCTCTGGTGGTGGCGCTGGTGAGTCTTGTGCTGCTAGTACCAGTCTCCTTTAAGAGAACACAGGTACAGCTGTTTTTATAGGCTGCCTGTATTATATTTCATGTCTGTTGGTGTCTGTGTTTCTCGTCCTCGTGTGGCCCGAGAGTGTGAATAAACAGAAACAGAAAACCCGTCTCAATCTTCATATCGCACACAGGTGTTCATTTCCAGCGTTCACAGATATAGACCTTATCAGCGGCTGCAAGTAGATCGTCCGCCATCTTGTCCAGGTTTGGAGCTTTGTCAGTGTAAATGAAGCACATCATCTCCTTAAAGACCTCCGGCTCCACGTCGTTGATCTCCACACGGTTCTGCGAGACACACCAGATTCTCAGTCTCTGCCATTGTTAACTTTTCTCTCAACATTTAAAGAGACCTTAGTGTTTCTGCACAGACTATTGTTAAGGTGTAAACGCAGTACCTTCTTGCTCTCCTCCATCTCGTGTTCAAACATGGCACTGAACACTGGTGAGCGCGCTGCAAACACACAAACAGCTCCTTGTTAAAGCTGTGATTAATAATAATGTCAAGAAATTAACATATTATAAAACTCATGCCACTTGTCACACTGGATTCAAAACATGCATCTAATAAATATCCTTTGATGAAGTGTTTTACACGTGCACAGAACGTAATCCCTCTCAGTTTGCATAGATCAAGTTCAAAGCTAAACAAAGCAGATGTTTTTTTGCTTATTTTCCCCGTTATTTGTCCGTTATTCAACTTGTAGCTGCCGTTAGCCCTCACCTGCTAAGATGGCTTTGTGAGCCTGGAACTCCTGTCCTGCCACACACAGGGAGCAGTCTGTGAAGCGAGAGTTTTCCCAGAGGCCCCCGAGCTCGTCAGCCAAACGACAGTCCGGAACCTTCACCATGTTCATGGTGTTCTGCCCCGAGATGTTGACGGAGTCCTGCACCACGCTCACCTGAAATCACAGCCGGGTTTGTCAACAGGCTCCTTTCTACAGACGCTGATGGAGACCTCTCTGTGTCGCTGTTCACCACGACATACTTTCACCTGATGCTCTTTTACACGTGCTCCCCATGTCATATGAACTAATAATATTACTAGAATATATAAACAAAAAGGTAAAGATGTTTTTTTTTAATATATAATTTTAAGTATATGTATTATGAATTTGGAAATGTAAAATTATCATAGTGAAAACACTATTATAAAATTGTCAACTTTATGACGAGTCCTTTGCTGTGAGGCACGAGCGCTACATTTTATTGGTGAATTACATTGAACCATAAAAGCAGTGGTTTTCGTGTGAACACACCTCACAGAAAAGAGTCAGTTTGTCGTCTGGTAAAAGGCCGTTGGCCTCGTCCAGCAGAAAGTCTCTCCGGATGAACTTCTTAAAGCCCCAGTCTTTGCCCTGGACAAAGCGATACGCTCTCTGGCTTTCTGCAGGACACAAATACAACTGGAGTAAGTTCAGAACAGTATATTTTAACATTATTATATCAGAGTGTGGCTTACCCATTGCTTTGGTCTCCTCTCCTTTAGCATTTAGAATGGAAAATTTGAACTTGGCGCGGACCTCTGCCTTAGGACAGCTGACCAGCAGCAGATAGAGAGAAAGGTAGTCTTTACTCTCCTCATCCAGGCCTTTAGGATTGACTCGCAAACACCTACGGAAAAGAGAAGACGTTTTTCTCACAATATTATCTTATTTTATTATCATTCTCATTTTCAGATTATTACTTTAATGCTATTTTTATTTGTTATTTTTTATCGTGAAATACTATGCAAGCTACAGTGACAATGACACTTCCATTGTGGATCAATAAAGTCTAAGTCTAATAGATTACAGTCAAAGGTACAAGTTACTTTGTTCAAAGAAATAAACTTGTTAGGACAACATACCATTTGAGTTTGTCATTGGCCCCAGAGGAGAAGGTGGAGCTCTTGATGACCTCCCCCATCTCCTCACGACAGAAGCTGAAGTTGTTGATGGTCCACATGTACGAGAACTTCACCACTTTGATCTGAATCAGACACGAGTTACAAAGATCACATTATCATTTTGTCCTCGAGCCACATCCACCTCCAGCCGAAGGTCCTTGACTTTTGAGTGTTTGTCAAATACGTGTCCAGACGACCATCTTTCCCACAAACATAACGATACAACAACAACAGAACTGTACCTGTGTGTAACACCAGCTCTCGGCCACAGGCCCGCTGGACATTTCCGCAGGGGGAGGGGGACTCGGGACTCTTGACATTGCCAGCGTGACACGTATCCACGGCAACGAGGATCCAAAGAAAACCTGGCTCTCCGCTCAGTGGTTCTCCTCAGCATCCACCTGCATCAGCACGAGCCACATCCGAGCATGTCTCCTGGAAACAGAAGCAGCTCCAACATTACTGCCTTGTTTTAATCATAAAAACACTTCTGCATCACTTCTGCATCAGAATTCACCAAGCGCTGGATTGTTCATGGAGAGGAAACAAGAGACAGGTACTGATGTATGTGATTGTAATAGTAATCCTAAACAGTTTTTAACAATAGCTCATTATGTTTGATAAGACTGATTAGTTCATTCGATCACAAAAGACCAGAGAATACGAGACGTTTCAAAAACAATGCGACAATAGAGCTCTGAGACTTAATTTCTAATCATCTAATGTTTAAGTCTGTGCACGTTTCAAAAAGGTAATAATGACTAAATTTGTTGACAATACAGTTTAAATGAGTTCCACTTTTTATTGAGAAAAGACAGTTGCTATGTTTGCGTATTTGACGTTGTAGTGACCGAGCGGCGGTGAAAGAGTCAGGGTTGTGTCCACAGAGCTCCATGATCAACTGTTTAAAGTTTTCTGGTGCAGGCAAAGACCTCTGGGTGCAGGGCCCACATCATCCAGACTATTGATCCTCCCAATTGTCAATCATTCTGGTGATACGTGCTCGTCGAACATGACCTGAGAATTTCGTTAAAAAAAGTGGAGGGAGGTTCTTCCCTAACATTAGGGGAAATCCACCTATATACCTTTAAAGTAGATTTAGGAAAATATTTGGTGAGTTGCACTGAAATAACAAAATATTCAAAGAGGATTTAGCCTACAGTACTCATATTTATATTACAGACTAATTAGAGTCTGTATAAATACATGTTCTGCATTGTTTTACATAGTCAGCTATAACAAAAGTCAGTGCACTTGATTATGACTTCTGAAATGTTGTTCAAATTGGGATAATAATAAGTTATGAATTACCAACTCACACCATCACCAGTGTCCAGGATGAGAGAGGTTTGGTGAAGAACCGACCACAACAGGTGTAACAATGAAAAGATAATTCTCAGACATAAACATTATTTAACACATGTCCCCAGTTCTATAGAGACTGATTTCAGACCTACACTGTGTCTTTGTGCTACATTTAGAGCCCTACAGCATGTTATGTAATTCCATGTTTAAATCTACTCGGGGCCAGCTTGTTAGTCCTCTTGAAGCTAGCACCAAACCAAACAAAAAGGCAGGAAAAATGCGCGACAATGATATAAAAGAGGAGACTATAAGACTGATTCTACACGTGTTTCAGGTCTGGTGTGTTTGTGTTGGATTGAGGTATTCGGATCACCTTAACACTCACCTTATTGCCCGGGAGAAAATCTAATAGTATAAAACGGGATCTTGTGTTGTTGTTAGCAGGCGGCTAGCTAGGAGCTGTAAGGAGAAACTGCTGATCCAGTGACAGCGATCAGCGCCCCCTGCTGCTGCGGAGGAGGAGGAGCGCGGCTTCTTACAGCCTATATAAGATAAGATGTACTTTATTGATCTCACATAGGAGAAATGTACATGTCACATCTGGCATGGATGGAAACACTCAGGATTGAGCAAAAAGAAAGAAATGTGCAAATATTTTAAATGCATGTTATGTACAAAAAAGTGGCAATCAAGAAACAGTGTCAATAGTAGTGCAGGTTTTTCAGTCTTAATGCAGTGACTTATTGTACAGTTATGTTCGGGACACTTGTATGTTGTTGTAAGTTATCCCCCTTTTCTCTAATCCACCTGCAACACTCAGTAAAATGCAGTATTTCCTTTACAAAAACTATAAATATGACCTCAAATAAAATAATGAAATTATTCCCTTACTTAGAAAGTATTTAGGGCCAACTATTTTGCATCGGTTCTCCCTATGTACCTTTTGTCATTGTCAGATTCGTTTGTATAGAACATTTACAACACCAGCTTCACAAGCACAACAGGAAAAAACATCATGGTGTAAATGTTTGATTTTATGTAAAGTAAAGTATACAACATCTATGCAATTCCTAGGAACTTTAGAATCTTTGTAGGTCGTGGTTCATCCCAGAATGTTGGATACGACTCCAAATTAGTCGGACTTTACATAAATCTGGTCATTACCTTCTTCAGCCTAGAAGCTAATGAAGAGGTCGATCATTAGTACAAAGTATAAACAAAGAGAAATACCACATTTTATTTAAAGTTTAATCCTGCACAAGTATATATACATTTCACAAAATATGGAGCTTAAAGAAAAGCACTCAACAAAATAATATACAATAGAAATACAATTATCTTTTTGGGATAACTACGTTGCCACTAGTTGCAATTGGAATTAAAAGTTTGCGCTGATCCAGACGAAGGTATTTTTCGATCAGCACTTCCACCGGCACCTTATCGTTGACGTGGCCCTGTCTGAACACACCACACAACACAACACAACACAACACACATGAGGGAACACGTCACACAAGAATGAACCAGCATCAGCACTTTACCTTCTGAGTAAAAGTTCACAATCAGCGACATCTATCGTGGATCTCTTTGCATGAAGCGCGTACGCCTCCAGGTCTTTTGCAGCACGGTCAAAAAACTTGTCCGTTCTGTCAAAACAATTGAAGACAGCCACAGTATCAAAGTGCTGATGTTTAAACAGTAACAAAGGAAACTGGACTTACGTCTCTTTCAGGACAGGATAGACGTCTGCAGAGACTTTAGTCTTTGCAAAATGTTTAAACACATTCATGACGTAGCTCTTGGGGAGGCCTGGATCGCTCTTTGATGATCTGGGTTTTCTCTGAGCTCTGGGTTTAGATTTTGGCTTTGGATCATCTCGACTACAAACACAACATTTATTATTAGTGCAAGCTATTCTCATCCATGTCTAGATAAAGCAGTTGTACGACCCACAAGACCATTTTTAGTAGCCCCTAACAGAAATATTTTAATAATATTATTATTATTATTATTATTATCATCATCATGTAGCATTGATGGTAATGGGCTACCACATTTAATTTAGTATAACATTTTAACCCAACACCTGAAGTAAAAGTATAATTTCATGTCAAGTCATCATTAAATGGCTGAAATCTGTCATAAGGTATTAATCAATCATGCTCTTTTCAAAATGGTACCAAAAACTAACCTATAACTCTAGTTCAGCCAAATTTCAAAATAGGTTTTACAGCCCCCAAATCTTGTTATTGTTTTCATTTCGATGTCCCGCCCTCCACTGTTTCAGAAAGGCCTTGATCCGTGTTGCCAGAACTCACCGCGACAAGCTAATCAATAATGACAAAATCAAGGAATAAAACCAGAATTTCTCTCGAGGCTTTTGTAAAAAAGGTGTTTGTTATAGATTTGTTGTTGACAAAACTCTAGTCTATTCTGATATTATGGTCCCAGCTGGATTCGTCTGCATACCTGGCAACCCGAGTCAGGGAGAGTGCAGTACCCCTTTCGGCCAGATTTTTACATATCGCTCCTTTAAATAGTTACATGAAAATCACTGTGTTTCACTTTATATTTGTTCTAGTTTTGGTTCAATCCAAACAAACACATTTTGTTTTCAGAAAACTCAAGCAGAAAATAACGGTGAAACTGGTGTCTTATAAAAGTCATGTCAAAATACCTTCATAATGTAAAAAAAAATTATAAAAAAGGAAATCTCTGTTTTGCCCCTGACCAAAATAAGCTCGACACCCCCGAGTTAAAGCCACCTTTACCTGGGCTGGATATTCTTAGAAGCCAGAGGTGTGACTTGTGCCTCAGAATGTAAGAAAATCCTCTTTTGTTTCACGAACGCAGGGGTCTCACTCGGGAAATCTACAAGGAACAGAACATGTCAGATTCTCATGTTGCTAAAAAGTGTTTGCATGTGACATATTCTCATCACCATCCTCCTCTTCCTCCTCCTCAGACTGATCGCCATCTGGCGGACCGCTTTCCTGTATTGCATTTTCCTTGTCATTGACACTTCCAAGGCTCGATTGTTCCGTTTCCTCATATTCTGTACAAATTGAAATGAATAAAGAAATAAAACGTTCTCTAAAGTGAATCAAATGCAGGACTTAAAAAGTGTGGATAAGCCGGGGGTCGGAGACGAGTAGCAAGACAAACGATGTGTGCGTGTGTATATGTATATAAATGTGTGTGCATATATGTATGTGTGTGCGTGTGTATATGTATATAAATGTGTGTGCATATATGTATGTGTGTGCGTATGTGTGTGTATGTATGTGTATGTATATATGTGCGTATATGCTTGTATGTGTGTGTATACAGTGCCTTGCGAAAGTATTCGGCCTCCTCGAACCTTTCAACATTTCAGTCTTCAAACATAAAGATATACAATTTTAATTTTTTGTCATGAATCAACAACAAGTGGGACACAATCGTGAAGTGGAACAAAATTTATCGGATTATTTAAACTTTTTTAACAAATAAAAAACTGAAAAGTGGGGCGTGCAATATTATTCGGCCCCTTTACTTTCAGTGCAGCAAACTCAGTCCAGAAGTTCAGTGAGGATCTTTGAATGATCCAATGTTGTCCTAAATGACTGATGATGATAAATAGAATGCACCTGTGTGTAATCAAGTCTCCGTATAAATGCACCTGCTCTTTGATAGTCTCAGGGTTCTGTTTAAAGCGCAGAGAGAACCATGAAGACAAAGGAACACACCAGGCAGCTCCGAGATACTGTTGTGGAGAAGTTTAAAGCCGGATTTGGATACAAAAAGATTATCCAAGCTTTAAACATCTCAAGGAGCACTGTGCAAGCCATTATATTGAAATGGAAGGAGTATCAGACCACTGCAAATCTACCAAGACCCGGCCGTCCCTCCAAACTTTCATCTCAAACAAGGAGAAGACTGATCAGAGATGCAACCAAGAGGTCCATGATCGCTCTGGATGAACTGCAGATAACTACAGCTGAGGTGGGAGAGTCTGTCCATAGGACAACAATCAGTCGTGCACTGCACAAATCTGGCCTTTATGGAAGAGTGGCAAGAAGAAAGCCATTTCTCAAAGATATCCATAAAAAGTCTCGTTTAAAGTTTGCCACAAGCCACCTGGGAGACACACCAAACATGTGGAAGAAGGTGCTCTGGTCAGATGAAACCAAAATCAAACTTTTTGGCCACAATGCAAAACGATATGTTTGGCTTAAAAGCAACACAGCTCATCACCCTGAACACACCATCCCCACTGTCAAACATGGTGGTGGCAGCATCATGGTTTGGGCCTGCTTTTCTTCAGCAGGGACAGGGAAGATGGCTAAAATTGATGGGAAGATGGATGGAGCCAAATACAGGACCATTCTGGAAGAAAACCTGTTGGAGTCTGCAAAAGACCTGAGACTGGGACGGAGATTTATCTTCCAACAGGACAATGATCCAAAACATAAAGCCAAATCTACAATGGAATGGTTCACAAATAGACGTATCCAGGTGTTAGAATGGCCAAGTCTAAGTCCAGACCTGAATCCAATCGAGAATCTGTGGGAAGAGCTGAAGACTGCTGTTCACAAACGCTCTCCATCCAACCTCACTGAGCTCGAGCTGTTTTGCAAGGAAGAATGGGAAAGAATTCCAGTCTCTCGATGTGCAAAACTGATAGAGACATACCCCAAGCGACTTGCAGCTGTAATTGCAGCAAAAGGTGGCGCTACAAAGTATTAGCGCAAGGGGGCCGAATAATATTGCCCCATACGTACGTACATACGCCCCACTTTTCAGTTTTTTATTTGTTAAAAAAGTTTAAATTATCCAATAAATTTCGTTCCACTTCACGATTGTGTCCCACTTGTTGTATGATTCTTGAAAAAAAAATATTTTTTATATCTTTGTTTGAAGCCTGAAATGTGGCAAGGTTCAAGGGGGCCGAATACTTTCGCAAGGCACTGTATATGCTTGTATGTGTGTGAATATATATGTGCGTATGTGTGTTTATATATATATGTGCATATGTGTGTGTATATATGCGCATACAGTATGTGTGTGTAAATATGCACGTTTGTGTGTATACATGTGTGTATGTGTGTGTATGCATGTATAAATAACTATGCATTTCTAACTGTACTTTGTTTGCTACATTTCTCTCAAGTCTTACCAAGTTCAGCGTCTGGCAGGTCAGCAGCAGGTCTGTGGAGAGGCGCGATCAGGTCGACCTCCGCACTCACGGCTCTCTGTGCGACCTGCTCCGAATCCTCGTCCTCCTGAGAGTCTGCGTCCACCGCGTCAGCCTCCTCTTCGTCACTCTCAACGTCGCCTTCAGCCTGCTCTGAATCTCCCGCCTCTTCGTCGCTGTCCATGACAACGACTTCTGCCACATCTTCAAAAAAGTTAATTACATCTGCTGCCTGGTCTTCGTCTTCATCTTTATCTTCAGCCTCCTCCTCCTCCTCGTCCTCCATTACATCTGCTGCCTGGTAGTCAGCCTCCTCATTACCTTCCATGTCGACTTCTGCCTGATCTTCCTCCTCTGCTGTTCCCCCTTCTTCCTCCTCCTCAGTCTCTCCTTGAGTCATTCCCTCTGCCCCCTCTTCCTCCTCAGTCTCTCCTTGAGTCAGTCCCTCTGCCTCCTCTTCCTCCTCAGTCTCTCCTTGAGTCAGTCCCTCTGCCTCCTCTTCCTCCTCAGTCTCTCCTTGAGTCAGTCCCTCTGCCTCCTCTTCCTCCTCAGTCTCTCCTTGAGTCAGTCCCTCTGCCCCCTCTTCCTCCTCAGTCTCTCCTTGAGTCAGTCCCTCTGCCTCCTCTTCCTCCTCAGTCTCTCCTTGAGTCAGTCCCTCTGCCTCCTCTTCCTCCTCAGTCTCTCCTTGAGTCATTCCCTCTGCCTCCTCTTCCTCCTCTGCTGTTCCCTCCTCCTCAGTCTCTCCTCTCACACCGTGACTTTGGTCTTCCACGTTTTCAGCACTGACGTCTTCTTTTGCAGTTTCGGTAGACACGGCTGCAGCTGCATCGTCCACCGGCGGAAAATCTGCCTCAGAGCTGGGACCTGGGATGTCTTCATAATCGTCCACATTATCGGACATCTCTGGAGACTGGCGGACCTCAATCCTACTCTTTTCTTCTGTTGGGAACGAATAGGGCTCCTGATCCACCTCCAGCTGCTCTCGGAGGGCTCTCTGAATCTGCGACGCCATGACCGTGGCTTTTTCTTGAGTTGCGAGCGTCGAGAAGTTCGGCAGGCCCTCAGCTTGGCCGTACAGCGCCGTGTTGCAGTTGAAAATGTCTGTAGTAATGTCGGGCTCGCTGATTTTGCTTAGGCCAAAGGATTCCGAGCCTGTGGTTTCGCCAAATAGTTGACCGGGGGCTGAGATACTGCCTATAAAAAAAAGATCGAAACATAAGTCATAAAGTATATGGAGAAAAATGTAAAAACACACAATAACTAAAAATACATCAGGACTAACCATCGTGGATCCCCAACTCTCTCCGAGCCACGGCAGCTCCAAAATCATCTTCTGAAACTTTTCTGAGGTTTGATATTTTTCTCTGTAAAGCTTTTTTTTCCGTCCGGACGTCGATAAAAGGCGTCTTGAGAGTGAGAGACGTTTGGCTTAAAAAAAAAAAAAAAAAAAAAATCGGGCAGTTTTAATTGTGTAATAAGCTGTGTGTGTGTGTGTGTGTGTGTGTGTGTGTGTGTGTGTGTGTGTGTGTGTGTGTGTGTGTGTGTGTAATATGCTCTGTGCGTGTGTGAAATATGCTCTGTGCGTGTGTGTGTGTCTGTATATAATCTGCTGTGTGTGTGCGGTGATGCCCAATACCTTAGCGATGACAGCGAGGATTGATCCATCGTTTCCTCTTCCTCATCTTGGGGACAAAATACCAATATAGGCAAATTTAATTGTAGCATACACAAGGCAACAGTGTTAAACAAAAACCAGAAACAATCAAAATGGCATTCAAATCTGAAATAATCAATGTACATTAGAAAGACTGAAGTTAAAATCCCTCAGTTGTTATATATGCAAAACTAAATAGAACAGTTTTTAACCTGGATTTGAACATGCCGGTCTGTCATTTTCAGACAGACTGTTCCAGATTGAATAAATATGAAATGCTGAAACTTCTTAGTTGCCCTGGACCTGTGTGAGTGTGAGTTTATGCTCCATGGAATAAAATAAATACAAAATCGGCAACAACGTCTCAGTGCACTTACCATTCTCTCCTTTGAGGCGGTTTTCAAACGCCGTAACATTGAGACTACGATGAGGCCGCTTTCGAGTGAGTCTTTTTATGCTAGTCTCAATGTTGCCGGTGGTTAAATCAGAAAGCTCCAGTCCCGAGAGCTCGATGCTGGGGGGGAATAAAAAACAGATTTAATTGAAAATGGGTGCAGTAGTACATACAGTAATTATAAGTTAGTAATGAAACCAGTCACAAACCTTGGTCTACTTTGTCGACTTGAGTCTGGAGAGGCTTTCTGGGGATGTTGTTTTTGTGAATCAACGGGCTCATTTATCAAAGGTGATTTCACTGGCTCTGAAAGGGAATGACCAACGTCCATAAGTGGTGATAAATGTCCATAAATGTTGTTGAATGTTGAGTGTCCTGGATCATCAAGGACAGTGGTGATGATCCCGGACACACGACATTTGACAACATTTATGGACATGTCAAGAAATGAAGACATAGTTTAGTTTCGACTCCCTCCGGATTGATCAAAAGGAGACAAAGCTTTTTATATGATTTGTCTCAATGTGCATAAAAACAGAAGATGTCATCACTCGAGATATAAATGGCTCCTGCTTAAGATATAGATACTGTAGTAACAATGTGGGCAAAACAAAGACGTACAGTGCTTCAGGTTTTAGCGGTAACACAGATATAACAGGGGTCCACAGAACAAAATACGGATCAAGTTCTACAGACATTTATGAACAGTGGTTTGAAATGTTTGATTTTCTGATCTGTGTCGGCGCATTCAACTTTTGTGTAACGTCCTCTGAGATAAGTGCTGCAGTGATTTAGGGATTATACAAGAATAGATTGAAAACAAATAATAAATGGTACTGGCAAGATATGTTACAGTGAAATTAAGATCCATCTCACACTACGAGTTTACTTCTGGTGTAATAATATGCTATACCTGTGAGGAGGATGTTCTTAAAGATTTGTCTTGGAGTTTCTCGGTCGTCTAAGAGCACAGAGGAAGGACCAGGGGTTTGTTCGAACACGGTGGATGTAGTTCTTCTTTGCTTGGTGAGTGTGGTTCTCGTGAGACTCTACGAAGGCACAACACGTTAGTCCTCTATGTGCCAGAGGTTTAAGAAGTAAAACTACTCGACAAACCTCCCGCATTTTATGTTTGAGGCTCCGCCGAAGCAGCCCCTGAGGAGTGTGAGCAGCAGGGGCATTGGTGCTCTGTCTGGTGCTGCGTCTTTGACCACTGCCCTGCGCTGCAACACTGAACACACAGCAATTCAATTATCTTTATTTACAAAACTTCATCGTAAAACACGCTGTAAATGTTGCTATTTCCAAAGTTAGAAGGTGCTTTGTAAAAGGGAACACTCAGGAAGCTGCATTAGCTTATAGTCAGGGCCCCAAAACAATACATGGAAACAACAGTCACATTATAACTTTATACAATCCTAATCCAATTCCTAACATTTACCCATCCACACGTCCTCAGATTCAGCCTGTTCTGTTCATGTTCTAGTGCTTCTTCTTACACATAGTTATGTATCATCTTTCATATACAGTAAACAATAATAATACATCACAGATGGCATGACTGAGTTGGGGCTGGTCACACACACACACACACACACACACACACACACACTTTAGGGCCAGTACCTGCGGGTCAGAGGAGTCCTCGGCGGCTCCTCGTTCATGATGTGTTTCATGATGATCCGTGCGGACACATCCTCAGTAGAATCCATCACAGCTGTTAGCTCTTTTAGCTCCTTTAGCTCTATTAGCTCTATTAGCTTGGACACAACAAAAACTCAAAACCCCGCAGGAGGTAAAAGCAGCTGTTCCATGCAGCAAAGCCAGAGGCTTTCATCAACATTTAGATTTGACCCAAAACGAGACTGAACCATGGACGCCGTCTTTTAGACGGTCTGTGGGAGTCCCGCGTTATTTTCAAGTTTGTTTTCCTCAAACTCTCGCGAGGCTTTATCTCCTTCGTGTGAATCTCTGTGCTGGGAACATCGCCCCCTGGCGGCGGATTGCGCCACAGTCAGTACGGTCTGTAGGGCTGACTGGTCAAGTAGGTAATGAAATCATAGACTAATACATTGGAACAAGGTCTATGGATTATATACTTCACAGAGAACTTTAAACTCTTCATGTTCAGTCAAACGTTTACTTTTATTAAAGTAACTGCTCACAGTAGAAATGGTCCATAATTTTTCAGCCCACTTTATAGGAGCCACATTTTAATATATGTTAATTCTGCGGTGTGTATATACTTTATACTTATATAATTATATATTAGTAGTATAATGTATGTATGTATGTATGTATAATATGTACAGTACAGACCAAAAGTTTGGACACACTTTCTCATTCAATGGTTGTCCTTTCTTTTCATGACTTATTGACTGTAGATTCACACTCAGGCTGTTTAAGGGCTGTTTGACCAATAAGGAGAGTGATGGTACTGGGCCAGATGACCCGGCCTCCAGTCACCGGACCAGAACCCAATCCAGATGGTTTTGGGGCTGGACCACAGAGTGAAGGCAAAAGGGCCAACAAGTGCTAAGCATCTGTGGGAACTCAGACCATTTCAGGTTCTCTTGAAGCTCATCAAGAGAATGCCAAGAGTGTGTGCAGCAGTAATCAGAGCAAAAGGTCTTACTTTGAAGAACCATAATCATGAAAATAAAAAACTCTTTGAATAAGAAGTTATGTCCAAACTTTTGGTCTGTACTGTAATATATAAACATCAAGCCTATACAACATACATCTTTGAAAGCATTTCCACTGTACAGTTATTATAATTAAATAAGTTATATGCATAGAATACCCTATGATGTCTAGTTGGACACGTGTTTCCAGTTCATTTATACTTTCCATAGATGTTCAGCTCCTTTTCCCCTCATCATTACGTTTATTTTGATGTAAAGATTTTAGTGTTTTTTCCCCTTATTTTCATTAGTTGTCCACAAAAGGCGTCTGAAGGAAGAAGAGACTTCTAACAACATGCATCAACATATTATAAATATAAATTGCAAGTTGTTGCTTCCCATTTCAATACATTTATTCAATAACAAAATCTTTTCCACTCAATATAAGATAATTTATTTGTAATTGGCTGTAAAGTGCAAATGTTTTTCATCTTTGATAAAAGTTATTTAAAAGTCTGGTCTGTTCTTCTCGAGCTTTGAGTAGTCCATGTTGACAGTGAAGAGCTGGAAAAGAAAACAAAAGAACAAGTAAATACAAGTTAGTTGGGCACTTTACCTATTACAACAAATATTCTCCCTCGTGAGCAATTATGATTCACTATTCTATATTTTCAGGTCTGGTGAAATACAGAGGACTTCAACAAAACATTGCTTAATAATCTTTGGCAACAGCCCTACATTTAATCATTCTGAAACTCAGTATGAGTAATGCAAATGCTTCACATTGTCAGAACGGCTCAAAAACACAGCACACCTTGTACTGATGATCGGGTGTCATTTTGTTCCATGGCTCAGGGTTGTTCTTGCGGTCCCAGCTGCAGAAGAGAAGGGTCAGAGTCGGAGGTACAAAAAGGTGTCTGTGAATGTGGGCTGTAACTTACGAGACATCGGGGTTCTTCAAAGCCAACCGGCCCAAGTACAACATGCTCATAGCCGCTCCTCCACCGATGAAGATGAAGAGAGGTATGAGCTGTGTAAACAAGTAAGATTCATGTCATTCTAAAGCACACGGTCAGAGAAAGCAAGCAGACATGGGACAACCCTTATATGGTGCTGAGGAACAAACTGGATATATAATGACTTCTATATTCCCTCCTGGCCTAGTGGTGATTAATAATACAGCCAAAAGAGATGAGAATGAGAATGAGGAGGCATTCCCTGAACTCAAAATGTAATCTTTGAGCAGAGACAAGACAGGGAAAAGGGGCAGGCATGTGATATTCTTTCTATTGCCATTGTGAGTTAAAAATAAGTCACACATGGCTTTGGCTCTCAGTGCAAACAAGTGGTGAGAGTAAGGTAAGGGGAGGTGATGCAGAGAAGAGGCTACAGACAGAACTATAGGAGAGCAGAGTGAGTGATGCACAGTCCTCATGGTAGATGGTTCTTATGGTATATAGTCTTTTTTTAGCCCTGTGTGCTGGTATGACCGGGAGCTGCCCTGGGCTGTCATGACGTGTAAGGACAGAGCGCCGTTTTGGATATTTATTTTACAGTCAGGTCAATGCATTAGATATTGACTATATGAAAACAAGTCAACGGGCAACATGGAGGGCGAGGCAGGTGACCCAGGCGTCCTTGGCTCAAAGGTCGCAAACTGTTATTCTTGTACAATCACGGCTGAAAGAAGACTCCGCTCACTACGTGTCACAGACGTCCCGTTAAATGGCCGCGTGTAGGAGGTCGGTGCGCGTCTGAGGCATAGAGGAACATGTCTATACAAGTATATATGGCGCACAGAACCAAGGCCTGTCTACAGATGTTATGGGCCTGTACATATAAATACAGCCTAATATCGGTCTGATATGGGTGAAATAAATCATATTTACACTGATAAAGACCAAGCCTCAGTCTCCTCAGTGGGGTTTAGTCAGAATAATATAGAATGATACAGAATGACTTCACAGGGAGCGTGCGGCGGTCTGCGCACGCTCCCTGTGGAAGAAGACGTTTCAATGTCACGGCTCCAGTTTGTGAATAACGTAAAAACTAAACAGAATAAAGCACAGATACTCACCGCAGGATGGCTCTTCAGCTGTTTACGCACCAGCGCCAGCATCGACATGGCTCAGTGTTCTCCAACGTCAATTATTACAGAGAAAATAGAGCGTGTGTGTGTCGGTATCTCCAGCGCTTCCTACAGTAATGCGTGTGCGTGGGACCACCTCCAGTCCAGGCGCGGCCAATCCTGCAGCCGCACAGCTGCCCGCACTGAGCCAGACGCACCGCTGCACGCCTTCCAACCAGGCGCACTTACGCTTTTCTATAATGGGCTAATTTAGTTTTCACTGTGGTGAGGTTCAGACATATTAAAGCTTTACATGTTTAGGTCTGACGCAACACCCTATGATCCTCTTTACTAAGAATGTAACTATATAATATTAGCCAATACTTATTTTGTAAATAAAGTTATGATGCAGTATTCTAGTCAACAAATACACGTCTTGTAATTGACTCACAATGTGAATGTAATGAGATTATACATGCGTTTTAACAGATGCTCAAATAATTGTATAGAACAAAAACACGTGTCTGAGAGAATCTTGCTCCTCCTTTGGTTTGTTCACATAGAAATGTAATTTAAATACTACGTTATTTCTCCAGTTTATGGACTCATTGGCTGCCGAGGGGAAGATGTTTTTTTGTTTTGGAGATGTATTGAACGCGCCATGGTGTGGATTTAACATTTGATAAGTTTATGTCAAAGGTTATGAATAAATCAAGCAACAGTTTGAAAGTCTTTGTCATTTGACACATTTAATCTTCAGCAACACATTTGACCATTATGATATGAATGTGGGCTAAACAGAACCTGAGATCAAATTCCCTATAACATCTGGAATAACTCAACAAAAGGTGAAAAAAATAAGTTCATTAGGATTTCATCATGAAGAGAAACCCATTCATCCTGCCCCTCTTCCCCCTCTCCTCTTGCTCTCACTCTCACACACAGGACTGTAAACCCAGGACTAACATAAGGAAGTATTACAATCTCTATAGAATATAAACTCCTGGAAGTGCATAAAAACCCACCCAATACAAAATGCTCATCTGCCTAAAGTATACTGGCACAAATCTAGCAAAGTAACAATTATAGCTTATGTTGCAGCTTTAAAGTTGTAAATACAAAGTATACACTACCCATATATTTACAAAGTACAGATGTGACTGTAAAGAGACTCAAAACGGTGCAGTTCAAATTGTGCAAACATATCTAACAGAAGTAAAACTATTGAACATCCACCTGTCAGCGTGGAAAGCCGAGAACATAGAACGATACAGTCCACTGCAGCTGTAGCTAGTCTCCTCTCAGACCACTGCAGCTGTAGCTAGTCTCCTCTCAGACCACTGCAGCTGTAGCTAGTCTCCTCTCAGACCACTGCAGCTGTAGCTAGTCTCCTCTCAGACCACTGCAGCTGTAGCTAGTCTCCTCTCAGACCACTGCAGCTGTAGGTGGTCTCCTCTCAGACCACTGCAGCTGTAGGTGGTCTCCTCTCAGACCACTGCAGCTGTAGCTAGTCTCCTCTCAGACCACTGCAGCTGTAGCTAGTCTCCTCTCAGACCACTGCAGGTGGTCTCCTCTCAGACCACTGCAGCTGTAGGTAGTCTCCTCTCAGACCACTGCAGCTGTAGGTGGTCTCCTCTCAGACCACTGCAGCTGTAGGTAGTCTCCTCTCAGACCACTGCAGCTGTAGGTGGTCTCCTCTCAGACCACTGCAGCTGTAGGTGGTCTCCTCTCAGACCACTGCAGCTGTAGGTGGTCTTCTCTCAGACATCTGCATCTACAGCACCACGCTGTAGCTCAAGAGATCCATCAACGATAGAAACACATTTACAATCAGAGGCAGACGGCATCAGTTACACCAAAACATCATTCACCCTTCGTCTTTTTGCCATTTAACATTGTAATAATTATTTATAATAATCAGGCAACTTAGAAGTACCCAACAGATTTGTCAAGCTTTGAGCACCACGAATGGTGCTGCGTCAAGTAGATTCAGGCAGAACACGAGAGAGTTGGGTTAGTCTTAAACTCATGTTTGGGAACATTGTCAACAAGTCTTTGGATTTTTGTTTTGCTTTGTTTTGTTATATAGTAACAACAACAATTATTCAAATTGTCAGAATGTCGGGACCAAAAAGGTTCTTTGGGAAAAAAATAAGCTCAAATCATTAACTTCTGCCCCTTGTGCTCGTTATGGCCCTACATAGTAAAAGAATGCCCTTGTATCATGGTAAAGTCTCATTAACCCATTACCCAGCGCTACATGATGTCATCAGAAGGCCAGGCGCGGCCCAAAGGCCTCTGTGGTGGATCCAGCAGACCCGTTGCCACTGGAGGCAGATTGCTCTGATAAATGACTCGCTGGAGACACAGAGAGAGTGCGGAACAACAGGTCCATGGAGGGTAGCAGGGGCTTCAGCAGGCTGACGGGGCAGAACGCAGATCCACCGTGAGGAGTGAAGTTTACCTTGTTGGGGTCTGGGCAAGAGGTAATGGCAGCAGCTTCAGGCTGATCCACGGTGCTGAAGGGAAATTTAATTATATATTAGAATACATTAGCAAGATCACAGAACAGTGACACTTAATTTAATTTGTGAGTGTTCTGTTTTAAACTACATTCAAAATATATAGCTAATGTGATCAGCAGCATTTGTGAAAGTCTCACTGTCATAACATTTAGTTCTATAAAAAATAAACCAGTTCGGAAATGGGACGAGGAACAAGTCATGACATTTTTGGAGGTGATCTGGATCGGTCTGAATAAAAGAACCTTTTTTAAAAAGCTGAAGTTCTACTGTTTTTCCCACAAAGCCGAGGCATCGCCCTCGTCAGAGCTCACAGAGAACACACTGTTGTATGTTGTGGATATTCTCCAGCTCTTTGCATCGGTCTAACTTCAGTATTTGGAGACTTATTGTCTCCACAGCAGACGAGGGGAGAGTCTTAAGGACAAACAAACCCTCTCTGCCCGAGCTGCTGGAAGAGTAAGATTTGTTCATTGGATGTAGTTTGGTGGAATGACACGAGTTTCAAAAGTAAACTACAGTTTTATACAGTTTGTAAATGTTGGCAGTGTTCCACCACATTACATGAGTTTATAATAAGAACCAAAACAGCAGCCACTACCTGGTCTCCTCCCAAACTCGGACTTTCTCACAGCCTTCAGGAGGTTCTCTCTGAAAGCAGCAACTCTTGTTGGGCCCAGGAGAGGAGGAGATCAGCAGGGGCAGCTCCGGCTCGGTCTGGGACCTTGATAATGTACCCTCCATTAGTCCTGGGAAAAGAAGGCGTACTCCAGTCACATTTAAAACAACAAGGAGATACTTCAGTCTGTAGTTTTATACAACAGCTAAAAACACTTGTTTATTAAAACTAGAGAAATAACCTTGTGGCAGGTCATCCGCAGTGTCTGGGGAGCTGGATATGTCAGTGGGAGAGCAGAGGGGTGAGGAGGAGGTGGAGGAGAGGGGAGTGGAGGCCTGGTCGCTCTGGGATCCACTGCTACACGTGTGAGACGGGACAGGGGCACGATGTCCATCTGGGACTTCCAAAAACTGTCAGAAGTAAATATCATCAGTATCAGAGAAAAGCAGCAACATGCCTCAGGATGTTCAGTGTGGTTTTGAGATACCCTCTGCAGCAGCGGCGACGGCGGGCAGACAAACATGCCCTCCAGCTCCTGGTTGAGACCCTCCACGCTGCAGCCGAGTCTGGACACCAGAGAGGACAGAGGCGCCTGGGGGATCGGGATGGGCTTGGTCTGAAAACAGTGTATACAAGAACCACATGCATTAAACCCTCACGTCACACACACTTTAAAGCTGCACTAACTTACTTTGTGACATTTTCGAATGTGAGCGCTGGCCTCGCTCTTCTGCTCCCCCTACCCACACTCACAGAGCCATCACCCCCCCTACCCCCCTCCCCCTCAGCCTGTGCTCATACTAATTGTTTACGGAGCTCAGGTCTCACAAAATGGATTGCACATTTGAACGTGGCGTGACCATAGAATGATAGAATCGGGAAGTGCGGCGGAACGAGACTCTTTTGGATGTTTTGCTGAGTAAGCAGTAACCGGTAACGAAGTTTCAGGTTAGCCTCTGCCGCTTGTTTACCTCAGCTGTCTGTGCTAACCAGAGACCTGTAGCTTTTCTCAGTGGGGGCCAGTGGTCCGCTGTGATTGGTCACAATCTGGTCCCGAAAAAAATTCTCTTCCTTGTTGCATGAGAAGTTGAGCTAAACTAAAATGTCACGCCAGCACAAATCTGCGCTACTTTTTCTTCAAAAGGACGTATATCCCAATGCACTACATGGACATTGATTGAATTTTTGTAATTAATACAAAAATAAAGTGAGGTAATGCATTTTTTATCCATGCCCCCATCAGGACTGTTTCTATTTTTATTATTATTTTTCTTATTAAAAACCAAACATTGACACCAAGTGAATGAGCAGAGGTTAAAACTCTTTCTGCTGTTACTGCCACATATACTTTAGATTTTTATTCAAGTGTTGATTCTTGTGATGGACCAAACTTGAGATTAGGCTTTTTACTTTTAGCCCTGGTACAAACACATGCATCCTTTGGGGCTCTATATTCAGTAATACTTCCTTAAGTACGATGCTGGAGATGATTTCATTGAATACATTTAAATTGTTAAAGTCAAGTATAATGTGAAACCTCAGACGGAGCGTTCTGCTTTTGGACAGACGGGTGTTTCCTGTTGCCTCAGTGTTGCATGACGTTAATTTCCGTTTTACTACAGACTTGTTCAAACTCAATAAATCACGCTTTTTCAGATTCAAACCATGTTTCAACAATCTTCCCTGATCCAGAGCAGACTTGGATTAGCGCCGTTCTCCCCCATACCAGAGCAGACCCCTGCCCCATGTGCTCCTCTTTCAAAAAACAAATATTTTCATTCAAGAATTATTTTAGATTTCAACACAAGTTCATATTATTTTCCACAGGGACATTTAAAGGAGCAATATGTAATATTTGCATGTCAAGTCATCATTAAATGACCCGAATATTTCAAAAGGCGTTATTAAATTATACTCTTTTCGAATTCATCTTTAACTGATAACAGTAGTTCAGCCGAGATATTTGATTATCAAAATTAGTTTTACGACCCGTAAAAGTTGTTATTGTTTTGATTTTGATGTCCTACCCTCCGCCGTTTCGCCAATCAGGAAGTGTCATGCAAGTCCGTGATCGGGTTGCCAGAACTCCGTGCGGCTCACTAATCTCAGTGGTAAAATAACATGTGGCGCAGAACTAAAAAAGGTCTTGTTATGACTCTCAAATCATTAATGACAAAACAAAGACTAAAACGAGGATTTATATCGGGATGCCTTTGAACAATTGAGACAGCTGATAAAAGTTCGTGTGATGCAGAATTTTCTAGTTTGAGTCCGTTCTTCAGTGTCTCTGTTCGTGTGAATCGGTGGCATAGTGGTCTAGACTGTGCGCTTACGATGCAGGAACCCGGGTTCGATCCCGGGCTATGTCTTTTTGTATTTATTGCATGTTATCACATTCTATGACAGATTGCTCTAAAAACGGTAAAAGATGAAGGTCAAGACGTTTTTTTGCAGATTATAGCTTAATTGTAAAGATAATAATTTAAGACCACATGTACCCCAATTAAAATAATGTTAGTCTCTTTTTGATGTGGGACTTTTACATGTTTGTCTAAAAAATAGGGAATAAATAAAATTGAAAGGTGATATCCTCTTGAGCAAACCCTGATGTTGATACGCTGAAGAAATACGTTCCAACATCCATTCTTCCCACTCCTATTTTGGACATCAATTGCTTATTTATTTTGCATAAACTATGTATAATTACATTGCTTTTATTTTGTTTTTGTATCTCAAATGTCCAAATAATAATAATAAAAAAACATTAATCAAAACATTCATTCAGCATTAGCACGGCTCATGGCAATGTGAATGGAGACGGACAAACAACTGATAAAATAATTCCCTGTGTTTGCTGCTGGATTTGGTGTGAATCTGGCAACCTGAGTCAGGGAGAGTGGGAGAGGACTACAAAATATTGACTGTGACTGCAGTACCACTTTTGGCCAGATTTTTACATATTGCTCCTTTAAAAACTAAAAAATTTCAGTTATGAGATTTTAGGACCAACACTTTTTCACACTAAAGGGTACAAAAGTGTGACAAAGGCCAAACATTTCATTTTAATAATCAGAAGTGATAGTAATGTTTTTCATTAATCCAGATTCTTCTGTCCATTATGAGTTGTAGAAGAACCGTTTTATACATTAGTCAAGTTTCCTTTAATGGCTGTTTCTCCGAGTCACGGACCTGATCCTTGGATGGAAAGAGCTGCGAAAGTAGTTACATTTTCTCACATCCACATTTGATGAATAGAAGTTTTTCTTTTACACAGAGAAGAAACAAAGCAATTACTTTCATTAAGTAAACCACTTAAAAGTGAAAACAGACTTTTCTTCTCAAGTAATTTTTTTAGAAAAAAATTGACAGAAACCATCACGTATGTCACATATTTTTCAAGGGTCATTTAAATTTGTATTGATTATTTTTCTAAAATGATTCCTTTATAAATTAAGTGAGAGTCAGTCTTCTGGTTTGTCACCGAGGACCTTTTATTGTCACTGAGTCACAGAATTATCCAATAAGAGGCTGATTTGAAAGCCAAAAATGTATGTTAATCTTTTCTATGGATTATATCCAAACTATTCCTTTGATATGTCTGTTTGAAATCTGTTTTCTAATCTATGATAGTAAAATTTAGTTTTTAGCTATGACCGTTTAAAGTCCAGTTACTTTAACTGAACACACCCATTTTAGACTGATATGGGTCATTTATCTTTTTATTCAATTATTAGCAACTGTGTTTAGTGTTTGATGTTTAGAATGTTTAGTGTTCCTGAGAAAATATGCATTAAAAATGATATATACCAGTCCTCGACCGCTGACAGTCAATGCTGTATGTAAATACTATAGTTAAACAGGAAGTATGTTTGACAGCTCTGGTTTTGACCAAAACGTTGAGGAAAGAGCGGTTTTACAGCTCTCAAAACATAATTATAGTCTCCAAATGAGTCATGTTCATGTTTATGACAACAGAAGCAGAAACTGAGTGTTGTACTGATCCTGTACATGTTTATCCATAATGCCCTGCTCTGGTTGTGAGGCAGTGGTTGTACCTGTGCAGCGCCACGGTAACCGTTCCCGAGAGGATCTCCGTGCAGGTCTTTGTCATGACCTCCCGAGACGCTGGCTTTGCTGCGCTGCTGTAGCTGCTGTTTTAGTTTGGCAATCTACAAAATAAATCATAGTAAATCAGCTGAGCGTAAAACATGTTAAAAATATCCATGTCATAACCTCATTATTACACAGTTTTCACTGCTACATGCCTTTAATGACACACCTATGGATCATTTTTATAAAATAAGGCAATCTGATAATTCACCATTGTTACTATGGTTTACTATGGTCATAATCTCTGCTGCTAAAGTACAATATAATAATCTAAGTACCTCCTTATCCTCAAACCAAGTGCAATTATAGCTCCAGAGTTTTATCTTATTTTATTACATTCTCCATCATCTTAAATAATAAATCTTGTTTGCTGTGTGCATAGCTCTTATTTTCTCCTTTTACTCTGCTTAATGTGCAACTATAACATAGCCATTTCCACAGAGGGACAAATTATCCTATCTTATCTTAAAAGAAAACTGAATACTATGCTCATTTTCACCAGAGATCTACTGAGAACAGACAAAGTAAGATCTTCAATGACTTTAAAAAGGTTGTGTCGAATTTGCTGCGTCATCCCAACACAAATACTGTCACTTTTAGACGCCCAGGATTTCAGTTCCCACAACATGACCTCACTTAACGGACCTCTTTGAGCTGCTCGGCGCTGCCCCACGATGCCGAGCGCTTGTGGCTGCCGCTGTGTGCGCTGTGGCAGTCCTCAGACCAGGAGTGCGGCGTCTGAAAGAAAAAAAACAACATCCAATGATGCCAAATGTTAACTTCAAAACCCAGAACAAAGCTGCAGTTTATGGCACAAAACCAAGACATTGTGATAACACTTGGAACTGCTTCTGTATGCAAGAATCCACAAAGAATTTGGAAGTAGATCATTTTCATACAAGGCTCCATCTGATTGGAATAAGTCACCCAGATCCAGAAGACCCTCAACCTCCTAGGGGCTTATCTAAAAATTATCGGAATTATCTAAATACCTTACAACTACCTGCTCATGTTACTCGCTGCGTTTTTTGAAATGTTATGTAAATTCCTGTATGTACTTTTAAGTATTTTTTATTGTATACCGAAATAATGTTCGTTTTCTGAATTAAATGCATTATTGTAGGAGATTGAGTGGGATCTGAGGGAGCAAACCGGTTCTGTGTGTGTTAAATGTTAATTGTATTGTACTATATGTATTGAGTTTGGGTTATTTTGTTCCCGAGACCCTCTTGAAAATGAGATGCTGCCTCTCAAGATCGTAAAATAAAAAAATAAAAAAATCAAGTATACACGTCATGCAAGGACTGTCCATGCTTTTAGATCACGCCAGACACCACAGACTCACTGCCGGGCGCCGTCGAAGAGCAACAGCGCCGTAGAAACTGAAAAACACAAAAAGGTTTGGAGGATGTGGGCGAGTTCAGAGGCGAGGATGGGTGCAGCCACAACGGTCTCGTCAGCTGACACCAGGCCTGTTCTCACCGCTGTGGTTCTGTCGCTGCAGCGTGGACCCTCCCTTCCCCTATCTCCTCTGAACTCTGCAGAATGTGCAAAGTTATCTTCCGTTTTTTTTTTTTTATTACAGTTTCTCCTTCATAATCACAGCTGCACAAGCGCCTAGTTTGACGCAATCCACTTGAGAAACATTTCTGAAACTTGTATACCAACTTACGTCCATGCTTTCCTGTCAAAACGCTTTCCTTTTGTTTAATAAATAAGAGCTTATATGTTTTAACGAAAAGGATTGTTATTATAAAGCACTTCTGAACTCTGGATGCATTGGAGAAACTAAATATTGTATGTTTTTGTTCCTGTGTTAAATCGACTATGTGTCTGAATGAAAGATTAAATAGTTATTACCAATTGTGTTTTGTGTTCTATGTTTGGAATTGAAGGTAGTTTGCCCATGAAAATATGTAAGCCACGCCAGTCATCGGCCACTTACAGTCAATAATATAAGTTAATAATTATAGTTAAGCAACATATTAGACAGCTCAGGCTTAGACCACAAAGTTGAGGAAAGAGCCGCTTTACAACTTTTAACATAATCATTAGTCACGTACATGGTTGCGATTACAAAAGCAGAAACGGGGTGTTTCACTGATCCTGGCGGTTTCCTTTTCCCTTCGTTTATCCATAAAAATCAACTTGGGACACTTTTTAAAAACTGCCTTACATCAGTGCTGCGACACTATTGAGGTGTCATCAAAAAGGTCGTCTTGTAAATACTCAAGTTGGAGTTTTAAAATCATACACATTGATTTTGTGGCTTCAGGTCACTTCTGTGGAAGTCTCTTGTTTCTCACCTGAGTGGATTTATCTTTAGGACAGAAGCCGCTGTGTCCTTCCACCTCTTTGGGCCAATGTCCCTGCAGGTAAGGCCCAACAATGGCATCCAGAGACACTGTCCGCCTCATGCCACTTTGATGATTATCTTTGGCCTTTCCAGCTGGACAGAGAACACAACATGAAACCAGGCTCTTTAAAAACATTTACAATAATAAATGACTAGATTGCCTCATCTAATTAAACCATACAAGTCTAATAGGAATACAACATACATCTGAAATATCTCTTTCATCTTTATTTTAATACAGCCGGATTGTATAGATTAAGTTTAAGATTAATTCTTCCCGTTTTTGGATTGTGGAAGACCCGGGAATAAGTCTGGAATGAGTCTGGTGTGTGTGAATAGTTGGTCGTGGTCAGAGGGGCCGATGCCACATACTGGTCAGCCTCGCTTCTGGTCAGCCTGCCCGAGGGCAGCTGTGGCTAAAGTACTATTTTAAACACTTGTTTTTACAGATTTTGGATCTCTCCATGGCATAAATTGTATGGCCAAAACAGTGTCATTTTTATTTATTATCATAAAAGAATTTGTTTAATTGATTGCAAACAAACAAATGTATAGTGCTTCAGTCCTACTTTGGACAGTGTAGATGTATTATGTTTTATAAGATGGCTTTCGCTGATTCTGTTTTATTTTACACTTGCTTCTTTATTATGCCAAAGTTAGAGATAGCATAGAGTTATTCATCTTGTGTTGTGTGCTCCTCATTCCTTGTGTAACTGATGATGCAACACTGACATTTCCCCTCTGAGGGACAAATAAAGAATCTCTTCATCTTAATCAGGTGTTTATTTCACTTCAGAACCTTCATCTTTAGTTCATCACAGACTCACCCTCTCTCCGGGTTGCTCTTGGCTTGCAGGCCATTTGGAACGGGACCGTGGCCTTGAGAGGCTGCAGACCAGAGGGGACCCCCCGGCTGTGCCCCGGTGGCCCTCGGCTGGTCATCCTCACAGAAGCGAAGTCCCCCGTGTGTCCGTGTGTGTGGTGAGGCGCTAGGGGGCGCTGTGCCGCAGACTGCCCTCTCTCCAGCTGCACTGATGGTCACTAAACCCGTTACAAACTTGTGCTTTCAGTCATCTAGGCAATATTCACACCGGGATTGTCCTTAAAACTACACACGTCTTCATAATGAGGAGTTACCAGTGCTTCCATGAGCTTGAGAGACATTCATCAAACTTTTCCTCGCTTTGGTGCAAGTTAGCTACTTAGCAGGCAAGTTTCTTTGTGAGGATGCTGCGATACTTCACGCTGCTGTGGTGAAAAGAAGCCGCTCCAGACTAAAAAAACAAGCACAAGTTGATCTTCCTTGTCTTCTGTGGAACTCTGAAGGTCCCACGCAATGTCTCGGAAGTGTTTATCTGGGCCTGCGGCACAGTTAGCACTTATCACAGCTGTCTCCTCCGAGCTGAGCCTCTGAAAACACTTGCTGCTCCACGGCACGCTGCTGTGGGTTTAATTATCAAGGGGCGGTGCCAAACTGACAAACTCACTTCTCATTGGTCAGTGCAGGATCGTAGCGACAGGTGATTGGACAAAGAGCTATCAATCTTCAGAACGCGAGAAAAAGCGACTGTCCCCTCCTACTACAGCCATAAACTTTAACACTACTAACTCTCAGACAGAAGTCCATATTAACACCAGAACTCCCAGACAGTCAATTGGACGGGTTTTAGTTTTGGAAGTGTAATTACTCAGCGTTTGTAAATGTTTAGTCTTCATAACTTTGTGACTTTTCTGCACCTATTTGTAGGTTATTTCTATGTCATTATTTTTATTTAAAAACATTTTTTTGAAAGTTTTAATTATACCAATACCCCAATAGAAGAGCCGGTACTAATTACCATAGCAACACACTGTTCATTGTACGCAGTTAGCATTTAGCCTTTGTGGTAATTCAGTTCTATTTTGTTTTAGCGCTTATTATAACTTGTGAATTATATATATATATGGTGAAAAACAAAACATTATTAGAGGAATTTCTCAGAATTCTACTGGTTTGAATGGGAGCTGTCAAAATGACGGCTCTGGTAAAGTTATAGTAGTTTCAGAATTCTGTGAGTCCTAATGTCCAACCACAATCATTTTCGAATAAACAACAAAGAAACAACAATCAATCTCCAGATAACATCAAACCCCACATATAAAAGCCATTTACACCATTCCCATTTGTGATTTGACTATAAGAAAAGGCCCTTTTGCAAGATCACTGCTAAGAATTGGTTTTACTCATGTTAATGTGACACAATAAATCTCATCATTTACACAAAAGCCATGAGAACCACTTCAAAACATACTTAAAAAATACCAAATTGAACAAAATCTGAATCAATAAGCCTGGATTGTATGTATATACGCGTGCGCATATAGTTGTTTAGTGTAGTTTTTTTTGTTAAAGAACTTTGTATGTCATCATTGTGTTATGTTATTGTATTGTGTTTGCAGTGTAAGTGGCTTGGTCAGAAGTGAGAGGTGTGACAGCAGTGTTTGGGTGTTTGTCTACAAGTTTGGCAGTGTGCTTTGTGGGAGATAAATGTACAGACTTATTCTCAAAGGGAGTGCCAACACTTGGGCTGATGAACAGTTTACAGATAACATAACCTTACCCTTGCCCACAATTTTACAAAATGCTCTGTAGAATTTAACCATTTCTGTAGATCAGTGAATAACCAGTGAATAGGGGTGATTCAAAAGTCAAAACACATGTAATGTCAGACCACAGTAATTAATGAACTGTTTTCAATTGTAAATGAAAACTTTTCATCCATTTGAGCCAAAGGATCAGAAGCTGCTGTTTGCTCGGTCTAACAAATGGTCCTAATCTGTGACCTGGAGCCGAAAGAGACAAAAGAGAGACATGACAATGCCTGACCAGGGCATCTCAGATCACAGACTCAGAAGTCTGGATGAAACTAGTCTACTATGGTCAAATCATAGGTACATTGTAGGTACATTATAGGTACATTATAAGCACATTTCTATAGTACAAACCAAACAGTCACTAAAACAGTTACTATTCAATAAGGCAGTTTTATTGCAGTTCAATTCCTGTTTGACTTTTTTTTAAAGAAAGGCTGACTCTGGGCATTTTCCCACTTTCAATCTAAACATAGGTCAAATGAAAAAAATCATTTTGCATAGAAACTAAGTACTTTGTATTTTTGATGCAATTATACTTGTTTTTTTTCTAAAACCTGCATCTTAGTTTACAATGTGTGAAAGCAATATGTTGATTATTCAAACATTACATGAATAATACACACACACACACACACACACACACACACACACACACAGAATGACTGGGTGATAGTTTCTTTCAGACTGTGATGCAGTTCCCTCTCAGAGCTTCCAGACCTCCTCAGGACCTTTTGCAGACTTCTCTGTTTTAATCAAGCTGTCTTCGTGGATGAGCCAATCACAACCATGTGACCTCACACACGTACACAACAAACACACACGTACACACATGCATAGAACAGAAAGAGCTTTCTTGGCTGTAAGGTGCGGATCATGTGAGTATGGACCATGGAGGAATATGAATAATAATAAATATACGTATTCTTGGAAGATGAATCATCCTTTCATTCATTCATTCACTTTTTATTGGAGCATGTTTGAAAACAGAGAGCAGGTTTTCTACTGAATGCAAAAAAACATAGATGGATTTGTACTTTAAAAAAGGCTGATCCAGATGTTCACATCTGGAGATGGACACACACATTCGTCCATAACACTCGCAGAGACAGATTATTTCTAAAGGCAGGTTGGATTTGAATATTTAAAGAAAGGAGACTTGTATAGGGGCCACATATCTGCTTACCAAAGGCAGTAATTTCTTTTCAAATCTTCCTGTTGAACAGTCACAAAGGAGGTACAGTCTCTTTGGCGCCATCTAGCTGGGGGAAGGGGCAGGACTGTTGTCCGTGCTGATATGGACCAGGCACTCACTGGACTTCAGGCTGGCCATAGACTTGCAGCTGGGAAGGGAAGCCAGAGAGCCACACAGGCCCATCATCGAGGGAGTGTAGTCCTTTTCTAGGAGTAAAATAATAAATCAACTCAGTTTATACCAATTTAAACTGACAATTCATGTACACTCTTATACCAACGGTGCACCAGGGTCTGTTCTGCTTCCCATCCATCATCTGGGAGTCTGAGTCCAGGCTGATCTCCACCGACAACAGCTCTGTGCTTGGAAAACTTCGCCTAAAATATGAAAAATGTTAATTATAACATATTTCTAACTCAAATATACTTTATCTGCACAAGTGTTGATTTGACAAAGAAATAGCTAAATATATATTTTAATTATTTGAAAGAAAAAAACCATCAAACCTGCGAAACATGTGCACATCTTCTTGGCTGTTGTATGACTTCAGTGATGGCCACTGGTTAATCAGGGGAATAGAAATATTCTTTGCCAGATGGCTCGGGTCACATGGTATCAAGCTGGTCCTGCAAACAACACATTTCAAACCAGTGTTTGTTTACAATGCAGCAGGATGCAGTAAGAATGAAGATAATATGTAAAATACAATATTCTCAACTTCACTTATAATTATAATAATGCCCCCTCACATCTGCTCCTGCAGCTCCAGAATGACAGCTTCCAGTTCGTGTTTCTCTTTCAGCGTCTGACTCTGCAGCTCGTCCAGTCTGCTCTGGAGCCTCTTACTTTCTGTCTCTGTGGTTTTGAGCTGAGACTCACGCAATCGAACCAGCTCCTCCAGATATCCCTGCCACAAACACACAACCTCAATAACGTTTATAACCGTATTTCAAATAAAAACACTAGATAGTCACCTTTTGTGCATTGACGATCTTGAATCTTTGCTCCATCTTCCGACATTTGCTGCTCCAGCTCTCGTCATCCGGGACCAGCGGGATATAGGGGTGTTCCGGAATACTGTCGTCACTGGTGCTGCTGTCGATGCTCCGCCGGTCGTCTTCATCGCTCAGATTCTCATAACTGGTTTAATAGAACAATCCTTTCAATCGAATCATGATCCTGCCACGTCAATACTGCGTCTGTACCTTTGCATGAACTTTAAGTAAGGAGTGTAGTCAATAACAGCAGCCGATTTACCGTCCAGCGCCTGTCCTTTGAGACAAAAACTGCAGAACCAATTGTTATTTATTTATTTAATCGACGCGCAACAGACAAACAGACAAACAGCACACACACATACAATAACATAATACACCTACAAACATTAAAACCAATTATTACTGACCTAAAATCAATGGCTCCAAGTCCTATAAGCATTCCCGTTAAGACACTGGACTCCTCTCTCAACATGATGGCTCCTTCTGCATAAAACTTCCTGAAGAAAAAACAAAGGCTCTCTCATTTCTAGTCTTTGTTTTATAATCTAAGTTAAATAATGTTTCCAACCTTGTGGATCTGCTGTCCCTTAAAGCTGTGGCTATGTACTCAGACAGCCTCTTCTCCATCAGAGCCACTCGGATCCAGGCACGGCCCTATCGTTAGAGGTCATTTTACTCTTTATACTTGAATACTTTGTGCAGAATAGATTATTATGAGAATGTGTCTCACTTTTGCTCTTGAGGTGTTGATGTTTTCCATGTTCACGATGCTGCTAATGCAACTGTTGGGGACTTTAGAACAAGCTAATCGAATGAAGTCCCAAAAACTTTGCTGGCCTTCGAACCAACTCCCGGAGCCTGGATAATAACACATATTAGCCCCATTTCCACTAGCCCTACTTGGCCCTACTTTACTCTATTCGGCTTTTCTCTACCCTGATTGGGAGTATTTCCACCTACACTGTTTTATCCAGGCCGAGCTGGTACTAAAGGGTTCTAACCGACAGTGATTGGCCAGAGTGTTGCTGGAAACCATGGATACCATAGCATTTGCCCGGATACAGGTTTGTTAGGATATGGGATCAGATACTGAAGTGTAATGGAAATGCAACCAGGTAGAGTAGAGCCAAGTAGAGCCGAGAAGAGCAAAGTAGAGTAGAGAAGAGTAGAGTAGAGTAGGGGCCAAGTGGGGCTGGTGGTAACGGGGCTATACCTTTGAATTTGTGACTGAGGATATGTTCAAGTATGGCTGCGAAATTCATGAACTCTTCTGATGAGTCGTCGATAGGCTCCGCAGTGTACTTCTCCAACAGGGTCTTGACAGAAAATCTGTAAAGATAAGAAACTAAATCTGAGCACAATCGATAGAAACTTGTGTGTTTTACACATTTTAGTTTGATTTGATTTACAACAGCAGTGTGTGACTCACACATGGATCATGAGGATTTGGACAACAGAGTCACTGATTGACAGTCTGCAGTGTTCATCTGTGAAGAGACCGCTCCATGTCTTTATCTACAGATGATTTCATCCATTTACTGAGAGGACTCACGAACGATTTCAGGAATCAATCTTAGTGAAGAACATGACTCATATACGCCTAGTCATAGATAATTAATCATAATATTTATAAAGATGCTGTTTTGGTTTCATATGAAAAACACAGTCTAAAATATGTCTCTGGAAAAACACACTTAGCTTACCCTGGGTTCTAATAACTATGGTTCTAATACAAATCGCAGTGGCTAAACTAAAATGTTCTGGGTTCAATTCCACAGACAGGGTCTTTCTATATGCAGGTGTCCTTCAGGTGTTCCGGTTTCCCCAAATACTAAAAGTGGAATAGAATAGCTCCCCTCTCTCTGAGGCCAGGACTCCCCTGAAATCCTACTGACATTCTGAAGTCTCAGACTTTCCTGGTTATTCAAGGGTCAATAAATAAATAGTTTTACAATACATAGTGTATTAAAGGGTAGACTACTTCCTGCATCATTTTGAATAGAAAAGGGTAATGGGAGGGACTGTCCACCCCCAGGCTCTTAGTGGACTGGTCTGGATGAACTGGTCTACAGTCTCGTGCCCGGTCCCTCGTGCCAGCCCGTCCTTGCTCCATCACAGTTGTCGTCATAGAAACAACGCCATCAGCGGAGGACACAGTGACAGAGATGACACGGCTAAAGCTACAGTCTACAGTCTTCCATCATGAGCTACAGCTGTGGAAGAAACACTGGCTGCTTGTAGTTTAAAGCCCAAACAGCGGTGAGGCACAGGGTTTATAGCTAACAGTGAGTAGCCGCGGTGCCCGGTCCGTCTCTGACCTGCAGACCGTGAGCAGGTTCCTTCTCTCCACACACATGTTTCGAGCAGCCGCCTTCGCAGACGCATCCCCTGCGGCCATGTCTGGCTCCGATCCGGGCTTCATCCAGGACAAGCGGCGGACCACTCCCTATCGGCCGTGCCCTCACTGCTGGACCCTAGGACAGAGATGCTCCAGCCCGCATGAGCCTGACTCCCGCTCCCACAGACAGTCCTGACATAGACCGGTCTAGAGTTGTTCTTGTCTGGCTTTCTTCCTCACTCTCTCTTGTTTACTTTTTGTACCCTCGACGGGCTAAATCACAGCAGCAGAGATGTACCCAAGCCTCTCATCCACAATCATCCACCAGCGCTGTTCCTCCTCCTCCTCTTTTTAGCATCACTGTGTACGTCACAGCCCAGATCAGCTGGGCGCAGGCTATGACGTCACAACAACAACAAGAATCATCATGTAAATCAGCAACACCATAACCCTAATGATAATAACAATAACAATAATACAACGATAATAATACAATACGATACTATACTAATGAAGAGAACAATGAGATAAAATAAATCCATATATATCATCAATTTAATATAGGATGCAGGTTTTTTGTTTTTGCTACCACTACTACGACTAGTAATAATAATAATGATAATACTTTTTACTTATAGCGCATAGCATGATGGGATGTGTATGTATATATAAGAAATACACAGAAAATATATAAATCATTCATCTGATGTTTATTACAATAATAATGGCACAGAATCCCTTAAATAATAAATAGACTACACCATAGAATATGTACAATGCTTTTCAGGAGAATGGGGGCTGTGTTGTCAGTCTGCAGGTTAAACACCTTCAATCCTGGGAGGGCAGTGTGACATTCTGGATGTGGGTGTGAGAACCCTGAGGGCAGAGGGTTTAGAATGCTTTGGGTAATAACATTTCCAACGTCTAACTTCAGTCATTTTTCCACTATAGGCCTGAACATTCCTGCACACATGAGTTTAGACACATTTGTCACAATAAACAACAACATGCAAAACTAACTCGGAGATTTTGAACCAGAGTGGAAGCCATTTATGTAGTGTTTGTGAATCATGCACTGTATAGAACCAACATTCACTACACGGTTATCAGTTCAGTTTAACTTGATATTATTTTTTTTAATTATCTATACAATGAGTACTTTTACAAAGCACAAGAAAACCAGGTAACTCGCATTGTGCAATCGTATTTGACCAGTACTTCAAGCCCATAGTTGCTGGTGAGATCATAGCTTTGGCATGCTTACACTGCAAAAAATGATTACAAATGAGGTAATAAATGCTGGAAGTGGTTTTTATCTTAATTTGAGTCCACTCTGACTCTCATTCAACAAATGTGTATCTTTTTAAACAAGATAATTTTGTTCAGCACATTCTGACTGCGTTAAAACAAGATTTACCGATGGGACAAAGCAAAATTATCTTGTATTAATAACATACAACACATTAAATGGCTGTTTTCTGGTTTTAGGTTAGAATGTACACTCAAATTAAGATTGAAAAAAATATTATTACCTCATATTTTATCATTTTTTGCCGTGAATTCAGCTTCACCCCTATTCTAAATGTAAGGCTATATACATTTTGTAATTTAAAACATGGTCTCAATTTCTTTCACAGATGAGAAACTGTCTTGGTCTACTTCCTGTGTCGGTATGAGCAGGTTTTCCTCTCCGTGCTGGTCATTCCTGGCTGACTCTGAGCGGTGGGCCTCTGACTCACTTGGGACCAATCCAGGAAGGCTGCTGTGTGGATGGACGGAGGTGAGGCAGAGCGGTTGGCCCCTGTCGTAGCTGGCACCTGCAGTGACTGTGGCTCCGGTGAAGGAGGGGGCTCGATGGTGGGAGGCGGAGACGCTGTGTGTGGTGGTGTGGGACATCATGCCGCCGTAGTAGCAGCTGCCTCCGCTGCTGGTGATCCGGGCTTTCTGTTTGAGGTCCAGCGCCAAGCTCCGCCGCAGCCACGCTTTCTTCACCTCCGCCTGCACCTGCGAGAAGGGGGCGCGTCATGACAAATGCTAAAATCTGTAAAAATGTGGTAAAAAAATTTGTCATACCTCTCCGTTGCAAAAACAATAGATGAAGGCCACAAAGAAACCCTGAAGAGAAAAAGTGATTGGTTGCAAAAGCAGTAATGGCACAAAAACCCAAATATTTTTTACTTAAGGTGTGTGTGTGTGTGTGTCTTTTAAGCCAAAATATGTACTTTCCTTACATTTTAAATACACATAGTTATTTGCAGACACAGCCATTAAAACAGGTTTAAAGAGGTTAGCCATGCTTCTAAACAAATTTATCCTAGAATCTAAGTAACTAAAGCCCTGTTTCCACCAGCCCCACGCTAGCACCGTATCCTAGCAACATATCCACCGCAAAACCGTGGAAATTCCTGGGTAACCATGGCTTTCAGCAGCACTCTAGCCAATCCCTGTCAGATGACCAATGTCAGGACCAATGCATTTGTATTCTATATTGTTGGTGATTTCAATGGTTTTGTTAAGTCCTCAGTCAAGTAGGGCTGGTGGAAACAGCGCCTAAAACTAAAAATGTTACCACCTCTGCTCAGCAACATAGTGCATTCAATCCTAACCCTTTTTGCAGTAAAGTAAACCCTTTACCTGTGAAGAGTTGAAGAAAATCTCATAATGCATTTGCACCTGCCACAGGAGCCCCGACACCTCAGTGTAGGGCAGCGCCATGAACACCATGTAGTGTACTCCGAACAGAGGCATCAAGACCAGCGTGGACTTCAGCAGCTTCCTGGAATGTATGTATATATCTTTACATTTACTATACGCACACATAAGCCGCACCTGTATATAAGCCGCACCATCTCAATTTGAAAAGAACATAGATTTTGTCTACATATATATAGGTGGGGTCAAAGAAAAAAGTAGAGGCTATAAGTCCAGAAATGACGGCATATAGTATGAACAATGGCTTTCACAAAATGGACAAAAAAAATATACAATTGATCACCTGGGTTGAAATTTTAGTATATACTGTTTTCGCTGATTGTCATTCTGCCTGAATTAACTGTCAAGCTGAGAACAAGTGACTCTCTGCACAAAGATCCCGTTTATTGTCTGTCATTTTCAACAATGTCTTTTATCAATCTGTATTAATGGCATAACACTGTAAAAAAAATTAATGTGATTCACCGATACTGTTGCCTCGGGTCCAGTTTGCCGGTGTTGGTCTCCCACAGTTTCGAGGCTAAAACTCGGATGATGTTGACAAAAAGAAGGAAATTCACCTGCGAGGGTCAAACATGCTCTGGTTATGTCTTCTGTAGTAAAATTAAAAATGAAAATAATTGTTCTTTATTGCTCTGCTTACAACAATGGCTGCCAGAATGGGAACCTGATAGATCCACTTGAGATTTCCAGCACTTATGTCCCAGCACCTGAGATTGACACACGTTGGATAATAGCAATGGTCCATAGTAATAGTTAATGTGGAGAAAGATATAGTTTGACCCTTTGATATGGATTTTACTTGAAAGTTTCAATCATATGTAGCATTTTAGAATATAAAAAAAAGATTCTTCACTCGTCTCACAGCGAGGAAATGTCAGTGTTGCATCACAGGTCACGGAACAGAAGGAATGAAGACCACACAACTCTATACTATTAATAATGATTGATAATAATAATAATAAAAAGTATTAACCTGTATAGTCTATTTCAAATAATCACATGTATAAGTTAGAAAGTTGAATTACCACTGAATATTGGCTTTAGGAACCAAACAAAAAATCAACAAATACATCTCGGTACAGTCTGACTCTTAGAAATGTTACTTTTATTGACCGTTATTGACCGAGATTTTAGAAAATCTCTCTCAAGGGAATCCTGGCCTGAGAGAGAGGAGCGGGAGTAGTGTCTGAGAGGGAGTAACTAACTGGGGACTATTTCACATGTTTTTAGTGGTATGGGAGAAACCGGAGCACCCAGAGGAAACCGGAGCAAACACAGAGAGAACATGCAAACTCCACACAGAGAAGCCATTTGGACCTTCTTGCTGTGAAGAGCGAAGGTCTGCTCCAGAATATTATTTAGGAAGAAATCGTTAGCTCTGGTACTTTAAATATCCACAGTGATACTACTATACCAACTGTCTCTACTGCTGCACTAACACGCTAATATCACAATAATATGTATTTAATATTTATACAACAGTAATCATTCATTATTTGCACTAATCCTCCTTTGCCACTAGATGTCAGTGTTATTTCTTTTTTTGACGCCGGAGAGAGGTCAGTTTTATGTCATTTACTAAACTTCTTTCTCAACTCTACCTTTTTCGACCCGACTGGATTTTAAACTATAATTTTCCCAGCTGGGTAAATTGAATGTATAACGAATTATATAAATATATTAATAATTTGATTTATAAAAACACACATATATATTTTTTATTTATTTCTCTCTTTTCTTTTATGTCCTTGTATTACTAAATGTCCGTACACTTTCTTTCTTTAAATGAAAAATAAAACAATTAAAAAAACAGTAAAATCATAATAAAACACAATAAAAAATAAATACAAAACGTATAATAATAATAATAAATTATACAAAAAAAGAATACATAAAAAAGAATAAAATAAATTAATAAAATTTAATTGAAAAAAAGCCGCTGTACTCACTGTGTGTCCGCCAATGACGCTCTGGCACTGACCCAGATGGACACAAACACAGCTGGAACTCCTGCACCAGAATCCAGTGTGAAAATAACACATTAGTAGCACAATACTTAAAAAAAATATGTATATATAGAGTAAAATATCGTAATACTAATACCCCATCCAATAATGGTGAGAGCCCAGAGGTAGTTTTTATCAGAGAGAAACGCCATGAAGATCAGACTGTGCAGGTACAGGCCCTCGACCAGGATCCAGTAATGATTCGTGGCCAAAAAGTAGAAGAAGAAGGTGACTGCGACTTTACACCAGGCCTACGAACGGAAACAACAAAAGGATTGAACCATCGACAATTGTGTGTGTTTCATGGTGTGTTTGTTTGTGTACCATGTGTTGCTTCTGTCCTGTGAGCTCCAACTCTGTCTCTCCTTCCTCTGCGATGGAGTAAAGAACGGCGTCCTTCACAAAGATACTGACGGCCCGACAGATGAAGGAGGTGAAGAGGTGGATGTGGATGTAGTTGCGAGTGCAGTGGAGGCGTCTGGGAGAAGTGAGAAAGAATAGATTTAGTTTTTGTGGAGGACAAAAAGTGGCATAATGCATCTGTACATTTTGTTTTATTTAATTATGTCGCACAAAGAAGACTATATTATAAACTTTTAACATGGTTGCACACTTCTTGTCTTTTTGCACACTGTGGGTGATTTTATTTATGCCAAATGTGACGTGTACATTTCTTCGTTGTGAGATCAAGTTTATCGTATCTCATCTAAAATCCAAGTTCTTATTTAAGGTTTTTCCATTTTCTTTCACTTTGTTCATATCTGGGTCGGGGGGTTATTATCATTTTTATTATAAGTGTCGTAGGGAACAAAAGCAGACGTTGGTGGGAGTAGGATTTGTGAACGTGTTTTGACCAAATAATTACTTTTATTCATTATGAGTAATTGTTAACTATGAACATAATGACTCCAGCTGCCGTTATTGAAACAAATATATTGTCTATATTGTAGACTGTGTGATTATGGTACTTAAACGGCATGGCTGTTTTCTTGATAAAATTAGCTTTAAAACGCTGTATAACCTATTTGTACAGACTGCCATTACCCTCTCATGTCCACAAGGGGGCGACAGAATACTTTTTCGCGGACCGCAAATGACCCGCGAGCCGCATGTTTGAAACCCTTTTTCTACACAATCTGAAAAGTATCCCCTACCTGCAAAGTGTACAAAAGTTTCATGGGTTTTTCTTACTTGAAGTAGCAGAGGATGGAGACAGCCACCAGCAGAGAGGCCAGAGAGACAGAGTAACCCACTGTGTACATGAGGTGCAGGCGCTCAAACACCTTCTGGGGAAAAGCAACAGAAAAGATGAAAAAGCAAATGCCAGGAATACTTAGGAAAATGGACTGTGTGTGCGTGTGTGTGTGTGCGTGTGTGTGCGTGTTCCCGGTCACCTCGTCCTGGCTGCGCTGGTTGGAGGTCAGGTATGTGGTGCACTCGCTGTAGTTTGCCCATGTGCGATTGATGCTGAAAACCTGCTCCCAGAATCCTTCACTGTCACATCTGCGGTATGCTCGACCTGACAAACAAGAGATACAAAAGAGAATCTTTATCCGTGCCACAGCGGGGAAATGGGGGAAGGACAGGAGTAAGAGCCTGGTCAGTACTGGGATGGGAGACCTCTGGGAAAAGGTGCTACAGTGGGGCAACTGCGGCTGTAAAGTGACAAACTGTCTGAGCCCTGTGTGTGTGTGTGTGTGTGAATGGTCGGTGGTCGTCAGAGGGGCAGATGGCACATACCGGTTGCCTCACTTCAGTCAGTGTGCCCCAGGGCAGCTGTGGCTACAATAGTAATAAATAAATAATGAAATGTGAAGCGTCTTTGAGTGTCCAAAAGAGCACTATATAAAACCAATAAAACATGTTTTAACTATGGTAAAAGTATACACTGCTCTTTGTTGATTAACCCTTACTTAAAATAATGAATGTAGTTAGTATTATATTGCAGACATATGGTGTATTTGATTGTTATTACCTTTGTGGTTGAAGTCGTAGATGTATTCTGGGCACAGGACTGACACGACTTGTCCTGCTCTGCTCCGAGGCCAACAGATGATCCCATCCCACTCCTCCGGACACTCACCTGTGGATTTATACATTAATCACAATAATTACATTCAGTACAGTGGGTACGCGACAATGGCAGGGATGAAAACCTTTAAAAAACAGTTAAAAGAAAAACTATGGCACTGAGATAAAAGTGGATCCCATTCATTGTAGCGACAAATCAACAAGAGGAAATGAAATGCTTTTATCTGATTCCGAATACATCTGTGGAACAATACCCCGGGATATCACTAATGAAAGGCGGTAAGAATGATAACAGTGAGTCATACCGGAGAGAGGAGGCTTCTGGGCCCGGATGCTGCGCTCACATCTGGCGTGAGCACCAATCAGGACGTAGATCTGCTCGTCTCGGCTGATGACGTCATCGGAGTCAATCTGGAAAAAAAAAAAAAAAGAAGAGAATTTGTTTGAGGTGAGGTCGATTCTTTGTAGACGGACGCCTTTTCTTACAGCTCCCTTGTTGCGGGGATTTCAATCAGTCAAATGGCTAAAGAGAAAAAGTGGCATATGTACGATGTTTGTTTGTCAACCAAGAAAACAAACCAGGAGACAGATTTTCTTGAAGTGTTGAAGGTTGTTCATGGAAATATACTGGAATAGTTTATCATTCAATAATGTCGTCAGCTTCTACACCAGCATCACAATTGTTCATCAGAAAGAGCCAAACCTGTGTTGGGGAAAGGAAATATGAAGCATAAAGGACAATCTTATGTCTTACCACACAATTCTACTAATTTGATTTCGTACATGTAGGGAAATTATAACTGACCGGAATGTACGGATTGCTAAGGCCATCTGGACGATCTGCTGATGCCATAATATTTTGGTGGGCCTTGTATAAAACTATAGACAACAAAAAACGCTGTATACATTTGTTGTCATGGGGTGAAGTGAAGGAGGTCCCAAAAAGCAAGAATGACAAAAGAATAAGAAGAAAAAAAATTCTAACTGTTGACCCTGTTTATGTTCATGTCATCAGTCTGTTACCAATATGTGTCAAAATGAGTGTATTTTAATCGTGGGGAAAATGGCCGTCACCTATTGCACGGTAAAAATGCATGTAAGAATCGGATTGCAATATCTGTGTTTTTGGAGTTTTTTGTTTCCGAGGCTGGAGGGTCTAAGGACAGTGTTGATGATCATTCAGCAACATTTATGAACTTTATCAACATTTGATGTATGTGTTTTTTATTGTTGCATTTCCTGTGTTTTAACTGATAGTCTGATCTGTGTTGGCAAATCGACAGCTTTGTAAAGTCCTCCAAAAAAACCACTGTTGTGATTTCGGGACATACAAAAACAAATTGAATTGGATATTAAGATGGATTCCTTTTATTCTAACCAGCATCGAGAAAGTTCTATATCAGTCCTGCTCTTGTTTAACTTGAAGAATTTTGGCGTTTTTTGATTCACGCAAACTTCGATACAGCAATTTGACAGCTACAAACTAGTCCATACTTGAGCTCTGGCCACCTCCCAATGTTGTGAAATAGTTGGTGCGAGACGCGATATTTGGTGATCCTTCGTTACTGCGCTGTTTCTGCCGGAGACCTGAGCAACCTGCCTTCACAAGCCGCTTTGTGTCCGAGAACATTTCACAACCAAACAGCAAAACTAGCAGCGGTCGACCAGGCCTTTCCGGAGACACCAGCTCTCTCCACTCTGCAAATATATGTTGGGTATTCCAGAAAAACCGTTCAGAAAACCTTTTATCAGAAAAGCTCATATTCAGTCCATTTTCTTTGACTTTAGAACTTTTGGATCAACCGTAAACATGTTATAGATGAAATGTTGTGTATCTATATCAGGCAGGTCAAACTCCGGCTCGTGGGCAATAAACGACCTTCAAGACTGGTTTTAGTGGCCCCTAAAATCTACACAATAAACACATTTTGTTTCAAGAAAAAGTCCACAAAAAAAAAAAATCCTGTCTATTCTTTCGGACCCTGACCTGTTCCTGGTCTTTTCAGTCGGCCCCTGACCAAAATGAGTTTGACACCTTTGATCTATATTATGTGTTATTGACCAAAAAAAACAACAAAAATCAATCAATCAATGCAGAAAAACAGTGTTTTGTGTGAGCCTTGTCTGCGGAAAGACCAACCAGTATTGTACAGAGGGAAAAAAGCAATTAGCGTTTGACATTAGTTTGGGTCATAATTGGATTTGTACAGTGTGTGTGTGTGTGTGTGTGTGTGTGTGTGTGTGTGTGTGTGTGTGTGTGTATGATGTGATTTAAAGGGCAACTAATCAGCCTGTTGTAAGTCTATGGCCGAATGCGCCTCTGGGAACACAAAGAAAGCCAAAGCAGTGGTGTTTTAGTGCTGCAGGTCACGTTACAGTGGGTGTGGGGTTATGTGGGTCAGTCCTCACTAGCAAATTGTACATATTATGCTGATGACTGTATGTTTTGGTCACAGCTGGTTCTCATCAATTTCTTCGTCTTAATGCTGTTTCCGGATTCACCAGTTATTAGCAGGACTTCTGTGATTCTAGAGCTTGTTTGATTAATCTAAATGCAATTCTTAAATCTTTCATACTTATAAAATGAAAAATAACCATTGTTTATTCTCTCTAAACCGAATACATTCTTATTAGTCTAGATTCAGAGTTTATTTGCCATTTGCAGTAAAACCATGTTGGAATACTTGCGCAAAAGTCCCCAGTGTGCACCAGGCAAGCACACCAATGAAAGAAGCTAAAACAAAGTACGGGAAACAATTGTCGCAGTGAAATCGACAGGGACAGGGGCTGATCCAGGACCTTTATAGACATTAGTATTTGTTATCATATCGGCCAAATTACTCTAAACGTTTAATATTCTATCAATTATTTCAGTCTATCAGCTGTTGGCAAATCTATAATTCTTTGACGCACTTCGAGACAACTGCTGATGGGATTTTGGACGCAATTTTTTTACTAATTTGATATCCACAAATCATAATATTCTTCTCCTTTTGTTGCATCATGTGAAGAGAAAGTCGCAGATACGTGAAATGTTCTATATTTGGCCTCAGGAGCCGCAGCGACAGAGTGCCATCTCTGACTCAGATTCCTTACAAAGTGCCATATTTTCTAACACAATGTCAAATAGGAAAAGCGCTCGGGAAACCCACAATGATGGATTTAGACCAAGTGAAAAGATGTACTCACAAGAGCCACCACTGTCACAACACAATGGAGAAAACTGAGAGGAGTTGTTAGTCCGGTCTGCATCTTCATCCAAATGTTGAAAAAAACACAATCAAACTATTTGCGGCCTCCTCCTCATCTTCTCCTCCTTAGCTCCTCATGTGTTTCCCATCAGTGAAGCGGTGGACAAGGTGGACAAGGTGCATGTTCCTCTGGTCCCGCTCAGTATCCATGTGTCAGGTGCTGGGAGCCTGTGGCATTCTGTGGTCGACAGATGTTTCCTTGGAGGTGGAAAAGCAAGAGTGGGAGAGAAGCCCACGTTGTCTCCTGATGGGCTGTGCCTTTCACCGCACTTAACCCTTTGTGTCTTTGTGTCACTCCTCCACTCTCGGTTATCTCCCAGACATATAATATTACACTGACATGTTCTCCTGCTTTCTTTGTGTGTATCCCTGTGTCTCTTACTACTGTCCTGTCTGTGCGCTGCAACATTGAAATTTCCCCACTGTGGGACGAATAAAGAATCTGTTATCTTATCTTTATGTCTTCTCTGTCATCATTGGTCAAGATTTAACTAATTATTGACCAATGATTAGCCTAATGGACATTTATCACAGTATAACTACTATGGAATGATCAGATCTTAAAGCTGGAGGCACTAACTTTGTTTTTGTTTCATAAATATATATTTTTTTGTTCCAACTGAAAGTGTTTAATCAACATTTTGTAACAATCAAACCACAACATTCTGTTACAGTCTATGGTCTTATCGCAGTAGAAACCATTTCATTTCATTCATACTGAGAGATTAAACAAAGCTGATGGCCACATCTACGTGAGAATTAAATCTGGTAATATAACTATATCGTTTTGAGAGATTGCATGTATTTTATAACACACACAGAGAATAATTTCACCATAAAACCGCTCAGAGCAGGCAGCAGGTTGCCAGATCTTTACTGTTGTTCGTATAAATTTAAAATGCCTTTACAGAAGTGTGTATTTCTGTCATCAGAGCAATGCCAGCTGTACATGGTTTTGTTTTGTAAAGATAAAATTACTTTACAGTGGTTTTTAAAAACAACCAGCTGCATACTTCACAGAACAGAAACAATACTGAATATTATGATTATTTGGATTTTAGCTGTTAATTTGTGAGAGCAAATTTTTACCAGATTTCCCATTCCGCCTTCAGCCAATCAGCTCTTTCTAACAAATGGAAAATGTTTCTAATAAGATGCAGGCAACATGTTGTGACTGATTTGTTCACATTTTACTTTTATAAGACTCTTTCTGTTGGAACAAACAATATCTATTATTTATGACATCTAAGATTTTGCAAATACTATAAGAATTTTAAAAAGCCTCTATAAATGTGATACTTTATCTAAAAAAATAAAACTTTTAATAACATAAAATATAAAATGCAAAAATCAAAATGTATATATATATATATATATTTTAAAAGCACAATTAAAAAAGATACAAATATTTCAAATACTGCAAAACCCACATACACCAAAGGTAATAGTCCAAGAGAAAACCGAACAAAACGAGGTATAACACATGGTTTTTACAGTCAATTGGTATATCACCATAACACAGAAGAAGATAGAAGCAGAATGTGGAATAAAGAATACAAAACAAACAGTGACTGCATATGTTTATCCTACTTTTACGAAGATATTAACCTCACAACGCTTTAATTTTGAAATGATTGTGACGTCACTGAAACCCGGAAGTGCCCGGTCCGTAACAAGAACAACATTAGCTGCATGTTCTTGGCTGTGAGAGAAACGCGTAAAGTCCTGAATGAAGCGTGTCCCTGCGCATAAAGCAGTGTTACTGGAGTCGATAACAATGTAATAGACAGATGTATGATATGTTTTGCTGTTTGTATTTTCGCGTTGTGTCTGTTCACGTTAGTACAGCAGTGTGAAGGGCATGGCCTCAGCTGTGAGACCGCTCCGTGCCCTGGGTCCCCGGGTCCTGACGGCGGTGTGGGGCATCTGTCCACGCCCGGGACACCATGTGCGGGCCCTGCATCTGTGCCCCTCCCTCTGCGCTGGACACAACAAGTGGTCCAAAGTCAGACACATTAAGGGACCCAAAGATGAAGCCCGAGGAAGGATGTTCATGAAGTTTGCCATGATGATAAAGATAGCTGTGAAAGGTAAACATTGCATTGGTGGAAGTATGAGCTTACTCTTTTCTTGTTTTTGAAATGTGTGTGAAGGAGAGGTTCTGCAGGTCCTTCCCTCCTGCAGCTGTCAGACAGAACATTGAGAACTGCTGAGTCTGCGCATGCGTTATTCACCTGAGCTGTCAGACTGTACAATCTGGACTGCTGAGTCTGGACATGGGCCTTTCTCCTGTTCTGAAAATCCACTAGTCACTTTACTAGTCATTTGGCTCTTAACCTGCAATTATTATTACTCCATTATTACACATATTTCATGATTGTTCACTACTCACTTTACCGGCTGCTATCAAGAATGAAAAATAATAATAATGCATTGGTTTTATATAGCTCTTGTATGGACACTCAAAGATGCTTCACGTGTCATTATTCTTTTGCTCCATCCATCCACAAGTGACTTATCACTCCACATATCCTGAGTGATCTTATTTTCTCCTTCTTTTCTGCTGTAATGTGCAACTATGCCCTTAACATTTCCACTGAGGCATGAATAAAGCGTTCTCATATCTTGTTGCAGACGGAGGAGCCAACCCTGAATTAAATCTAAACTTGGCTCATTTACTGGAGCAGTGTCGAAATAAGAACATGCCCAAAGCTTCTGTCGAGGCTGCGATTAAGAGCGCTGTAAGTAACAACTTTGTACCCAGCTTGAATAATGAATAGTTTTTGTTTGAGTGCCAATGATAATGGGAGTAGTAGTAGTAATAATAATAATAACTGTATTTTCTTGATGCTATAGGAAAAGGCCAAACCAGCGTCTCAGCAGATGCTAGAGGTCCGAGGAGCTGGAGGGTATCTACTGCTTGTTGAAGTTCTGACCGACAACAATTCACGGACGTCACAGGATATTAAAAAGATCATCAACAAACACGGGTAAAAAAAGTGTGACTGATGAAGAGAATTCTAGTGAGACAGGGCTGTTCTACTCAGGTTTTCATTCCAACCAACCAAGAGCACACCAGACGTCAGGTTCAGACTGGACTCACTTGAGGGAATGGGTGGAGCCTGGTATGCTCCTGCTTGGTTTGGAATGAAAACCTGCCCCCACTCAGCCCTTTGAGGGCCGAGTTGAATGGGTGTGGTCACACTTTGTCCCACAGTGGGCTCTGGTTCACTTTGGGCTAAATCCATGTGAAAGCACCAAATAAGTGAGTCTTGTGTGTTACACCCTGGCTCTACAGGTGCAACATGAAGGACAACAGGTTACTAAAAGGTAATATAATGTATTAACAGCAACAAAAGTCTAGGGAGATAACACAAAGAAAACCAAAAAGGGGAAGGCAGGTGTGGTGGTGAGCAGGGCTGCTGCCAGGACAGAGAGAGAGAGATGGGTGGAGTCAGGGTGTGGTCTTATAGGCTCCCAGCAGGGAACCTGATGCAGGCTGGAAATCCTGGAAGTGGATCCTGGAACTGGAACAGGTCTGCATGGCAGCTCCACATAAGACTGTGTCTCTTAAAGCTGATCTGGGACTGGTCTGGTGCATTTACTTATGAAGTTAGTCCAGGTCTTTGTGCGTTTGTTTGAGCTCAGAGACTCACAATGTTGAAATTCTGAATAAGCAAATTGCAACTGAGCACAACACAAAAAATCTGCAAAAACTTTATTTTTATTTTTAGTATTGTTATTATTATTCAATCTCACTACTTATTTTTGTATATATTTAATTATACATACAGAGACAAACTGAGAGGAGATTTGTTTTATATCAAACTAAAGGTTTAGTTAATGCTGGGATATCGAAGTCATTAGTTCTTGGCTCAAAAACAGTATCGCTCACTGGTTTTCTCATGCATTGCGTGTGTCAAATCTGTCATCTGTCACATCTTTCGATTAGAAATGTGGAAAAAAAGGACCACTCTCCGTTCAGCCAATCAGCTCTCTGCCATTAGTGACTCACAGGGCTCTTACAGAGATATGTAAGATTAAAAAAATTGTATAAATATAATAACTATTGTATTTATGAGAAGTAAAAGTTAGGTACACCAGCTTTAAACCAAAGATCAATTAAACATTTTAATATGTGAACTACCACCTGAACTTCGAGTCTGTGAAGAATGAATGAGTCTGGTCTTCTGTGTGTGTCACTTTAAGAAACATGTCAATCTTTAATGATTCAAAGCTGAACGGTTTCTCCACAGTGCGATGTGGTCAGAAGGCGCACGCCATAATTTTGAGAAAAGAGGAGTGGTGGTCGTCCCGGCGACAGACACCTCGGCCGAGCGAGCGCTTGAGCTGGCCATCGAGGCCGGAGCAGAGGACGTTCATGAGTCTGAGGATGAGGAGGAGCAGGCCATCCTCAAGGTCTGTGGAAAACACTCAAAGTCTTTTGAGTGTCCGACTCAACTGTGATTCTTACATGATGTGGATTAGTTCAGATGTTTCGTACCTCACAATCTGGCATTAAATATATTTTATTTTCCTTTCAAATGGAAATTAAGCTGACCCCCTACTGTCCCTTTACTCCCTCCAGGACCATGCACACATTACACCAGGAGCCTCCAACCTCTTTTCATTGGAGAGATGACAGAGCTTCTACTTTTAGCAGTCATTATAAAAGTAGTCTATAATAACTACAGCCAACCACAGAGAACACATGCATTATAACCATTTTAACATACTGTGGCCACACTTTCATGCTAAAGCCAGATCCCATCAGACCTCTGAAGCTCTGCAGGGCCTGGTTAGTACTGTGATGGAGACATCAGGGAACACCAGGTGCCACAGTGGGGCAGCTACGGCTGTAAAGTGCCAAAATGTCATTGTGTCATAAGGCAAGACACTTCACACACATTGGTTGGTGGTGGATGAATAGTAAATAGGTTCACCTTGTATGGAGTGAAAAAATAATGACATGTGATGCACCTCTGAGCGTCCTAAAAAGCACTGTACAAAATCCATGCATCATTAAACACAAGAAGACGGGGAAGAAAAAAAACAGGGAACAAATCCACTCTTACGAAAGGCCTCCTGCTCCTCTACATCGGTCCCACAGATGAAAGACATTTGTTTGTTTGCTTCCAGTTCATCTGTGACACGGCGGAGCTGCGGAGGGTGAGGGCATCGCTGCAGCAGCTGGGACTGCACATCGTGTCGGCGGGACAGGAGTTTGTTCCTCGCAGAGTTTTGTCTTTGGAAGAGGATCAGATAAACCGAGCGTCCACTCTGATAGAAGCCCTGAATGACTGTCCGGAAGTCATCCGTGTTTGGGACAACATCCAGGCTCCGAGCTGATGCCTACAGACACTTTCTACTTCACTGAGGCTGTTATGAATACAAACAAATATATACTAAGTAACTCGCTTCCATCTATTTTTTTTCTTTTCTTTTTTCTCAGGACCCTATATAATTTGAATGACAGGGAAAATCTGATACTTTTTTCATATGGGGTAGTAATGAACAATCCTGACCTTTCTTTGAGAGAGAGACACCTTCACAGGCAATGCATTCTGGGATGTTGCAGATTTGCAACATTTTCCAGTTGTGGTAAATGGAGCGGATCCAGGGAAAACCCCAGAGAGATATAATCTACTAATTGGCATGTACTCGATCTACATATATTCATCTTAAATTTTATGCATTTTTGGAGGTTGTTTGTGATATCAACTTGAAATGGATGGTTTGAAAATTACATTTTGGAAGTGAGACAGCTCCGCCCCCTGGTGAGCAGGTTGAAAAATGTGTGTTGCTAAAACTCAACAAAGTCCAGTAGTGGTTCTTCTGAGTAAGAGGGTCAAAAATATGGATGTGGAGTAGTTTGATAATAAGAAATGAAGTTGTTGCAAATCTGCAACACCTGTTTCGAGAGGGTTGCAGACAGGCAAACACATTAACATTCAACAAGAACACAAAAGCACAATCTCATGATCAAAACTAATGATATATATAAAATAAAAAAATTCGGACCTATTTTTGGTTTCCTCCTTTATGAGCACATTTGCACATAACGTATGGTCTGATGAAACATATGAAAAGATTACAATGTTGGGCAGTTTGGCCAAAGCCCTCACAGATCATTACCCCCTCATATTACAGCCATGTCAACACTCGTGTCTCGTGTCAATAAGATTAGCAGCAGGCATGAAACATATTGAACATAGAATGCATTAAAACATTCAATATTTGATTTTCTTTACATCACAAGGCTTTTTGTTTTACATTCTTCTTAATGCAAAAAGGGCGGTGTGCAGCGTCAGGGAAATGTTATTTTACATCAAAGGGGAAGTTCGGTTTAATGCTTTGGGCCTTTTCGCTCCGTTTATCGATGCCCCCATCGACCGTCCTGTCAGTTCCTCTCAGCTATAGGATGCCATTGATTGGTTTCTAGTGTTAGCGAATGGTGCGCAGCAACATGTGAGCCAGCGGTCAGTTGTTTGCCCCGTGCCAGAGTGGAAGGTTCATCATTGACCCATTTGTTTTGCCTCAACATGACGTGAATGAGACAGACGTTCTCTTCAGCCTGACCACAATCTGTTGCGATGGAACTTACGGATGCTTAAAGGTCCCGCTTTAACCAGGTTTGTGTTTTTGTTTCACTCGCTGTTTCACAGCAGTTTCTAGCCCCCTGCCGGGACCAAAGACTGTGCTGGGATCATAGACTGTACACTGGGACTTTAGACTGTGCTGGGATCATAGACTGTACACTGGGACTATGGACTATGCTGGAACCATGGACTGTACGCTGGGACTATAGACTGTGCTGGAACCATAGACTGTACACTGGGATCATAGACTGTACACTGGGATCATAGACTGTACGCTGGGATCATAGACTGTACACTGGGATCATAGACTGTACACTGGGATCATAGACTGTACGCTGGGATCATAGACTGTGCTGGGATCATAGACTGTACACTGGGATCATAGACTGTGCTGGGATCATAGACTGTACACTGGGATCATAGACTGTGCTGGGATCATAGACTGTACACTGGGATCATAGACTGTGCTGGGATCATAGACTGTACACTGGGATCATAGACTGTACGCTGGGATCATAGACTGTGCTGGGATCATAGACTGTGCTGGGATCATAGACTGTGCTGGGATCCTAGACTGTACACTGGGATCATAGACTGTGCTGGGATCCTAGACTGTACACTGGGATCATAGACTGTGCTGGGATCATAGACTGTGCTGGGATCATAGACTGTGCTGGAACCATAAATACGCTTGGACCATAAACTGTACGCTGGGACCATAAACTACGCTGCAACCATAAACTGTACTCTGGGACCATAAACAGTATGCTGCGGTTCACTTATGAAGGCAGCAGACTGTTCTTTTCCTTTAAACACTGACAGTTATTTTTCTATCATTTTCAGGTGAAGCTTCATGTCCAACCTGGAGCCCATGAGGCCTGGGGGACCAGGCGAGTGCAGGTCTCCGACCCCTCGGGTGGAGCTGCTCAGTCCCTCCAAGGTGATGGACCGATCTCAAAACGTGACGGAGAAGGTGACTCAGGTATGGGGCTAGGAAGCCTGGGCTCTAGAGTACAAACAAAAGAACAATCCCAACATGAAGATGTGATAGGATTGTTTTATTTCTTTGTATTTGTGAGTTTGTTTGTTTATATTTTCCAAAAGATTGTCATATGGCAGACTGACGCTAATTAGTCCACTAGTGGAAAAATCATTAAGTAGTTAGGTGGCTGGATGCTTTCCTCCTGGGTGTGAAAAGCAAAGTAAAATTGAACCACTGTTGTATTGAATCCTACTGTTAGTGGAGGGAGCCCTGGGGCTCGGCATTCTGCATCACTGCCTCTGTGTGATGCTGAGCGCTGGATATGAAAGAACTGTAAGAGGACCGATGACCTTGCTGTGCTGGATCACTTGTTGATCTTGGCGTGTTCCGGTTCATGGTTCTGTCCGCTGCCATGGCAGAGTCAGAGAGGAGGCGTCAAAAGGTTTCATTCTGACGAGCAGGGCGTGATCTCTGCGATGACAGCCTCCTCCTGCTCCATGCGCTGATGACAACAGCTGACCATCTCTCTTGGATTGATTTGGATAGTTTGGTACATATTTCTATCTGGATATAATTTTACTGAACAAGACAGGATGGTAAAGGATTTAATTGAGCTACAGAGCTGCAAATCCAGAACGTGCAGCCTTCGTCAAGAGCCTGGTCCAAACAACTCTGGGAAAGCATCTTCAGCAAAGGTCTGTTGGTCAGTATTAGACATGGAGGCGTTTTTAAACTGGTGTGATCTCTGCATCTGTAGTAATCACACATTCAGTGTAAGTGTGTAAATGTATCAGTGAGTGAAGAGGAGGTTTCAAGGTGCTAAACTGCTGCAGTGAACCAAAGGTCCTCATTGACTTTAACCTGTGTCCAGTTCCATGAACCTTGTTCCAGTAAATGTGTATATTGTGTATATTGTGTATATTGTGGATATTGATGTTGTTCTTGTCTGTAGGTGCTCTCCTTGGAGTCTGATGTTCTGCCTGAGTACAAACTTCAGGTTCCAGAGACCACTCGGTGGATCTTGCTTCACTACAGCCCCTTCAAAGCTTTTTGGGACTGGATTATTCTCATTTTGGTTTTGTACACGGCTGTTTTCACCCCGTACTCTGCTGCGTTCCTCCTGGATGAGCACGGAGACGTGCGTCAGAGAAGTTGTGGCTACACCTGCAACCCCCTGAATGTGGCCGACCTGTTGGTGGACGTGTTGTTTATTGTGGACATTGTGATCAACTTCCGCACGACCTACGTGGATCATAACGATGAAGTGGTGACGCAGCCGGTGCGAATCGCCAAGCACTACATGAAAGGCTGGTTCCCTATCGATCTGTTTGCAGCAATCCCATTTGACCTCCTCATTTTCCGATCTGGCTCAGATGAGGTAAGCCATATGTGTTTCTAACTTTCCAATGCATTTGCAGTTTATCGTCTGCTGTATCATACAGCGCCCTCCAACAATATGATAAGAATACAAAACAAACTGTAGATGTTATCATTATTCCCATAAAGACTAAACTAAGGTCTTCTATTAGTGGGTGCAAGTTACTTACATGAGACCAAGACAGGTTGTTTATTCAGATCTGCTTGGCATAGCATTAGTTCTCAGAAGCTAAGCAGTGTAGGTCCTGGCCAGTACTTGGAAGGAAAATCTGTGGGAATATCACAGTGGAACAAAGTGGTTTTTAGGTTTCTTCATGTGCTTCGACATGAGACTTCACCCACTCTGGCATGGTGTGAGTTGGGTGAGTGTTTTAATGATTAGTGGTGGTTAGAGGGGCTTACTGCTGTCAGTCTGCCCAAGGGCAGATGTGGCTACAGATACATTGGAGATGGAGTGAGTGAATAATGAAAATAGTGTAGAGATTTCAGAGACTAAAGCAGTGACGTAAATAATACTTCTCGGCTGATGGAGGGGCTCTGAAGACGGTCGTTGACTGTTAAACCAAAGCATTTATCTGAAACTCATAACGATTTTTTTTTCTTTTGGAAAAGATGGCGACATTGACAAGTCTCCTAAAAACAGCTCGACTGCTGCGTCTGGTGCGCGTGGCCAGAAAGCTGGACAGATACTCCGAGTACGGAGCCGCAGTGCTCTTCCTGCTCATGTGCACCTTTGTGCTGATCGCCCACTGGCTCGCCTGTATCTGGTACGCCATTGGCTTCGTGGAGCGGCCCTACACAGAGACGGGATGGCTGGACAATCTGGCCGAACAGTTGGGCAAACCGTACAATGACAGTGACTCCCGCTCGGGCCCCTCAGTCAAAGACAAGTACGTCACGGCGCTGTACTTCACCCTGAGCAGTCTGACCAGCGTGGGCTTCGGGAACGTCTCCCCCAACACCAACTCAGAGAAGATCTTCTCCGTCTGTGTCATGGTAATCGGATGTAAGTCTAGATCATTCCTTTCTGATCATAATACTTTGTTAAATATAATTCTAATGATTATCTTCCAGCCCTGATGTACGCCAGCATCTTTGGGAACGTGTCGGCCATCATCCAGCGCCTGTACTCGGGGACCACACGATACCACACCCAAATGCTGCGTGTTAAGGAGTTCATTCGCTTTCACCAAATTCCCGGAAGTCTTCGTGAGCGGCTGGAGGAGTATTTCCAACACGCGTGGTCCTACACCAACGGCATCGACATGAACGCTGTACGTGACGTGACAGAGAGCAGTTCAATTCAATTCAATTCAATCTATTTTTGTATTGCCCTAAATCACAACAGTAGTTATCTCTGAGGACTTTATAAAACGGCTGAATTCGGATCAGAGAACAAACAGTTAAAGCACAAGACATACAATAATACAAAACACATGGAGCCATTCGTCCATAATGTCTGTCTGTCTGCGTGTGTCTGTGTGTGTGTGTGTGTGTCCATAAATGTTATTTGTGCAGCTGGAGGCCTGTAGATTATAACTTTAATAGACTCATCTCTCTCTCCAGGTGCTGAAAGGTTTCCCTGCGTCTCTTCAGGCCGACATCTGTCTTCATCTTAACCGCTCGTTGCTGGAAAACTTTAAGGCGTTCCGTGGCGGGAGTCAGGCGTGTCTGCGAGCGTTGTCCATGAGGTTCAAGACGGTCCACGCGCCGCCAGGAGACACCCTCATCCACTACGGAGACATCCTGGACTCTCTGTTCTTCATCGCACGAGGAACGATACAGATCATCAGGGACGACATGGTCACTGCCATCCTGGGTAACTGTGCGTGTGCGTGTGCGTGTGTGTGTGTGTGTGTGTGTGTGTGCACTTGTTTTCAACTCCTGGTGGGTTCCATAACCTGAGATTCCACTCACGTCATGGGGACTGGTTTTACGTGGTGGGGCCCGAACACCGGACCCCACTGGTCCAAGCTTAATAATCAATGGGTAATGCTTTTCTAACGGTCCTTATGCAGTCTCTGTAAAAATATGGAAAGGACCCCTGGAGGTTTACTTTCCTGAAAAAAGTGTGTTATGTGTCGGAACCCTGGTGGTGGGTTGCGGGATATCAAGGAGGGGGCACACTGGGGCAATTTCAGTCCAGCAGGCTGGAGCCAATCATGGAGCAGCACAACAGAGGAAATCAGGTGTCAGGCTAGAAAAAGGTGCAAGTGTGTGGTTCATTAGGCTGCAAGAAATCATGGAGGAGCACACTGAAGCGCACGCTTACAAACCACTGGTAAGTGCTGACTACAAGTCATGACTTCAAATTGTTATATAGAATGATTACAAATTATTTGTTGTTTGTGCAGCTTAGTCAAGAGTCCCTAATTGATGAAGTCGACTCAGATTCTGACGATTTAACTGTCAAGAAGAAACCTGTAAAAAAGTATGGAAAAAGAAAAATCAAAAACACTTTTCTTCAAGACTCGGAAAGTGACGAACCAAAGGCAAATAAGATTGTTATCATGCAGCTGCAAAAGAAGAAAAATGGGGGGCGAGTATACAGCAAGAGACACTTCTGCCTCTACTGTTCAATGTCCTGCCACAAAATGTCCCGTCATTTGACTAGAAAACATGGAAATGAAAGTGACGTAGCCAGAGCATTGGCTCTACCTGTGAAATCTAAAGCACGTAAACTTCAGTTTGATTTGATCAGGAATAGTGGAAACCGTGAGCACAATTTTGAGGTTTTAAAGGCCGGCATTGGAACTTTAGTCCCAGCTAAACAGCCAAATTGCCCAGTTAAATCCAGTGAGTTTTTGCACTGTATAGACTGTGGGGCATTGCTTAAGCGAAAGTCGCTGTGGAGGCATGTGGCCAGGTGCCGGCTTTCACAGAAAGATGCCCAGGCTAAACCAGGTAGAAGTAGGGTCCAGTCCCTCTGCTCCCTAGCCCAGCCTGTACCGGAGGGCATCAGCAAAAAGCTGTGGTCTTTAATTTCGGCAATGCATCAGGATGAGGTCACGGGTGTTGTCAAAGCAGAAAAGGGGATTTCTGAGACTCGGAGAGCACCTGTACTTAAAACACGGGCATGATAAGACAAAGCATGATTACATTAGGCAGAAAATGAGAGAAGTCGGTAGGTTAATTAACGAAGCAAAAACCGCAGGGAAACTGAAAACAATTAAGGATTTCTTTATTCCTTCCAACTTTAACCATGTGATTGATGCAGTCAGGTCTGTGGCTGGATATGATGAGGAAACAAATCAATACAAGACTCCATCCTTGGCCCTCAAACTCGGCCATAGCCTCAGAAAGCTAGCAGATATTCTTGAATGTGACTCAAAAATGGAGCATTGTGTTGATGAACTATTTATTAAAAACCTCCAACGAAGCCGGCTGCTTTTTGAGAAGAGGTGGGACGTCTGTGTTTCTTCTGCTGCCCTACAGACCCTCCGGCAAGCCAAGTGGAACACTCCGGACCTGCTCCCTCTGACTGAGGACGTTAGAGCCATGCATGCACATATTGAGGTATGTCGACCTGAATATGTGCAAACCCTAATAAGTGAGCCAACGTCTAAGCATTGGTCTAAACTGGCAGTTTTGACTCTTTGTGAGGTCATCATTTTCAATCGAAGAAGGGAAGGTGAGGTTTCAAAGATGCCACTGACAGCCTTTACCTTAAGAAGTAAGACTGGGATCCATTCTGACATTGCTCTGGGACTGTCCCAACTTGAGAAAAAGCTGTGTCAGCATTTTCAACGCATTGAAATTAAAGGGAAAAGAAGTCGGAAAGTGCCGGTTCTTTTGACTCCTGAAATGATTGCTTCGATGGAGGTGCTGGTGGAGAACAGAAGGGCCTGTTCCATCTCTGACCATAACCCATACTTCTTTTCCCGCCCGGGCGCAGACACCCACATCAGGGGATCAGACTCCCTACGCCAGGTAGCCAAAGAATGTGGTGCGGTGCATCCAGAGATGCTATCCTCAACCAAACTTAGAAAGCACATAGCTACTATGTCTACAGTTCTCAATATGAAAGAGAATGAGATGGACATACTTGCCAACTTCCTCGGCCATGACATTCGCATCCACAGGCAATATTACAGACTACCAGAGGGGACACTGGAGCTGGCCAAAATCAGCAAAGTGTTGATGGCCATGGAGCAGGGAAGAGTGACGGAATTCGAAGGAAAGAGCCTCGACCAGATACAAATTGAGCCTGAAGGTAATTCTTGATATTATTAAAATATGTATGATTTTTTTCCCCTAAAGGCCACTTGTATTTTTATTTTCTGTGCGACAGGGAGAGCAGTAGAGATCCTCTCACAAACGGACGGGCTAAAAGAAACTTCAAGCGGAGAACCTTCAACCATTCATCCAGATGCACCCCATGGTAGTGGCAGTGCCCCTTCTGGTAAGTGTACCAGGTGGGGGATTACAGCCAGGCTGCTTGGTCCTCACCCTGGGAGTGTATATTGCTAATATATTTTTATTTCTCTCCCTAGAACGTGTAAGAAAGCCATGGTCTGCATCTGAGGTGAAGGCTGTGGAGAAGACCATGACACCTTTCATACAGACTGGAAAGGTCCCTGGGAAGTCTCACTGCCTGGCCTGCATTAATGCCTCACCAGATGACCTTAGACATCGGACATGGAGTGGCATTAAATTCTATGTCAAAAATAGAATCACTGCAATTCGAAAACAAAATCTAAAATAAAATTCCTTTAAAATAGTTGTTTGGTTTCTATTGACTGTTTTGTATTACTTAAAGTCTTGGTAAAAAAAGATTATGTCTATGGGTCCCATTCTGAACGGCCCTGTCAAAGGGACCCACCAGGTAACAAAAACGTGTATGTGTGTGTGTGTGTGTGAGATCGACAGTGTGTGTGTGTGTGTGTGTGTGTGTGTGTGATCAACAGTGTGTGTGTGTGTGTGTATGATCGACAGTGTGTGTGTGTGTGTGTGTGTGTGTGTGTGATCGACAGTGTGTGTGTGTGTGAGATCGACAGTGTGTGTGTGTGTGTGTGATCAACAGTGTGTGTGTGTGTGTGCAGGGCCGGAGTGGGACAACATTTCAGGCCGGGAGCTTTTCATCCATTCAGGCCAAACAAGGTTCTAATATTTGGGTTTTTGTCATTGTATTTTGATGTTCTTTTAATAGTTTTAAGATTGACTGTCAAAACTTTTGTTTTCTTTATTTTTTTTTGAAAACTTTGAATATCCAAATTAAAATGTTATTTTATGTTGTTACAAATCCAAATGTACAAGTCAGAGCCTTTGAATCCATGTTTTAAGTCTGTAGTATTACAGTGATGGGAAGCCGGAAGTTTAAGTGTGGCAGGCCTTTAACCTTAGAGTTTCTACTGTAGGTTTTATGAGATAGTGTTAGTATTACTCTGTCCTGCTAAATCCTGACAATAGTTTTATGGGATTCTTTTTTTTATAAGTACATTTCAAACTGTGATGCGGTGAATAAAGACACAGTTCTTGTTGGAAATCATAGTTATTATTAACAGTTTTCAGGCACAAACAGCAAAACAATAATAAGTGTAATAACAATACGAGTGTATATATGTTAGATATAAGTTATATATATGTTAGATTATATGTTATATATATGTTTAGACTAGTCCCACAGTCCTCCTGTATTCAGCTCTGAGCCCAAACTGCTTTTCCTTCCGAAGCACAAAGCTCTCTGCTTCCATAGGCCCTCGTCCATAGCTCCTCAGCAGTGCCGCTCCGTGCTTCCTTCCGAATACACACACACGGACCAATCACAGCGGTGCTTCCTTGCGGCGTACCCTTAAGGAGCAATATGTAAAAATCTGGCCAAAGTGGTACTGCAAGACACAGTCAGATATTTTGTAGTCCTCTCTCACTCTCCCTGACTCAGTTGCCTGAAATTCACACCAATCCAGCAGCAAACACAGGGAATTATTTTATCAGTTGTTTGTCCGTCTCCATTCACATTGCCATGACAAGCCGTCTAATGCTGGAATGACTGTTTTTGATTAATGTTTTTTTTATTATTATTATTTGGACATTTGAGATAAATACCAAAACAAAATAAAAGCAATGTAAATTATACATTTTATGCAAAATAAATTAGCAATTGATGTTCCAAGATAGAGGTGGGAAGAAATGGATGTTGGAACGTATTTCTTCAGACGTATCAAACATCAGGGTTTGCTCAAGAGTGATATCACCTTTACATTTTATTTTAATTCCCTAACATGTAAAAGTCCCAATCAAAAAGAGACTAACCATTAGTTTATTGGGGTACATGGGTCTTAAATGATTATTTTTACAATTACCTATAATCTGCAAAAAAAAAACACGTCTTGACCCTTCATCTTTTACCGTTTTTAGAGCATCAGTCATAGAAATGTGATAACATCAATAAAATACAAAAAGACATAGCCCGGAACGAACCCGGGTTCCTGCACTCTAAGCGCACCATTAGACCACTAGAGTCTAGTGGTTCCACAAAGTGGGGGTCCTGACCCCCCGGGGGGTCGCGGAACCCCTGGGGGGTCGGCAAAGATGATTTCCACACAAAACAGTCTATAATATATTTTAAATCAACGTTAGTATTTTGTCCAGTCATTGCAGCGTCAATCAAAATCACACGTAACACAGCTCACGATCCAGCGACAAAGCGTGTCCTGCCTAGTTGTTTGCTAAAACCTAAAGGTGTTTGAGGCTACAAATAAATATTTACCTGCCTTTAAAATGAAACGTGGTTAATATCTACAACAGAAAAACCCGGATGGGGTGAAAAGTCACATGTATCAGGGCTGATGGTTGCGAAGAGAGGAGAGAGGGCAGAGGAGGAGAAGGGCAGAGGAGGGCGAGAGGGCAGAGGAGGGAGGCAGAAGGAGGGACGAGAGGGCAGAGGAGGGAGGGACGGGAGGGAGGGCAAGGAGGGAGAGAGGCAGAGGAGGGAGGGCGGACAGCAGGCAAGGAGGGAGGGGAGTAGAGAGGCCAGCGGAGGAGGGCAAGCGGTGGGAAGGGAGGGAGCAGAGGGGCGGGAGAGAGGGCAGCGGGAGGGAGAGGGGCAGAGCGGAGGGAGAGAGGGCAGAGGAGGGAGAGGAGGACAGAGGAGGGAGAGAGGGCAGCGGAGGGAGAGAGGGCAGCGGTAGAACAGCGGCGTTAAAGAGGCCCCGGCTTTCCGGATTCCAGGCGGTAAAGAGGTCCCGCACATTAAAGCGGGTGGCCGCTTTCTGCTGTTACATTATGCGGTTTCATCCCCGCGGCTTCTCTTTCCAAAGTTACTGTCAGTAAAGGCATAAACCGGCCACCCGGCTTTTAATGTTGCGGACCTCTCTTTTACTTTGACTCCGAAAAGCGGCCTCTTTTAAACGCGCTGTTCTAACAAACCGCTGCCCTCTCTCCCTCCATCTGCCCTCTTCTCCCCCTCGTCCTCGCCCCCCCTCCTCAGCCCTCTCTCCCTCCGCTGCCCTCTCTCCCTCCGCTCCCTCTCTCCCTCCTCTGCCCTCCTCCCTCCGCTGCACCACGCCCTCCGCTGCCCTCCTCTCCCTCCCTCCTTCCTCTGTCCTCCCCCCATCCTCTGCCCTCTCTCCCTCCTCTGCCCTCCCTCCCTCCTCCCTCCCTCCTCTGCCCTCTCTCCCAGTCCTCATGCCTCCCTCCTCGCCCTACATCTCCCTCCTCCTTGCCCTCTCTCCCTCCTCGCCGCTCCCACTCCCTCCTTCGGCACGCTACAGCCCCTGAATACAATTGACTTTTCTCCCCCACCGGGTTTTTCCTGTTGTAGATTATAATAACCACGTTTCATTTAAAGCAGTATGTATTTATTTGTAGCCTCCAAACACCTTTAGTTTTAGCAAACAACAGCAGGACCGCTTTGTCGCTGCGCATGTGAGCTGTGTTACGTGATGATTTTGATGACGCTCGCAATGACTCGGACAAAATTTACTAAACGTTATTAAAATATATTCTAGTCTTTTTTGTGTGGAAATCATCTTGCGACCCCCCCAGGGGTTCCCGCGACCCCCCGTGGGGGTCATGACCCCCACTTTGGAACCACTAGACTCTAGGTGGTCTAAACTGTGCGCTTACGATGAGGGAACCCCGTTCGATCCGGCTAGTCTTTTTGTATTTATTGCATGTCTATCACCATTCTATGACAGATTGCTCTAAAAAACGGTAAAAGATGAAGGTCAAGAGACGTTTTTGCCAGATTATGACTTAATTGTAAAAATAATCAGTTTAAGACAATGACCCAATTAAAATAATGTTTAGTCTCTTTGTTGATGGGGACTTTTTTACATTTTAGGGAATAATAAAATGAAAGGTGATATCCTCTTGAGCAACCTGTATGTTGATACGCTTAAGAAATACGGTCCAACATCCATTCTTCCCACACCTATTTTGAAACATCAATTGCTTATTTATTTTGCATAAACTATGTAAAGTTACATTGCTTTTTATTTTGTGTTGTTTTTACTCAAATGTCCAAATATTAATAATACAAAAACATAATCAAAACATTCATTCAGCATTAGCACGACCCGCTGTCATGGCTATGTGAATGGAGACGGACACACAACTGATAAAATAATTTCCCTGTGTTGCTGCTGGATTTGGTGTGAGATCAGCAACCTGAGTCAGGGTGGAGAGTGAGGAGGACTACAAAATATTGTACTTTGACTGCAAGAACCACCTTTGGCCAGATTTTTACATATTGCTTCCTATTAAGGGTCCGCCGCAAGGAAGCTCCGCAGTGATGGTCCCGTGTGTGTGTATTGAAGAAAGCACAGGAGCGGCTGCAGCAGGAGCATGGACGAGGCACTAATGGAGCAAGAGCTTTGTGCTTCGAAGAATAGCAGTTTGGAGCTCGAGAGCCTGAATACAGGAACTGTGGACTATCTAACATATATATAACTTATATCTACCATATATATAACTTATATCTACACATATATACACTCCGTATTGTATTTCCACTATGATTGTTTTGCTGTTTGTGCTGAAAAACAGTTTAAAATAATAAACTATGATTCCAACAAGAACTGTGTCTTTATTCAACGCTCACAGGTTTGAAATGACTTATAAAATAATGAAGCCATAAAACTATGGTCAGGATTTAGCAGACAGAGTAATACTAACACTATCAAATAAACCTACAGTAGACACACTAGGCTTAAGGCCTGCACACTCACTTAAACATTCCGTCTTCCCATCCCTGTAAACTAACAGACTTAAAACATGGATTCAAAAGGCTCTGACTTGTACATTGCATATTGTAACCACATAAATAACATTTTAATTTGGATATGTCAACAGTTTTCTAATTATTAAAACCGAAATCATGTAGAGTGTAAAAAACGTGTACCACCTCCTCAACGCTATGACAAAGACTGAGCGAGGCGCATCGCGCAGACTGATGGAGCTGCTTCTGTTTCTTTAATGGCGGGTAAGAATCAATATTGCCGTATACTGCCAACCTACTGAATCGGAGGGGTTTATACTCCATGCCTTTGGTCCAATGATA